AGAGAAAGACAGAAGATCGTGGGACGTCGAAAGAGCGCCACCGCAATTAGCGCAACTCTAAGAATAAATGAACAATAATAATTTATGCGTTATATAATAAATATGTAACAAAATTATCTAGGTATAGTTATTAAGATACCTAGATGGAGTTACTTACTAGTTACTATGTACGATTGAAAATAAATTTCTATTGAATACTGTCAATTTTCAAAGGAGCCAGCTTTTTTGAGCACGTATTCTAAAGTTCTATTCAAAAACCATAGCGAAAATATTAACTATGGTTAATTCAAAAAAGAAAGAAGGTAGATAGTTCAAACTTGATCATTGCGCTATTTAGTATTGAGTATTGTCTTTATTTTGAAGGATTGCTTGACATGTTCCTCTGATATATATATATACATATATAAAAAAAGTAATGGTGTCCGTTCAATATAGCATAGCATTTATGTAAATTTCATTAATATATTACAATATATATAGATACATAGTCTAGCCATAAATACTGTTTCAATTAAAAGTAAAAAATATTTGAAAAATACATTTGAATTTGGAATCTGTCATTCTTTTATGAATTTATCTTCTTTCTTTTTTTCATCTTTATGAATTCTATTGTTTTGTCAGTTTCGCGTCAAAAGATTGTCAAATGTTTTTGTTATATTAAAATGGAGTGGGGTGATAAATATAAACGAATCTCTGTGATTGCATTATTCAAAGTAGGTATGGAGCCATACACAATTTTTATATTTATATTATATTTCGTGTTGTAGCTCAAAAAATTATTGACCGATTTGTTTGAAATTTGGTGAAGCTTTTCTCTATATTACTACCGGAAGGATAAACCTAAAACTTCAGGTATTTCTGATTGATTACTTATTTTTTTTGGGGTCAAAAGGGTCAAAAAAATAGCCCATAATCGTAACTTTTTTTTAAGGCTGATTTTATATTGGATTTTAACCTTTTCTTTTTTATTTTATAGTTTTATATGTCCTGAAAAAAAAAAATTTTTTTTTGGTGTTTTCAGATCAATGGTTGATGAGTGACAAATGGAGCAGTTTCGGACCTAGCGTCAAAGGCAGCCTACAAGACATCATGCTGAGCCGCCATTTTTAATTAAAAAAAAAATTTTTTTTTGTTATCTTAAAATGTTTAATAAAGTTGTGTTAAAAGTTCTAAACAATTAAATTATTTTTTCACTGTAAAAATATTAAAAAATGACCGATTTCGAGGCATTTACATGAGTCTCCCCCTTAACATACCTATTTATATTTGCTTTGTTGACTTCTCAAAGCCGTTTGACTCTGAGAAATGCCCCGTACTGTGGAAAACATTACTCGAAATGGGACTATCAAAACACCTGGTATATCTTCTGCAATGTCTTTAGCAGAGTAGAATAGCTTATATACGCGCCGACGAAATACTACATATATAAAAGTTTACATTGGATGTATAATATTACCGTTGCTGTTTAATATATACCTACACGGGACTTGTCATGAGGAGGACTGGACCGACAGAATTAAAATTGGTGGTGACAAATTATTAAACCCTATGGTAAAAAATATGAATGAGCTGTCAACAACAGGTACCTACGTATAAAATAACATTTGTCCATTCAATATCAATTATTGATAAAAATTTCATTCACGAGGTTAATGTTTTTTTATTGGATAGATATAATTGCACTAGGCTCCGTATAAATGTATTTCTATTTGTTAATACTGCATTTGTACTTACGTATAATATTTATGTTTTTAATCAATGAATTGTAACTATTGCTTGAATCATCATCATTGGTAGTGAACTATTGCCTATCTATACATACATGTATGTTACAAGCGTCATGTTTAAACTAACCGATCCCTATTTACATTTACCAGTGGTCGCTGAGTGATCGAAAGATGTAGATATTGTTTATATTTGGATACGGCTGAAAATTAAAAAAAATTGTGACGTTATTCGAACTATTATTTGCTAAGTACAAACAGTATGCGAAACGTCAAGTGAAATGATTTGTATTTATTATACAGTAGTTACGTTATGTTAATACCTATTAATACCTACAAATTTACTCACATGCTGCTTTGTGTAATATTACCGATGCTGTTCGCGATATAAATCTTGACCTCGCATATATCTCTGACTGGAGTAAAGCTTATGGCCTTTTACTGAATCCAAAAAAAACACAGTGCATGATTATCGGAAGTCCATATTATTTATCTAAATTAGACTTGAATAGTCTTCCACCAGTCTCCTTTAATGATCACGACATTGAATACTGCGTTCAGATAAAAAATCTTGGGATTCATTTTGACGAAACCTTGTCCTGGTCGCATCAAATATCACAGCTGAGTCGGAAAATGTTTGCTGCTATCGGAAGCATTAACAGGTTACGGTACTTCCTGCCAGTTGACACCAAGACTGCGCTCGCACATACCCTATTACTTCCAATCCTAGATTATGCGGATTCCTGCTATGTAAATCTCACTGAAGAGCAATTCAAATAAACTTGAGCGACTCCAAAATATGTGCATACGATTCATTTTTGGTCTCCGTAAGTATGACCACATTTCCAATTTTCGCAGTCAACTCAAGTGGCTTCCCATTCGTCTTCGCAGGAATTTTCATATATTATCTCTCCTTTACTCTATTCTTTTCCACCCCTCCACCCCTGAATATCTAAAAACCAAGTTCCAATTTCATATTAAATCCCCCGGTTCTGCTTTGCGTAGTACCAGAAGCCTATGTTTACCGATCCCTGCTCACTCCTCCACATATTATTCCAACTCCTTCACTGTCCAAGCCATTCGCCTCTGGAACTCTCTACCACTCTCCATTCGATCAGCTCAAACACATGCATCATTTAAAAATAGACTAAGATCTCATTATCTCTCTTCATAGTACATTTTTTTTCTTATTCTTCCAATATGTAGTATATATGTAGGTTTATATATTTATCCCTAATTTAAGTATGTATATCTAGTAGTATAATAAATAGTGTCTTATGTGTGCCACCTACCCTATTCTATGTACATAAGTCCTCTCTTCTAGGTTGTCAGTAAGAGATTGCATTTAGCGATAAGACCGCCTTTTGTTATTATTTTACTATTTACTGTATTTTCTCATTATTTTATGTGTACACAATAAAGAGTTTTATTATTGTTATTATTATTATTAATAAATCATATACCTTACCTAGGAATTTTACGCATCTTACTTGTAACTAAATAAACCCTTGGCGCTCTCAATCTGATAATTGTTTGTAATAGAAAGTGCTCTATCATACTATACTTGAGAATTCACTGTACATAAGTTTAGCCTAAGATATTACTCTAATTTTATACAATTTTGATTTCAGTATGTATTGTTTATGTTTCTACGTTTGTTAGTATTAGATACTTATATAAAGTAGTTTTTATAGAGTATTTGTTATAGTAATTAGATACATTTGTATGTATATTATACAAATATTTTAATATTCTTTCAAATTTCCGCATTATCTGATGAATTTGTTTCAGTTTTATGATACTATCAATGATTTTCGGGTTTGTATATCCATAAAACTAAAACGCTGTATATCGTGTAACTTTGCAAAATTGATCATAATTAATTTAATTAGCCTAATTAAGACGAAAGCTTGCGAGACGATACCTCGTTTAGTAGTCGATGACGGGGTTGATTTTCTATTAAAGAATTCGTTCGTTTATTAGGAGATTTGGCAAAGGTTTATCCAGTCCGTCAAAAAAATTAAAAATGTAACGGAAGTCAATTGTCAAAAAACTGAAAGCAAGTACATCGTTTCTCCATATCATAAAAATCGTTACACTTCCAATATTATTTTGCGTGTATAGTTATAAGCTTGAACCCCCAAAATATCGGTAGATATAAAAAACGCCGCTTTATGAACAATATTTTAACCTTTTAACTCGACCGACTCAAGAAAATCATGTTATACTTCAAATAACTCTAACAAACATTAGTGATATAGACATTACGCGTTCCAGATATATAGATAATAATATGATTTATTTATTTCTCCTCACAAACATGATGGCAACAATACAAGTAGTATTCTTTATACTATAAAATACTTAAATTTATTATTTGAATCGATTTGCTGTGAGAGATATATATTAACATATCATTATACTATATCACAAACATAATTATTTCTGGTTGGTTTATATGTATATTAGTTTATTATATTATTTAGTGTAATAATACTCTCTGAATTATATGTTGTCTGTATTGTCACTGGATGTTATATAACTCAGACCATAGAATTTTGTATCTTGATTTTTTTCTTAGTACAGCTGACTAGACATAATACATATTTGTATAGTTCTGAGACTCTACGTATCACTTTATAGTTAGGAAATTATATTACCGTAGAACCAGGTAAATAAAACAAGTATAATAAAAATATCTACGCTAATATTCAATATAGTATGGTAAGAATAACTATATCAATTAATATGAGGCAGTGACTACTTAATTAAATTTTATCGGAACTTTGTATGAAATTCGTTTATAATTGATAATGTTTTGTTAGGTGTACATAGGTGTGTATTCTATAAATATAAACGTATCAAACTCATTTATCAAAAACAAAGCTATTCATAATAGCAGTGTTTGACACTAAATAGATAACCTACCGCTGGCTTATGCAATCAAGTTTCTGCTATACAATTATAACCTGATGACATACAACATTACTTACATTATAATGTATTGAAATAATGCAATAATTTGAAACGATTTTGTTTACCGATATAATATCGTATTAGTCCGACTTACATGTAAAACGGTTTTACATTGTATATAAATACCTACTTAACTTGATTAGTACTACTACTTTAACTTCAACTTTATTTCAGTATTTAACGTATCAAATTATTAGTAGAACCTATATTATAGCAGAGGATATGGTGAAATATAGTTGACAGTTGACTCAATTGAATAATGGGAAGTTACAGGATGTCTCATATGCAAGAGATACTCACGTAGGTGGTCGCACTAGATGGAACAGTTCCGTAGGCGATGTTGGCACTCGTCTGATAACCATTTTTCGTCCATCTGTGCAACCCATACCAATAGATGCAAGTGACCGCATTGAGGGTGCTCCGTAATTGGTACCACTTTCTGAACCGTCAGGATATGCGTTAGCTTCAGGTTTATCGTAGGGACGTAGACATCGCGCGGAAGCTGCACTAGAAGCGGCACCCACATCGTGAATTCTGTGTGTATCGGTGAAGCTCTTAACCTTTCGCATTTGCCCAGAGGGCGTAATAGTCGGCGTTGGAGCATTTAGTCCAAGAAGCTTTGAATTTTCCTCGACCTCATTGTTATAATGATCCACGTGGATTGCCACGCTGGGCGCGGCGGCTTCCGCCGAATCCTCGGCTTTGCTCATAATATCACGTCACAGGGTCATGACGCGGTGAATTATGTCGCGTGCGTCGGTGACGACGCGCGACTCAGAATAACGAACAGAGGCGAACGAGTTACGCCTGTTTAGATGGCCGACCGACTAGTTCGTCAATCGTACCAATTGGTAAACAAAGTGCGATACTAGTGGGGGGAGTGGGGATTTGGAGGGTAAAGTAGGGGAATGCGCATACGCACCGAGACGGCGCGGCCGATTGTATGATCACTGCGCCTGCGCATGTTTCAGGGTTATACTAATCATATTTTTGTTCTAGAGCGAAACTGTTTGATTGTGTATGTCGAACTATTTCAAGTAACATGTACATTATATAATATATTGATTTCTATATACATATATAATATTTAAGGTAACTTTATTTTCTCCGTGAATCATACAGTAAGTAGAGAATTTAGTGTTCACAGAGACAAGACAGTGAACGACTAATAAGTTTGCTAACAGTTGTAAATAAATTTGAGTAAATTGACAGCTAGAAAGTATGATTTTGATTTTATATGCTAGTGGTAGAGTTATAATGAATGACAAGATGTTTATACTACGGTGATAGAATTGAAAGAAAAATGAAATTTATGCCTCTATATTTTAAGTTAATCTATGGGGAACCTGTTTCGTGAGCTGCGGTTATGAAGAGTCGGTATACTTGTATGAAAATGAACTCTATGTGTTTACACTTCAGTTTGGTTATGTTATAAAATATAAATATGATATATTAAAATGTAATTAAAACAATAAAACAGCTGTCACTTCTCTAATTACAGGACCAGCACACATCTGGTCCTGTAATTAAAGACATACATCATACAAATATGAATTTTAATTAATGAAAAATACTATTGAATATTGAGCAATAATTGATAAAAAAGAAAATTATTTATAATTACTTGCTTATTTAAGATAAAGTTATAAGTTATAGATAACTAAGCGCTGCGCGTTCTGTGGTCTCCATGTCAAGAACGGTTCAATTTATATAAAAAAAATGTTTTAAATAAAACTTACAGAGAATTTTATTTTCTATAGTTGTTATAATAAATATAAATAGCGTTAAAGCTACGAGAAGGAAACGAGATATTTACAAAAAGGTGCTTTTTTTACCTTGACCTTGACCTAAGACGGAGACATGAGATTTTATGAGACTTGAGACAACATTTGTAGTGGGAACATATACGAGTAAGTAGGTCTATACGAGTTTTCAGCTTTTTATCGCTCATTCCGAGGTTTACCTTTCTTTTCGCCTCATAAGACTGGTCTAAACACTATTTTATATGTAGTCGACGAATCTAACGGTCCGAAATTTCTGCACCATATTCCATGATCAATATACGACTAAATTTATTTTTCACACAAATTTTTATTTTGTAAATAATTGTATTATAAAATTATAAAACATATAATTTGAGTTTACGATACACGGGACTTTTAATAGTCCAGAACAATTTAGACAATGTCATCTAGTCACAAAGTATACAGAGTGTACTGTGTACGTGTACTGATTATATATTTTTATGTAGAATTAATGTTTTATATAAGTAGGTATATAATCTACTAGTTATAAGGTTATTATGTTTAATTCCTAAAAGTGAATTCGCGATGATGGGCTAATTGACTTGACTTCATGCTCATCATATCATCTTCCATTTGTATTCTATACCGTTACCATTTATTAAAAAAAACACTAGTGTACTTATATTAACTGTACATGTATGCAACTAATTTGGATATTGCTCACCTGAACGACATAAATCTATTTTTTTCTGTCAACATGTCTCGTGACATTGCTTTTCTGAGACGTTAATAATATTTAATAATGTTCACAGAATTGAAGATATGACAATTATGTACGACCAAACCTACGACTTCAAACCGTTTACCATTCCCCTCCACAAATCGTTAATTTCCGACTCGTTTCATCTTCATTAGCACTTAGAATTCACAAGTTCATTTATACTAAGTATAGATGTTCGTGTCACCGCATGTTTTCGAATATAATTGACAAACAAGGTATGTATCTAGTGATTCCGGTTGCGTACATTCAAAATACACTGGTATCGATTCTTAAATATTTCAACAATTTACAAAATATGATTACGTCTAAAAATTTTAATGGAAAGGCAAACGAGCTGACGCTCAACTTCATAGGTGTGCCCATGCGTTGCCATTGACTAAGATATCCAGCCTTATTCTGCAATATTACTGTCTTAACTGAGTTAAGGCTGTGAAATTACAAGACCGCAAAGGACAGGACATGTGAGACCCTAAAACCGAAGCACAACACACAAAGCAAGCTGCTTGATGAATGAAATAGAGTGAGACTGTGGTACCCACGTAGATTACTTTTTACAAAGTCTACCATGGTAATCGAGAGCTAGGAGCTCGCATTCTATTGATTCGCCTGGCACGTACTTGAGGTTATTGAAATCGCCTGTAACTTTTTTCCTCATCAGTGTTTTTTTATATTTATTTAACTAACTACATATTCTACAGTGTATTTGCATTGAATATGTTACTTGAACCTAAGGCTCGTGTTGTTTTCTGTCACAATCTTAGACACTAAGGCTCTATATACAAAAATATATAATAAAATTCTTAATAGAAAATACAATCTAAATATCAAATATAATACTATATGGCCAGTGCGTCAGCAACAGCGCGTATGTTCTAGAGTGTATAAATTATTCAAGGATATAGGGACTTTATTTTATTTTAGAAATATATGTTAGGTTCAATGAAGTGCAGGGCTTTCCAGGAGGGGGTAATGGTAGGTACTTGGCATGCTATGGCTTAAAATAATTTCTAAATTGAAAAGGTCTTATAGCCTATTATATTTTTGGGATTTATAATAAAACCACGTCAGTATTATTAATTATTATTATTTACTTACACTAAATATAATTAATATTCGTTTTACTTACATACAATTATGGTGATTTCGAATATTTATATTATGAATATCACAAAATTTAAAGGAGGCGACGATTCCACGTTAATTAAAATATTATTACAATATGATATTTTAAATAATCTAAGTAGGGCGTGGCGAGCGCATGCGAGGGAAAGCGCTCGCGACGTCCTCGCCCGGCGGTCCTCCGACGGCGCACACAGAATGAGTCCTAGTGAGGAAAAGGAAGAGCCGACACCGCCCGGCGCCGGCGGAGGAGCGGGGCGCAAGACTAGCGAATCTCAGTGAGTTTAACGCTGAAACAGCGGATTTGGAAAATCGGGCGGGTGAGGTAACGGTGCAGGTGGCGGTCGCGCGCGTCTCCACGCTACCAGCCAACACGCCACAGCAGCGGCTACGGCCACCAGTGCGAGCAGCGCAGTTAACGCTAGTGCTACGGCCAAGCCAGCTGCTGACACGCATACTTCTCCAGCGCTGCCTGCACCTCCTGCACCTTCTGCGGAGCCGTCACGTTGGCGCGCTACACGAGACGGGTCGCGTCGCTCCAATGTCATGATCGGATTCGACTCGACCGTCACCTCCTCTCGCAGCTGGCCTTCATTGCCCATAGATCGGGTGTTGTATGGATCGTTGTCGATAGCTTCTCGTTTTCTTCGTTTTCCAAAAGCGTCGTAGCCACGACAATTAACCTTAATAAATAATTTTGTACTTATAGTTTGTATATGAAATAAATTATAAAAAGATATCATTACATAACTTATACATGGATACTTTCAATATCATTATTTATTACACTTACCGGTTGACATTTTCCAAAGCATACACGTATGTTACATTGGAATCGAATGTTGTCACTGCTGGGAAATTTAAAAGCATTAAAAGAGGCTCGTAGGGCGCTACCATCTTCGCTACGTTCCCATTCACCAAAAATGGCCGCGTCCGTGGCGCAACCATCGGCATCCGTAACTATATGTTCGTTCTCTGCTTTCGTCGATATTTCGCTCGTTTTTGCGATACAGCTACGTGCAAATCCACCGTAAATACCTAAAAAATGTTTTTATTAGCAATATGTTTATCTGTTATTATTATATACTAATTGTACTCGCGGCTACGTCCGCGTAGAATTAAACTTTACTTTTCTAAAATAAAAGTAGCCTATGTCGCACCTTATTACATCAGCTACCAGCCAATAAAAGTCCCGTCATAATCGGTCCAGCTAATTCAGAAATTAGCCCAAACAAACAGACAGACAATTATAGTTAAAAATTAAAAAAAAAATTTAAGTGTATGTACCGTATTTTTATTCATATGCATGTAAAAACGGTTATTTCAATATTACAAACAGACACTACAATTTTATTTATATATATAGATAAAATGGAATCTAGCTAAAAACTAAGATAAGGCTACTTACTGGATGGTTGTACGTCTACTTGTAGTATCAAGTTTTGACCGATTTCAGCAGAGCTGACTTGATCGCCAGTACGAGTTACAATCCTCATAGAACAGGTGGGCGGTGGGCCGGTATTTGCAATAGTTCCAGCAGTGGTGAGCATAGATACGTTGAATGCAAGAGTTACATTTTTCTCGCCTGTTTGATAGATACACTTTATATGGAACGCTTTAGCGTTGGATGTCACTAGTTTTGGATGTTTCTGCATGACTAAGACGAAGCTTGCTAAACCCTGTTGAGTGAAAATGTACACTTAGAAAATGTATTATTTGAGATAATTGTTTCGGTACTTTAAGTAAAATACGACATACATTAATATGCACGAGGCCACAATCTCCAAAGTGAACGGTGAAATCTACAGGGCTCTCCTGATTCTCTGTAGTATGTACGACACGGTGGCAGCGTTCGTCCTTGCTGTAACCCTTTACGTATAATACTCCGTTGAAATCCTTAATTTTTAGGCTAACGCGGACTCCATTTGCTAAGCAATGTACCTGTTGACACAGATTATGACTTACAATGTAGACACGATTTGATTTGATAATTCGGAAACAAATATAAATATTCAAAGTCTTTTAAAAATAAATTGTATTTGTGTTCGAAATAATACAATAATACTATAACTACGCAACGTATTTTGAAGCGGTTTCTTTATTAGTTAGTGATTCTAGAGGAAGGTTTATATATAATACATGTACACCCGTGCGAAGCCAGCGAGTAGCTAGTTAAATTATATAGTATCGTTGAAGTTCGACCACTGGGCGACTAGTAGTATACATTTCTATATGTATACAACATGTACCTACTCTCCCAATACAAAATATATTTTTAATCAATTCGTAAATTGACGAAGTTCCTGATTCGACTATTTGTTGTATGTACATGAAAATGTATGTTACGTTAGATGTCCATAAATCTTGCGGAAATATTGTTTCTAGGTTTACTTCGTAAATCCTCTATTACTGTTTAGATTGAGACTGATAGCATATATGTATCTGTTTTTTAGGTAAACTATTCTTATCATACCTGCATGTCTGGCAGAGGGAAGTCAGTGCGGTAACTAATATCGGGTGGAGTGCTGGAATTACATTGCACTTTAGGGTTGCCAAAGTATCCAGGCTTGCAAGTACAATGGGAGCGGTGGGCTGTTGCGTTACAAAGAGCGGATATACCGCAAGGCTCGGCAGCACAAGCGTCGACGCAGCCGCGGTTGAGGCATCGTTCATGGTTATCGCATTCGTTATCCGAGGCACAGCCCGCTTGAACGCATGTATCACCGCGTGTCGTATACCCACGCACGGTGTCGCATACGCATCGTCCACGACTGTCCACTATGTATCCGTTTTCGTAGTGACAGGGTACGCATTCACCTAATACATCAACACCTTGTCCCTCTATGCATTTTGCTCTTGGAACTAGAAAATAAATAAAACAGTTTCGATAAGGAAGGTCGATAAATAATATTCAATATGAAAATTATAATTTAAACAGAATGACCAATCATTATTTTCGCACTGCTAGTAACGAGATAGATTTAATTCTTTTTTTAAATTTTTTGTTAGCTTGTCTGTAACGTTTTATTATGAATTTTCCTGCACTTGTACAAGATTATAGCATATACGTAGTTTACATAATCTTATGTGTGACTTTATAAAACAACATTGAAATGAATAAATTGAGTGAAAAAGATTGTGTCACATTATATTCTAACTTAGTCACTGAACGAGTCTAAACTTTAAAAAAATAATGATATTAATTTTAATTTCTAATAATACTCACTTTTATTAGGTGTACATTCTATCAGAGCATTTCCTCTATATCCGGTTAAACATTCGCATACCATTGTGCGGACAGGAAGTGTGTTGACGACCTTGCATTCAGCATTAATACCGCATGGTTTTGTCTCAAGACAGGGGTCAATACACTTGGAGTTCAGACACGCAGTTCCAGATGGGCAGTCGATATCCGATATACATTGAGGCTCCGGAGTTTTATTACATCCTGTATCCGTGCTTTGATATCCTGGTGGGCACACACAGTGTGCTTCGTGGAAATGTACGCGACATTCGGCCGGTTCATTGCATATTTCTGTAGTACATGGATTGACACATTTTGAATTTATACAAGATTTATCGGGTGGGCATTCCGAATCTGCACGACAACCGATTGGTGTACATGCGATTGATGGATTTCCTACAGTGCCTATCTTGCAACGACAAGATGCTCGATGATTTACGCCGTAACACTCAGCAGATTGTTCACATACATCTGGTTCAACAGAGCAAGCTGGGACGCAGCGATTATTAATACAACTTTCATCATCTGAACATTGTTGATCTGATGTACATAAGATTTCATAACATCCAGTTCGTGCGTCACCGATGAAACCTGGTCTACACGCGCATACTGGTTTATGGTCTTTAATTTGGCAATCAGTATTTGGTCCACATTTGCATGGGTTGGTACAAACAGATGTCACGCAAGCATGATTTGTATTACAATCATTATCTAATTCACATTCGACACTATTGATCGGTTCTGTTGGCCGGCAAACTCCACCACCACTACTAACATATCCTGGCGGACAGGTACACAGCATAGTACGAACGGGTAGTGTTGGTGATACTTCGCATCGTGCTGGGGTTGAACAAGGTCGCAGAACTGTACATGGATTTACGCATTTCGATGACAAGCAAGCCAATTTTGATGGACAATCGGCATCAACTGTACATTCAGATGTAATTTCCGGTTTACACTGTATATATGGACTTCCAGTGAATCCTTGTTCGCATTTACAAACAGTAATATGGTTTCGTACTAGACAAATAGCATTAATTCCGCAGTTGTTTCCAGATAGGCAAGGATCAATACATCTGTGGGCTCGACATAGTTTGTCATGTGGGCAATCGCCGTTAGATCTACATTCGATTGCATTACAGCCGATAAAAGGATCACCTTCAAAACCAGCGCGACAGCGACACAGTGGATTATTTCTCTCTACATAACATTCGGCATTAGGGCCACAAGTACTATTCAAAAGACAAGGGGTAATACAATTGCCATTAATGCATGCTTCGGTCGACTCGCATTCAGAGTTGGTGCGACAACCAACTGTGCGACATATTCGGTATGGATCTCCATCGTAACCATCCCGACAAGAACAAACGGGTCGGTGATCACGAATAAAACATTCCGCATTCTCGCCACAGTTGCACGGATTGCGACAAATTCTGTTAACACAAGATTCTTGATCACTGCAGTCTTGGTCGGACGAACAGCTAAGAGGTGTTAATTGCGCTGATTTACAGGAACCATTTTCATCAGGTGTATATCCTTCTGGACAGCGACATATTAAAGTACGGAATGGCACACTGTCAGATACAGAACAACGAGAATTACCTGTACATGGTTTTAATTCCGTGCAAGCTTCACGACATTTATCTCTTAAGCAAGCGTGTTTACTAGGACAATCGTTATCGTATTGACATTCAATATTTGTGACTGACGGTCTTCTTTCACAGTACGTTAGAGGATCTCCAAGAGGCAATACTGATGGGCATTTACAGGATGCAGCATGATTTCGGGCAATGCATTCGGCGTTTGGTGCACATAGGTTTTCTCCTTCTGAAGAGCACGCATTACGACATGATCCTTTTACGCAAATGCTATCATCATTACAATCATTATTTATTTGACATTCTGTATGTTGGCATCTAGTATAAGGATTTCCATTAGTTCCTGCAGGACAGCGACAATTAGGTCGATGACCTTTTCCATAACACTCGGCGCTAATAGCACAAGGTGCTTCTAAAATGCATGGATTTACACAAGCGCCATTATAACAAGTGTCGCTATCGGAACATTCAGAATCTGACGAACAGCCAACTAAAAAGAAATAAAATCTTGTTATGAATACGTACCATATAGTAAAGAACAGTAATTATGTAATTTCTATTTTAAAAAAAGTGATTAGATTTTGTTGTATATATTATACTAATTTTTATTACATTGTAAAAATGATGATAAAAACCTTTCGTGCAACCGGTGTAAGGGTTGCCAGAATATCCGGACTCGCAGTAGCATACGGGGTGATGCCGCAGCACAGTGCAAGATGCGTGTGTGCCACATGCACATGGGTCTGCGCATGCGCTATTAATGCATGCCTGGGACAGCGGACAATCAGAGTTCGCTTTGCAACCTACTAGTATTGCCGATCCGTCTAAAGCTGTAAATGAGAGTTTATTTATTTAATAAAATATATACCGAAGGAAAATAATTGAATTTATGAATAAATACTTTATACTACACTTTAACAAGAAATAAAGACAATTCTAAGAATTTTCTTTTCATGTATTAAGAAAAATGGTTACTTACGTGCTGTACATTGCACAGTGGCTACACCTGAAAAACCTCGTGGACAGGTACATTGGGGTTTATGGTTTATAACACGACATAGAGCTCCGGGGCCACACGAGTCGACGCAAGGATTGACACAAAGTCTATTAATACAGGCACGCTCAGGATCGCATTCATCATTGCTGTAGCATTCCGCGATTGACGGTTGTCTTGGTTCTAAAAAAATATTATTCTATATTGACTAAACTTATTATTGGTTAGTGTTGGTTTTGAGTACACAGTTTTAAAACTAGTTGAATCTGATCTCTAAAAGAATAAAACTGATCACTGTACGTACATAAATGTTATTCACGTTTGTGATCACAACTAATGATGTAAATTGGTAAGTAATAATTAAATTTAATAAATCGAAAATATACAGTTTATTGTAGCCCGTACAAGCTACCATAATTACAAATTATGAGCAGAAATTCATGAAGACGACTTCAAAGCTTTCATTGTTCAACTATATTTTGTACAATATTTTTTCTAGCGAGTTTATACTCACATATATTTGAAATGTTCAAAAAATTAATTAAATTACCTGTATTACATTCAATTCTTGGGTTTCCGTTATATCCTGGAGGACAAGTGCAGCGTGAAGCGTGATCTATAGATTCACAGAGAGCATTATGTCCACATGGATCCGCTTTGCAAGCGTCCACACAACTTCCACGATGACATATTTGACTAATAACGCATTCAGAATCGGAAGAGCACTCGGCTGACGGTGGAGATTTGCAGTTACTATCTGGTGTGGTGCGTCCACCATCCGGACATATGCAAGCGACCGCACGTAAAGGTAATATGTCGACAATTTTGCATAGAAGCCCAACGTCACATGGATTTACTTCACAAAGATCAGTGCATCGCGAATTGACACATGCAAGTGGTGACGTACAGTCGGCATCTACAGTGCACTCTAGAGTGACTTCTTTAGCGCAACCACGCAGATATGGATCGCCAGTACGACCCGATGGACAAGTACATACGGGTTGATGATTTTGACCAGAACACTTAGCGCCGATGGCGCAGCTATTTTCAGAGCAAGCTGGTTGACAGGCACGATTAAGACGATTACAGATTTGTGAGTCTTCGCAATCTTCGTTATATTGGCATGCAACTGATATGCAAGCGCGATGAGGGTCGCCTTGGGTACCAAGTGGGCAACGACATGTTGCAACGTGAGCAATAGCTTCACAAGTGGCATCACGTCCACATGGAGATCCGAGAACACATGGATCTTGACAATATCCATTAATGCAGGTCTTATCAAATGGACAATCCTCATCTGAAGTGCATTCAGCTAAAACAAAACATACATATATATTATTATAAACAAAAAATATATGTATATACTTTGAATCAAGTAGATATGTTTGTTAAAATACATACGTGTATAGCAATAGCGTGCAGGATCACCAGCGGTGCCAGGTGGACAGTGGCAGCGTGCGCGATGATACTGCGCGTCACAGAGCGCACCGGAACCGCACGCCCCTTCACATGCTTGTATGCAACGTTGTGCCACGCACGCTTCGGTCGAAGCACATTCGGAATCCACTGTACATTGCACATTGGGTGTACCTGAAATAAAAAAAAATAGTAAGTCAGTAAATCATTAATTAATGTTGTATAAGCAAATAGTTAATGAGTTATTTAACTGCGTGATGAAAAAAATAGTGTACAATATATTTATTTCAGTGGTAACAATAATAGTACTAACTGGGTGGTGTGCACTCTTGGTGCGGGTCGCCCTGTAGAGGAGGTATGCAACGGCAGGAAGCGCGATGTGCAGCAGCACGACACTCGGCGCCGACGCCACATGTCAATGTATTACACACGTTGTCACATCGTCTGTTCTCGCAACGCTCCTCAACTCCGCATTCTGCGTCTTCGTTACATTGGCCTTCTATTGAATTGAAGGAGTTTCATTTAATGGGTAATCATTTTGACTTAATTTTATAATTTATTTAATTATATTGTTCTAGTTATGGAATATACAGTTATTTATTATTTACAGATACATTAATAGTTTTACCACTTATATGAGAAAAAGTTCTACACTACAGTAAATTTCTATATATATACCCAAAACCTATAAAACACAATCAGTGTAATATTGTATAAAGGTTTATGTACAGGAAGTGCTTTGTATATATTAAGGTCCTATTACACACTCTATAAAATCGTGTTCGAAAATAAAAATAAACTAGTTTTACTTTGCACATTTGTTATCCAGAGTCCAATAAAAGCTGCTGACATGTATTCTATCTGAAATTCATATTAGACATTCATATTATTAATATGATTTAATAAATTTGAGATGCTATGGTGTAAACTACTTACTTGGTTTACATTCTACAGACGCGTCTCCGGTAAGGGGCTTAGGACATTCACAAACAAGGGTGCGGAACGGCAATGTATTCGTCACACGACATACAGCTCCTATTCCACAAGACGTCTTCTCACAAGGATTCTTACAACTATTCTGCAAGCATGCTAGATCCGGGGCGCATTCGGCATCCGTTTGGCACTCGACTTGATGAAATACTATTAAAAGATGAAGTACTGTTGATTTATGTAAATGTACACTATGAGACTGTACTTATAATTATTGTATTGAATACGAACCTGGTAGACATTGGATTTTAGGGTTGCCTTGTGTACCACGGGGACATTCACAGTTCGGTGTGTGACGTGTTACAGTACAACGTGCTTCTGGTGCACATGCTCCAGGACAAGGATCCTGACACATGCCATGTCTACAAGCCAGCCAAGTTGGGCAGTCATTATCTGAAGTACATTCGTCTCTACGACACGCTGACCATGGATTTCCCTTCGAACCGTTATCACATTCACAGATTGCTGTATGTCCACGAGGCGTACAGTGAGCGTTAATTCCACAGCGAATACGCGTGCAAACTTTAACGCATGATCCACTTTCACAGTTTTCATCGTCTGGGCAATCATTATTGCTATGACATTGAACTGAAATATGCATAAAAACATTAAACGTAAACAATAAAATCGACGAGATATTTTCTATATTGTATAAAAATTCGTTAAAGTTTTACATAATGTTTTTCTATACCAGAGTGTAGTGGTATGTTAGGTTTGCTACATGCTATACTAACTTTCCTAAAGATTAGTAAAATTATTATTACACTGTGCTAAAATAAAGCATAAGCCCATTATTATAATTTTACTTACCCGAATAACATCCCCTGTATGCATTTCCTTCATAGCCAGGTAAGCACACACACCGAGCTCGGTGTTGTTTAGCTAAACAACGTGCATTGATACCACAATTAGTGGAACTGCAGACAAGTAAACAACGGGAGTCGACACATGCTGCGTTGTCATCACATTGCTCATCTCTGACACATTCAGGCACGGGTGGAGCTGCTATTGGAATGAGGACTCTTTCACAGCGTACGAACGGTGAACCGGTATAACCAACTGGACATGAGCAAACAGCACTATGCCTAACACCAGTGCATAATGAATTAATTCCGCATGCGTTTACACAAGGATCTGAACATTTTCTATTAATACAGGTTCGATCTCCTGGACAGTCGTCGTTAACTATACATTCCGGGTATATGCAGGAGCCATCGCGACATGTTCCACGAGGTCCGCAAGGATTAGGATCGCAAGGGTCGTAAGTTGCAGGTGCTGGTTCTAAAAATAATAAAATAGCCATTAATTTAAATGATGTAATGTCTGTAGGATAACTGATAAGTTAGTAATTTGGAATCCTTACAGTAATTCATAAGATTGGCCTTGAAAATGTTTCCCATGGTATGAGTGCGTGCTTCTATTGATTATCTGGTCTAAACGTTTTAAGGGCTATTTTGCAGCCAACGCAGATAATTTCGAATTAGCTTTATATACTTAATGATTGTATATTAATGTTTAAACTAAGACATATTACAGTAATAAATATGATATGCAGTAGAAAAAGTAAAGTTTTTCCTTGTAAAAATATTTATGGCAAGACTAGGTACATTAAAACATGTTTTTTTTATTATATACTAACCCTCGGGGCGACATTGGATAAATGGATCCCCTGTTGTAGATGGTGGACACGAGCATATAGGTGCGTGGTCAAACACGCGACATAGTGCACCATTTCCACACGCCCCCAAGCATGGATCGACACATTTATTACGAACACATGTGCGATCGCGTGCACATTCCGAGCTAACAACACATTCGGGTCGGCAGCCCGTGGAAGTCGCATCACCACTAGTACCAGTAGGGCATGTGCATACAGCACTGTTACCCACCACGTTGCATAATGCACCTGGCCCACACGGCGATGGTGTACACGGAGGTGCTGCAAGTAAAGATGAAAAATCAAAAACTTGTTTGTAATATTTTTTCTTTTTAACAGATCAATACTATGAAACAATAATTAACCATTACTTACGAGTTGTTATAATTTCACAATTTTCGAATGCATTTCCTCTAGTTCCTGGAGGACAGGAGCATAACGGGACATGATTGACTGTTTCACATTCTGCACCTATGCCACAAGTTCCTTGACATGGATCTCGGCAGTGTGATCGTATACAAGATCGTGTTGGTGAACAGTCAGAGTCAGAAAGGCACTCCGGTCGGCAACCTGTATATGGATCACCGAGTAAACCAGGCTCGCATTCGCAAGAAGCGCCAACTCCTTTTGTACGACATATTGCACCGGGGCCGCAGGGCGATGGGTTACATGGGTTTGGTGGTATGGCTGTAAAGTCAATAAACCATTATGATTACATTTGTTAAACTATAATGCAGCAAATTGGGTAAGCGCTTTTCTTGAAGCGTTTGATAACGTTATATCTCCGCATAAACAATTAATCTAGTTTCGCAAGTAAAACCCATGCCTAAGTTTTAAAAGCGAAAACGTAGATAACGTTTATAGGATGATTTACGCAGTTTATACAATAATTCCTTTATACATATTTAGCAACTTTATTTCTTTATTTCTTTTCGATAATAAAAGCAATCTTCCATGTGAGCCTGTCTTACGGATATTCTCGAAGGGACGACATTGTACGAGAGGATTTCCGACAGTGCCTTGGGGGCAACTGCAACGCGGTTCATGTGCTATGGGCGAACACTGCGCCCCACTGCCGCAAGCACCGAGACACGGATCCACACAACGTTTATTAATACAAGTGAGATGCCAGTCGCAGTCGTTAGAACTGAGACACTCGTATTGACAAAAAGGTGGTTCTCCGAAGAAGGTAGCTCGACAGCGACACTGGTTATCGATACAATCAGCATTTGGTCCACAGTTCTGGCACGTTGGAATCTTCGGTTCAACTTCAACAGCTGTTGAGAATAATGAATAGTAAAATAGTACATATATTTCTGCTACTGTTACTTGGTTTATAAATTTTCGAATATTTTGTACCTTGTAAACAACGAATGAATGGATCACCAACAAAATTAGATGGGCAAGTGCAGATTGGAGCGTGCATTCGAACGTGGCATATAGCATGTGCTCCGCAGCTACCAGGACATGGATCTTGACATTTATTGTTGCGGCAGCTACGATTAGGAGGACACTCTGAGTTAGAATGGCACTCAGGTCGACATCCGGGTGGTCCTCGGTTAGCGGCAGGCTGACAGGAGCAGTGAGCGACGGTGCCTGCCGCACGGCATATGCTGCTCGGTCCACATGGGTTTGGCGTGCACGGATCCTCCGATATAACGGGCACTACAAATATTAATAATTTCATTACATATAGTTTACATTATTTCTAGTTGGGATTGTTATTAAAAAAATTCTTATACCATACGTTAATAATAGAAAAATAGAAAAGATTCTGTCATAATCGCTCAGTACGTAGTATATTTGAATTTTAATTTTGTTGTGTATTCAGTTAATTACAATGAAGTATCATTATAATTAACTGAATAATTGAGAAAATTGCTGTAAATTAAATCCTTATATATTTTGTTTACAATTAAATAATTCATGTTAAAACTTAATATATATATTAATAACCCTAAAATTGAAAGGTACTAATAACTATTTAGATATACGTTAGATTTAATTTTGATAACAGTGGCTGTGGTAAAACATACCTGCTACACGACAAGATAAGAAAGGATCTCCTTGTAAAGGCGCTGGACATTCACATATAGCTATGTGATTGTAAACGTTGCACACTGCCCCACTGCCACATGCGTTAGTGCAAGGGTTTGTACATTTATAATTAACACAAGCCATTTGTTTTGAACATTCATTGTCGCTTGTACATTCTGGTCGACACTCGATAAACGGATTACCATGGTATCCAGTAATGCATGAACAGGTTCCATTATCGCAAATTGCATTAATACCACATGGGTTACTTTCGCATGGCTCAACTGGCTTTTCTGGTTCTGCACACAAAATGTAAGATACAAGTGTATTATATTGTATTATATATTAGGTTAAGTGATTACAAAACGTAGAAATATATTTTTAATTATATTTACCATGGTCCATATAGCAGCCTTCAAATGAATTTCCACGGTAGCCCGATAAACATGTACATATAGCAAGGTGATTCATAGCTCGACATTCTGTATTGGCACCACACGATCCTATACAAGGGTCCACACATTTCTCTCTGACACACGCTTTATCATTAGCACAATCTTGGTTGATGGTGCATTCGGGAGCACAGCGTGGTGGTGCACCAACATAACCCGGGTTACAGGTGCAAAGGGCTGAACCACTTAAGTCTTTGCATGTCGAATATGGACCACATGGACTAGGTTCACATGGTGAAGGTACCGGTGGGGTCATTTGTATCTCTTTGGTGCATCTGACAAATGGATCCCCCTCAAATTTTGGTAGACAAGTACAGTAGGGACTATGATGATGGACGCGGCACTGTGCGTTGTCTCCGCACATTTCTAAACAGGGATCTGTACATTTTTGTTTAATACAAGCCCTGTTAAGCGGACACTCAGAACTTGTGAGACATTCTGGTCGACAGTTTGGTGGCGTACCGATGTATTCTTGTTCACATGTGCAAATAGCCTTGTCATTAACATTTTTGCAAATACTGTACGGTCCACATGGCGAGGGTGTGCATGGATCGGTCGGTTTTTCTGAAATAGATGTTATATTTTTAGGTAATTTTATTTAGGTATATATGATTCGTTAATTTATGCAAAATGTAACAAAATTTAAGCATCCCCTTAAAGTTATTGCATGATATGCTACGACATAAATATTAATTGTTTTTATTAAACTAAATATCATAACACTAGTTTTGTGAAAAAATGTCCAATTGTAACTAACAGTATTTTAATAAACCGAAAGTTGACAGACATGTCATATAGATTAAATTGGGTCTTTTATTAATTAACATTACACACTGCATTAATAATTATAAATAAAAATAATTTATTACCTTCTATGTAAGTACAGATACTATAAGGGTTACCCACGTATCCGAATTTGCAAATGCATTGTGCTACATGATTCACTATTTGACATTGGGCATTGGTACCACATAAGCCTGGACAGGGGTCTTTACATTTGTTATTGATGCAAACCAAATTTGCTGCACAGTCAGAATTAAGAAGACATTCTGGTCTGCAGCCCTCGTAAGGGTTACCAAAGTATCCATTTACACAAGTGCAGCTACCAACATTGATACGTTCTTGACAGATAGCGTTAGGTCCACAAGGGTTTGGTGAGCATGGTTTTTCTTGATCAACTGGTTTGGGAGCTGAAATAAAAACAAACGGCACATGCTAATATATTTTTGGAACTTATGAACATAAATATTAAGGTAATAATATAATACGAGAGTAAGAAATAATCTTACCAGTAATAGGTACGCATGAATCAAAAGAGTCTCCCTCATATCCTGGATTACATACACATTGTGGTGAGTGGCTAATGACTCTACATTCAGCATTACGAGCGCACGCTCCGAGACATGGATCAGTGCACTTCTTATTTATACAAGCTTTATCGAAACTACATTCGCTGTTCGTAACACATTCAGGGCGACAATATGGTGGATTTCCAATAAAGCCTGGTGAGCATGAACAGGATGCAGTTTCCTGGACTACTCGACATATAGAATTTGGTCCACAGGGCGATGGCTGGCATGGAGCAGGCTTAACCGGTGGTAGTTCTATATAACAAGAAATAAACAAGATTTGTGACTGAATAATAAATATAATAGTAAAAATTTACGAAACGACCGAGACTATAATTCGCATTCGAAGCATTTGACAAATTGGTTTGAAAATTCAGGAAGCGATTTCACATATATGTACTGGGTACTGTTCAAGCTATACTGGTTTCTTTAGGTTGAGACATAAATGCAAATTATGTTAACAAGTTGTTGAAAGTTTTTCAACTTAATAAATGAAATGAAAAAATTAGGTATGTATGTATATACAAGTTAAATAAAACCATTTAATTGAAATATAATATCTAAGCTTGCTTTAATTTATAATAAAGGCATAGACATAGAATAAGTACTTACCTTGTTTGAGGACTGTGCATTGGGTGAATGGATCACCAGTAAATCCATTACGACAATAACAAATTGGTCTGTGATTATGAACTTTACATTCAGCGTTGAACCCGCATGATCCACAACATGGGTCTATACATTTCTGGTTGGAACATGACATCATGCTTGTGCAATCGGAGTTAATTAGACACTCAGGTCTGCATGAAGGTGGTACGCCGATATAACCGATCAAACAGGAGCAGACGCCCTGATTATTAGAAGGACGACATAAACTGTACGGACCACATGGAGATGGCTCACATGGATTTTCATTCTCCGCCTTAACTGAAATAGACAATATATGTATATATATATTTAGTTTAATAATACAAACGATAATCATATGTAAAAATGTACACAACAGTAGTCACTTTAGTTTTTAAGATACAGGCCTGCGTGCTTAGTGTACTAGAATTAGAAGTACAGTGAAACTGAAAATGAAAATGTCTACTAAAAATAAAGTATAATAAGTAAATATTTGTTATAATGTGACATATTGATCATAATACTTGTATACAAAATCATACCAGGTGTCGGTGTACAGGCGAAAAAGGCGCTCCCTGTCGTATTTGGAGGACAACTACACACGGGAACATGATTGAAAACGTCGCATTGTGCGCCTTGACCACATAGGTTAATGCATGGATTGATGCACTTGTTATTTGAGCAAGCCAAATTTGGCGCACAATCAGTATTTTGTGTGCATTCAGGGCGACAGCTCAAGTAAGGGTTTCCGAAATAATTGGGTCTACATGTACATTGCCCGTTATTACAGTCGGCGTTTGAGCCACATGGACTTGGATTGCACTTATCATATACTGTTGGTACAGGTTCTGTAAGCATTAAAGAATTCATAAAAAATACTGACGATTTATCAATTTCAATTTTAAATCTTTAAAATTAATAAACCTACCTATATTCTCTGTGGGATGACAGCTTTCAAAGGGATTTCCGGTATACCCTTCTCTACAGCTGCAAATGGCAGCATGCTGATAAACTAGACATTCAGTTTGAAGACCACAAGAACCGGGACAAGGATCACGGCATTTTTGATTAATACAGGCCATGGTACTTGAACAGTCCGAATTAATAGTACATTCTGCTCTGCAGTTAGGTGGTGCTCCGATGTAGTTGTTTATACACGAACATACAGGAACGTTATTAGTGATTTGACAGAGAGCATTTGGACCACATGGTGAGGGTAGACATGGGTTTTGTTCTCGCGCAGGTGATGAGACTACAAATAAATAAAATTTGTTAAAAAGAGTTTAGGATTGTTCCTCTCAGTGTATTTATTTAAATGTTTTGAAGCTTAATCAGTTTTCAGTATATCCAATTTTAATAATTTAATAACTCGAATAATTAGTCTACTTACTGGTTATAATGGCACATCTTATAAAAGGATCTCCATCGAAGCCTTGTCGGCATGTACAAATAGGTGCGTGATTAACAACTCTACACTCAGCATCTTGTCCGCAAGCACCGATACATGGATCAACACATTTCTGTCTTACACAACTCATTGTTACCATGCATTCTGCACTAACAGTACATTCCGGACGACAGTTAGGAGGGGATCCGTAAAACTCGGGCATACATGAGCATGTTGCCAAGCCATTGTTATTCTTACAAACGGTGTTGATTCCGCACGGATTTGGTACACATGGATTTTCAAATGTAGGTTCTGTAATAAATAATACATAATTTAATCTAAAACTTGGACAACATTAACTATTACATAGTAGACATATAATATATATACATATATATATATATATATATATATATGTATATATATTATATGTCTAAGAATATTTATCAACGGTTCTTTGTATTCGTTGTATTTTATTCAGATGATATATGTAATGTAGTATGTATATGTAGATACATATTAAATATAATGCATATTGTGTTAGAGTTTTAAAAAATATTTGTCACACGAAGTGATTCAACTTATATTTCTTTCGATAACCTCGGTGATATACCTCTTTAGCACACCACCTTCCGATGGTTGCAAGATCGATTCTTGACACGTGGCAAACATTTATATTTCTAAATATGATTGTTTGTATGGGACTAGGCTTTTTCTGTATGTATATCTAACAGTCTAGCACCCATAACACAAGGTCTCTAATCTTGTAGACTGGCGCTGTGTGAATTGTCCCGGATTATTATTATGGTGCTAGGAAAATCAAAATGGGTAAGTTCGAAGAAAATTGCAGGTATACGACATAAACTGTAACGTCACCCAGCGTTATTCGTATTGCATTTTGATTATATAAACGCTCCCGCTCGGTATAATTGGTTATGTCCTGTATGTGTTGTGTTGTGAACACAAGAAGGAACGAATAAAGTAGTTTCATAAACTATCTACTACTTCAGTTAAAGAATAACAACTAATAATATTAAAATAAGAGGACTCACCATTATCCTTTATAAAAATGTGACAGTATTGGTATGGATTTCCGGTATAACCTGACGCACAGTTGCAAGTTGGTACATGATTAATAACTTGACAAATTGCCGTTGAACCGCATACTCCTGGGCAGGGATCTTCGCATCGATTCTTCCTACAAGCTTTATTAAATGGACACTCATTATCTACGACACATTCTGGTCTACAATTTTCATAAGGATTACCGAAGTAACCTGGTTCACAGATGCATGCAGCAGCTCCATTTGTTGATACTTTACAACGGGAGTTTGAGCCACACGGTGTTGGGTTGCATGGATCTATGGGCTCGTTAACAGTGGGTTTAAGATAACACGATGTAAATGGATCGCCTGTAAAACCATTTTGGCAAGAACACATAGGACTATGTAGATGAACTGCGCAATTAGTATTAACACCACAAGAGCCGGGGCAAGGATCTGAACATTTGAAATTGATACAGGCTTTGTTCGAAGGGCATTCATCATTCGAAGCACATTCTCGGCGACATTGTGGGGGAATACCCTCAAAAGTTGGTTGACAAGCACAATTATGTGATTTTCTATCCGAAGTTACTGTACATAGGCTGTTTGAACCACACGGCGACGGTATGCATGGATTGGCTGCTGGTTCCTCCAGAGGTAAAACTGTAAATAAAACTTTTTTGTTATACTAACTCTATCAAATCAAAACATAAAGATTACATAACGTTTATTACCGTAGCAAGAACTGAATGGTGATCCAGTATATCTGTCCGGACAAGTACATATTGGATTATGATTTTTAACGTCACATAAAGCATTATGTCCACAAGAACCAGGACATGGATCCTGACATTTGCGATTTATGCAAGCTAAATTTGAAGAGCAGTCTGTACTTTGAATACATTCTGGTCGGCAATTTGGTGGATTGCCTATAAAACCTTGAATGCAAGCACATACAGCTTGACCATTTGCTTCCCGGCATATACTACTTGGCCCACAAGGTGATGGTTCACAAGGCCTAGTAACAGGATCTGTAATAATATGAATATCTAAATATTATCTGATAACATAACAATAAATATATTATATAACATATTAAGAAATGCATACTTTCTATTTTGGTGCATTCTATGAAAGAACTTCCCGTTGTACCCCTTGGACAACTGCATATAGCAACGTGGTTGTAAACATTGCACTCTGCGTTAATTCCGCACATATTACGGCAGGGATCAATACATTTTAATTGTAAACAAGCTTTATTTGGAGGACAGTCAGAGTTTAATACACATTCAGGTCGACACTCAAAGTATGGATCTCCTTGATATTCAGGTAAGCATGTACATATGCCGTTGTTACATTGAGCGTTTGGACCACACGGTGATGGGTGACATGGGTCGACGTGATGTGGTTGTTCTATTGACAAAAAAAAAACAATATTATGCATTTTATAAATAGCGATAACAGCGATAATAAAAGATACATAGTGAATTTATTACCTGGTGGTTTAATACTACATGCTGAAAATGGATTGCCTTGATATCCTACGGGACATGAGCATACTGGTACGTGATTAATAACATTGCACATAGCGTTTAGTCCACAGGAGCCCAGACAAGGATCTTGACATTTCATATTTATACAGGCTTTATTGTTGCTGCAGTCTGTACTTATAACGCATTCTGGTTTGCAATTAGGTGGGCTACCAAAGAAACCTACCATACATGTGCATGAAGGAATTTTTCCTATATCTCGACATTCAGCATTTAGGCCACATGGGGAAGGAACACATGGATTAACGAATTCCTCAATTGAATATTGTGGTTTTTGCTGTTTAAGACAAATGGTGAAGGGATCTCCAGTATATCCTTCTTTACAGGTACAAATGGGATTATGATTGATCATCTTACAATCTGTGTTCTGGCCACAGGCTTTCGGACAAGGCGAAACACATTTCAAATTTTCGCAGACTTTATCCAATGAACATTCAGAACTAGTAATACATTCCGGGCGGCATACCGGTGGTGAACCTTGATATCCACTTAAACAAGTACATATAGATAAACCATTCTGAGATTTGCAATTACTGTAAGGTCCGCATGGTGAAGGATTACAAGGATCCAATGGTTCCACTGTAACAGAATAAAGTTTTGATGTGAATCATGTATGATGTAAATTGAAACCTATATAATAATTACTTTTAGTATAGACGAACTTACTTTGAACTTTTATTGTACATATCTTATATGGATCTCCATAATATTGTTCGAAACATGAACACGTTGGAATATGATTTATTACGTTGCACACAGCATTTATACCACAAGTTCCAGGACATGGATCCTTACATTTGTTTTGTATACATGCAAGATTTGAAGCACAATCTGAACTTAGAATACATTCTGGTTTACAAGCCTCATACGGATTTCCAAGATATCCTGGTAGGCATGTGCAAGATCCGGCATTATTTTGCTCTCTACATTCAGCATTGACTCCACATGGTGACGGTACACAAGGAGTTGGACGTTCTTCTACTGATGCAGCCACTTCAAGATTACAGGAATAGAAAGGATCACCTGTGAATCCATTTTGACACAGACATATAGGAGTATGACTTACAACCCTACATTCTGCATTCTGCCCACAAGAACCAGGGCATGGATCTTGACACTTTCTATTTAAACAAGCCGTATTTGATGAACAATCGGTATTGCTAGTGCATTCAGGTCGGCAGTTGGGTGGAGAGCCAATGAACTCTGATAAGCATCTACAATCAGCAAACTCGCCATTTTCAGTGCATTGTGAATTAGGTCCACATGGTGAAGGCAAGCAAGGATTTATTTTTACTGGTGGCGCAGCAGCTGCAATAAAATATTTAAAGTTTGTTTTAAAAATATAACCAAGTATTAATATAGAAAATCATAAAGTGTAGTATAGTAGTGTAATATAATACTTACGTATTAATTGGCAGACTGAAAATGGATCGCCAGAGTAGCCTGCCAAACAGGTACATACTGGATTATGATTTACTACTATACATTGCGTGTTACGTCCGCAAGCTCCTGGACACGGGTCTATACATTTCTGATTAGAACATGCTTGGTTAAGATTACAGTCGGAGCTTACAGCACATTCTGGTCGACAATTCGGAGGACTGCCAATATAGCCTTGGACACAAACGCACACAGCGTGTCCTGTTACGTCTCGGCACTGGCTGTAAGGCCCACAAGGAGAAGGTTCACACAAGTTAATTGGTAACGCTAAATCTGAAAATCCATGAAAAATATATACCATTAGTAAATTAATTCAAAATTGTATAGTTTCTTTATAGTAGTATCAAGAATTGAACCATTCTTTAACGATCTTATTATAAAATCCATTACGATATATATATCTACAGATAAATATGTTGTAAGATAACTTTATTGTTGTAATGATATCAAGTTTTCAATAATATTTCAGCAATAATAATATATGTATGCGACATAAGGCTTTCTGAAACTCTATATTGTAGAAGTAATCTGTGATTTTTAAATTAACAAATATTCGTTATACACTAAATATTCATATAGATAAAAATCTTTGAAGGTCATCTTTTAATCCTCATACATAGAAAAAGTATATAAGTTATTTCCTTTTTGTAATTTATTTTAATATCACCCACTGCACTTGGTAGGTTTTACAATTAACTACGGATCTAATAATTAAAAAGAATTCCATTCCACACTTTATATTTGCAGAAATAAATAAATAAATGATGCATTGTTTTGAAATTGTGAGTGAAATAAAATAAATACTATACCAAACAGTAAATAAAACTGTTGTTTCATATAGAAGACTTTATGGAAGTAAATAAAGATATGTAATAAAATAAGTAATGACAATAAGTATGGTATGATAATATATATATGATAAGATAATAAATTAGTAATATTTTTATTTCTTTGATTTAAAAAGTAATAATCACCTGAGTTAATTTTTGAGCAATAAGAAAATGGGGATCCAGTGGTTCCCGGTGGGCATGAACACATAGGAATATGGTTAATAGTTTCACATACTGCATCAGTACCACATGTTCCTTCACAGGGATTGGTGCATTTGTATTTTATGCAGGATTTATGTCTTGGACAATCGGAGTTCAAGACACATTCAGGTTTGCATCCAATATAGGGATCACCGTAGTACTCTTCTATACATAAACAAACACCATCTCGACAGACAGTATTAGGCCCACAAGGAGAAGAAGAACATGGATCGACTGGTTCTAGAAAGAAAAATTTGAGATTTTATGTTCTTTAGATATAAGGGTTGACGGTTGGTTGAGGTTCTCATTTCAAAGATATTTTTATGTGTACATATTCGAAAATACTTCTATTTTACTAGAAGTTATAGCTGTTATATTCTTTTCTTGTGACAGAAAATACTTAAGTACTTACCTTCATGCATGATATTACAATTGCTAAATGGATCCCCGGTAAATCCAGACAAACAGGAACAAATTGGTAGATGATTATTGACATTACATTGAGCGTTATTTCCACATGCTCCTGGGCAAGGATCTACACATCTATTGTTTATGCATGATTTAATTGCATTGCATTCAGAATTTATAGTACATTCTGGTCTGCAGTTTGGTGGCGAGCTAATGTAGTTCGGTAGGCAGGTACATCGAGCATTGCCGCCGTATTCTTGACACTGTGAATTTGGACCACATGGTGATGGGACACAAGGATTCGCCGGAGGTTGTGGTATAACATTCTGTATTGGCACTGAAACAATAAATCATACACATGTAATTACTTTACATATATTAAACAGTAATTACAAAGGGAATTAAAAAAAACAGTACAGTATACCATTCTAACATGCAATATAAGAATTTCAAGCAAGATTTTCCGATTTTGTGGCAGCTGTAGTCTTATTTAGCAGTGCTATGACAGCTTTAGAGTCAATTGTATATTATTATTAAATAAGGGAGTCTTAAAAAGACACCGGAGTATTAATATTTTATCTGGTAGGTACTCACTTGGTATACAGTTAGTGAAAGGATCGCCGGTGTAATGGTCTTGACATGAACATATTGGATTATGTGAGAATACTCTACAGATGGCATTCCGGGCACATTGTCCAACACAAGGATCTACACATTTCCTATTAATGCAGGCTTTGTCACTTGAGCATTCACTGTTGATTATACATTCTGGGCGACAGTTTGGTGGCGTACCCATAAAGTCAACTTGGCAACTACATATTGCTTGAGAATTTATTTCACGACACTGACTATTAGGACCACAAGGCGATGGAGTACATGGAGTAGGTTTTTGTATATCTGAAATATAATTTACAATTTATATAGTTTTATATGTATTTATGAAATTGATTGTCTTTTTTCTATCCAAATGCTAAGTATATTTCAAAACTATTAAAGTACCATACTTAACAAATTATTTTTTTAATAGCATGTTAAAATACACATTGTTGTACTGCATGAAAAGTATGTATTACAATCATACATTAACATACATACTTTTCATGCAGTACAACAATGTGTATTTTAAAATGCTATTAAAAAAATAATTTGTCTCCGTGTTATGTCCCCTTTATTACTAATTGAGATTTCGCTATCGTGCCCTTCTGAAACATCTCTTCTATTGCTTATTTACGGTAAAAAAACTTAACCGTTGTGCTTTTTTATACGTGAATAGCACCAAACTCGTTCATCAATTAGTATCGACTTAAACCTACCTTCAATTTTTTCAACGCAGTATGAGTAAGCGTTGCCTGTTAAACCAGGTGGACAATAACAGGACGGCAAATGATTTATAACTTGACACAATCCATTTGGTGCACATACTCCAGGACATGGGTTTTTACATTTGTTCTGAATACAAGCTAACATCGGAGGACAATCGCTGTTTATTACACATTCTGGTCTACATCCTTCATATGGATTACCCACATAAGACTCGACACATTTACATGATCCAGCGCCATTTCTCTCAGTACATACAGCATTAATTCCGCATGGCGAAGGATCGCAGGGCGAATCGTATTCTATTGGAGTATCTGTAAAATAGAAATAAAATGCGTTTAGAACTTAAAAATTACACAAACATCACACATTTTCTAGTATTGAAAATATTACCTTCAAATGAATTACAAGAAATTAAAGGATCCCCGGTTTTATCATACGGACAAGAACACACCAAAGCATGACTAATTATTTTGCAATCCGCATTATATCCACAGCTTCCTGGACAGGGATTTTTACACTTTTGGTTGACACAAGCTAGGTTGCTAGGGCATTCAGAATTACTAATGCATTCTGGCCGGCAATTAGGCGGTGAACCTATATACTCAGCTTGACAAACACATGATGGAGATTCTCCAATTACTTTGCAAGTAGAGTATGGACCACACGGTGACGGTGAGCATGGATCAACAGGTGGTAAAGGTGATGCAACTGAAATAATAATCATATATTTAATACCTGTTAGTTATAAATGTGAGGTATTGCATATTAATTACTGCAAATTTTGTACCTATAGGAGTACAATATGTAAACGGATCTCCGGTGTATTGCGGTGGACATGAACATATTGGATTATGATTGATTACTTCACATTTTGCTCCATAGCCACAAGAACCCACGCAAGGATTTATACATTTATGATTGTTACATGCTTCATTGGATGGACATTCAGCGCTAATTGAACACTCTGGTCGGCATGAAGGCGGACTACCAATAAATGTCGGTAAACATGAACATATCGCTTGATTATTTATTGGACGACATTGACTGTTAGGTCCGCATGGACTAGGTTTACACGCTTCTACTTTTGTTACTGAAAATAAATAAAAGTTGGATTAAATTCTATATAACTTTACCTAATATTCGTTTTACATTTCATTTATTATAATATATACTCACTTTCTACTATATTACATCCTATAAAAGCATTTCCTGATGTGCCTTCAGGACAAGAACAGATTGGTATGTGATTATAAACATTACAGTGTGCTGTTACGGCACATGGTCCTGGACATGGGTTGATACATTTGTTTCTAGAGCAAACCTTGTCTGCAGAGCAATCCATATTTATGACACACTCAGGTTTACATCCGACATATGGATCGCCATAATAGTCATTCAGACAAGTACATTGCCCATCCCTACAATTTGTATTAAATCCACATGGTGATGGGTTACATGGATCAGTCGCTATTACATCTGAAATACGGATTTATATGTTTTACTGATTCCTTATTATTTCATATATTTTATTTAATAGAAATAATCTCACCGTTTGTTGGTAATTGAAGAACACAGTGTGTGAATGGATCACCACTATAACCTTGTGGGCATGTACATGCGGGATAATGATTGAAAACTGTACAAATTGCCTGTTGGCCACAACTGCCGGGACATGGGTCGCGACATTTTAAGTTCATGCAAGCTTTGTTAAGTGGACAATCTTGATTAATAGCACATTCAGGTCGGCAATTTGGTGGCAGTCCTTGGTAGTTCGCCATACAAGTACAAGAAGGAGCGTTATTGATATCACGGCATATAGCGTTTTCACCACATGGATTTGGTACACAAGGATTACGATTTGGTTCTGGAGGATATTCAAGCGTTGCTGAAATAAAGGTAAGGATTATTATAAAAATAAGTGCTATATAATAGTTATAATATTCTTTGAATTTAAATAAACTTTTCCACTTACGCTTTGAATAGCATCGGGTGAAGGCATCTCCTATAAATCCCGAACGACAAGAACATATAGGACTATGATTAATTACTCGGCAATCGGTATTTGATCCACAATGTTTTGGACAAGGGTCAGTACATTTCTGGTTTATACAGGCTTTATCTGAAGCACATTCAGAACTAACAGTACATTCTGGTCTACACCCAGGTGGTGAACCGACATAGTTTGACATACATGAACATACACTCTGACCATTGACAGGACGACAGATACTATTAGGTCCACAAGGATTTGGCAGACATGCAGTTGGCGGTTCCGGGTTGGGTTCTGAAATAATTATAACATTATAAGCATTGAATAATAGGTTAATGTAAACTATACTTTAATATCTATTTAATACCGGAAACGTACCATTCATAATGTCACATCTACGATAGGGATCTCCAGTGTAGCCGGGAGAACAACTACAAGTGGGTAAGTGGTTAACAACAATACAAGTGGCCATAGATCCGCATGTTCCAGGACATGGATCCTGGCATTTATTACGGATACAAGCCTTATTTGGTGTGCAATCAGTGCTTACAGTGCACTCTGGACGGCAGCCTTCATAAGGATTTCCAATATATTCAGGAAGACAGATACAAGAACCAGCAGAATTGTTTTCTTTACATATAGCATTAGGCCCACATGGTGAAGGATCACAAGGGGTAGGCCTTTCTGGAGTAATGTCTTGTTGTACAGCACAATTTAAAAATGGGTCTCCAGAAAAGCCGTTTTCGCAGAAGCACATTGGAGAATGACTTATAGTTTTGCAAAGTGCATTAACACCACAAGCACCGATGCATGGATCTTTACATTTTTGATTAATACAGGCTTTGTCAGAAGTACATTCACTGTTACTCGAACATTCTGGTCTGCAGTATGGGGGAGTACCAAAGAAGTTTGACATACATGTGCAAGAGGGACTCTCTGAAATTTCTTTGCATATTGAGTTTGGTCCACATGGTGAAGGTGTACAAGGTGTAACATCGGTATATTGTGGTCCTAGAAATAAAAAAAAGTATTTAAAGTTTATCTGTATAGCATAGTTATAATTTTTTATATTTCTTTGTCGTAAAGTATATTTTATAATAACTATTTTATAACTTTATACTTTTTTATGACAAAATTATGTAAGTAATTGCAATTACAACTAAATTATATAAATAAAACAATATTATATAGTAAAAATACTAAATTGCTAAGAGTAGCTTATATATAACTTACTGTATTGTGAACATCTTTTGAACGGATCTCCAGTGTAGGAAGGTGGACAAGTACATATTGGATTATGTTTAACAATATTACAAACGGCATCAACACCACATGATCCTATGCAAGGATCAATACATTTCTGATTAGAACACGCTTTGTTAGGTGCACAATCTGAACTAACAATACACTCTGGTCTACATAATGGAGGACTGCCCATATACCCTTGTACACAAGTACATACGGCTTGGCCGTTTACTTCTCTACATTGGCTATTCGGTCCGCATGGCGACGGAAGGCATGGGTTGGTTTCAATTGGCACTGTAACAAAGAAATATATTCGTATTCATATTTTTTTCTTTAAGACATTATATTACGAGGACATGGTTGCGTCTGGATAATGGTACATCTATTTGTCCAGACGCAACCATCTCCTCGTCCAAAATATCGTCGACATAGTTATACAGAAATGTGATTACATGAAAACAAGCATAGTGATATCTTGTAAGGCCTTGAGTATTGTATCGATAATTAATACTTACGCATCAACTATTTATATAGAAGTCATTGGTACGAATATGAAACTTATTTTTATCAGACAATATAATTTAACCAATTATATATAGAATAGAAAATGGCAACTCTTTAAAAAGTACGGTACGATAGTTACTTAAAAGTGTCTATAACGCTATGGTTTTTTATTCTCACTCAATCTTTGACAAATGCTACTTTCAAAAGTACGAACACGTCATGTCTTTAAAAATATACGCGTGTGCAAATTTTTATTATTATGTGAATATGACATTATGAGATTGAATATATATGAATATATTGATGCATATACGAAGCAGGTACATGAATAACCAATATTCTTATACAGTTTTATATACCTTTTATCAATTCACATCCATAGAAGGCATTGCCAGTCATTCCTTGGGGACAACTACACATCGGTATATGATTTATTACATCACAAATTGCATTAGCAGCGCATGTTCCTTTGCAAGGATTCACACACTTGTTTTTCAAACAAGCTTTTTCTCGCGTACAGTCGGTACTTAGTACGCATTCTGGCCGACATCCAATATACGGATCACCATGATATTCGTCCATACAATAACATTGACCATTATTGCATAATGCGTTGGTACCACAAGGTGATGGATTACATTTGTCAATGGGGACATCGGCATCTGCAATAAAAGTTAATATATTATTAAAACTTAGTAATAATAAAATTAAATCAGTAAAGAACTTAAAAATAATAATGAATGAAAATAATTAAAAATAATAACGAACCAGGTAATTTTGGTGTACAAACTGCAAAGGCATCTCCCGTATAACCGTCAGGACATGTACAAATAGGATTATGACGCGATACAGAGCATATTGCATTTATACCACAAGAACCAGGGCATGGATCTCGACATCTTTGTTGAATACACGCCTGAGATGTTGGACATTCTGCATTTATAGTACATTCAGGTCTACAATTTGGTGGAGTACCAATGTAATTTACCATACAAGCACACGATGGAACACTTCCTGTTTCTTGGCAAATTGCATTTGGTCCACATGGAGATGGTAAACAAGGATTTTTGTATGGTTCCAAAACTGAATTAGAAACAGGCGCTAAAAATAAAAGCAAATAATGTGAGATAACGAATAATAATTGAAACAAAAAATTTTAGCATATCATGTAAGAAATGCAACAAAACAATAATGGTTGATATTATGTCTGACTCATCTGAAATGATATCTGTAAACAAATCTTAATTCAGATAAACGGATTTTTCATCTATGTAATATATTCGATTTATAAAACTTACGTGTTATCGGAATACATCTGGTGAATGGATCACCAGTATATTGTTGTTTGCATATACAAATTGGATTATGGTTTATAATTCTACATTCGGAGTTAATTCCACAAGCATCATTACAGGGATTTTCACACCTCTGATTTATACAGGCTTTATCTTTTGGGCATTCATTGCTTATGATGCATTCTGAACGACAACCGGGTGGAGATCCAATATAATTTGGAGCACAGGAACATACAGCTTGTTTATTTACTTCCTGGCATTTACTATTTGGTCCACATGGAGATGGTTGACAGACATTCAAGGGCGTGTTTTGGATCTCTGTAAATTATATTAAATTCAAAGTAAAAAATAGTTAAAAATTCAAACATTCATATATAATAATTATATTTAAGCATATCTTTACTTACGTTCAGGTGTACAATAACGGGTTGGATCTCCAGTGAAACCTCGACCGCAGGAACATGATGGAGCATGATTGATAACAATACAGAAAGCGTTCGGAGCACAAGCTCCTGGACAGGGATCTTGACATTTATTCTGAACACATGCTTTATTAGACGGACAATCTGTACTTATTAAACATTCTGGTCGACAGCCTTCATATGGATTACCTTGATAACCAGACAAACATGTACAAGATCCAGCACCGTTAAATTCTTTACAAATAGCATTCGCGCCACAAGGCGATGGTTGGCAAGGCGTCACCGTGTCATATTGTATGTCCTGTTTATGGCATTCTATAAATGGGTTTCCTGTGTAGTCTGCTTGACAAGAACATGACGGAGAATGGCTAATTACATGACATTCCGCATATGTACCGCATGATCCTATACAAGGATCGATACATTTAGTATTAATACATGCTTTGTTTAGAGGACATTCAGAATTACTTATGCATTCTGGTTTACAATACGGTGGTTTTCCTATGAAACCAGTCATGCAAGAACAAGAAGGAGATCCTAAAGTATCTTTGCATATAGAATTAGGTCCACAAGGTGATGGTGTGCAGGGATCGCTGGGTTCAGGTGTAAATTCTTGGAAGACGCATCTAACAAATGGATTGCCAGTATATGAAGATGGACAGGAACAAATAGGATTATGATTCATGACTTGACATTTAGCTTCTACACCACAGGCTCCTTGACATGGATTAACGCATTTTCTGTTGGTACAAGCTTCACTTGGTGGGCAATCAGTATTTACTATACACTCAGGTCTACAAGAAGGTGGTATTCCAATAAAACCAGTTAAACACGAGCATACTGCTTGCCCACTTACATCTCGACATTGACTATTAGGTCCACATGGACTTGGCTGGCATGGCTGAGGTTTTTCAACTGAAAATTAAATATGTATTTTTAATAAAAAATTACACAACCTAAAAAACATAAAAAACCAAAAATTCATCCGTGAGACAGCGAATTCTCGACCCCTGCCACGTTAGATTACAATATATTCAGTGAAACATGAGTATGTGTTGCGTCAATAGTTGACTTTGACTTCCCCAACTAGGACAACAGTTGTGACAGTGTACAGAAAATGAAGCAGTTTAGATTTTCTTACATGTTGCAGCTTCGAGCCTATGGCACTTCACACGCCGTATTCGTCACTGTATTACATCGACAGTGGCAGCTATGTGCGGGGAAAAAATATACTAGACAAAATGAAAATTACCCGTTATTATACACATCACCAATTGCAAAACCCCTACCATGATAAACTGTTTTACTTCATGTAAACAATTACTTAAAAATAAAAAGCATGAATTGTTATTTACCTTCAATAGGAACGCATTGCACAAAGGCATTTCCAGACATCCTTTCAGGACATCGGCACATAGGTATATGATTAATGACTTCACAAAATGCGTTAGAAGCACACACACCAACGTTGCAAGGATTCACACATTTGTTTCGTTGGCATGCTTTGTCTTGAGGGCAATCTGAACTAAGAACACATTCAGGACGACATTCTAAGTAAGGATTTCCTTGATACTCCGGTAGACATGAGCATTTCCCGTCACTACATAAAGCATTAGCACCACATGGCGTTGGATTGCAGGGATCTACTTCATCATGGATTACTGTAAATAAAATAATTAAATATATTTATAATAAATATATTAAAATTAAAAAAACGACGTTTGGCGTTTATAATGTTTTAATAAGCAAAACACATACGTATAAGGTTTATTTGTACTTATCTTATGGTTTTGCTTTCGCGAAATTAATCGAATAACAAAATCATATTATATATTATATATATATACATATATATGACACCCTTTGAAAATGTATACTTGTTCTTACTAATTACCATGGTTATATTTACATAACGGTATATATACAGATAAACAAATGTATGTAAAATATAATTACCTTGCAATTTACATTCAGTAAATGCGTCTCCAATGTAATTGTCCAAACATGAGCAGACCGGTACATTTTTGTTTACTACACACTGCGCATTTAATCCGCATGACCCTGGACACGGATCCTTACATTTTTTATTTATACAAGCTAAGTTACTTGAGCAGTCAGAATTTATAGTACATTCAGGACGACAACCAGGTGGAGCACCGATATAATTCTGTTGGCATGAACAAGAAGGAATGCCGCCGATATCTCTACATTCGCTAAAGGGACCACAAGGAGATGGAACGCATGGATCTGTGGGAGTTTGTGATGGGACTTCTAATATTAATGGATAGCATCTGCTAAATGGATCTCCAGTGAAGCGTTCTATACAAGTACAAATTGGGCTATGGTTGATAACTTGGCATTTAGCATTTTGCCCACATTGTTTTTCACAAGGATCGTTGCATTTCTGAGATATACATGCTTTGTTCATTGGGCACTCAGCACTGACGACGCACTCGGGTCTGCAGTTTGGCGGTGAACCACGAAACTCAGGCCTACAGCTACAAACCGCTTGTTCGTTTACAACTTTACAAGCACTATTTGGTCCACATGGCGATGGTGAACAAGGGTTTGATGGCGATTCATTTTCTGTAATAATAAAGTAGCAATACAATACCAATAGTGACATAAGTATCTACCAAACATTTTTATAACAATAAAAATCTAATACTGAACTTTATTTACATAGATAAATTAAAATTATAACTTACGTTGAATGAAACAGTTTTCGAAAGGATTTCCTGTATATCCAGGAATACATGAACAAATTGGTGCGTGATTTATAGATAGGCACTGAGCATTATTGCCGCAAGTGCCAGGACAAGGATCTTGACATTTATTTTGTTGACAAACCCTATCAGAGGGACAATCAGTATTAACACTGCATTCAGGTCGGCATCCTTCATATGGATTTCCAAAGTATCCAGGGAAGCATATACATGAACCGACATTATTTCTTTCTTTACATAACGCGTTGCTTCCACAAGGTGATGGTGTGCATGGAGTTGGTCGTTCCGATAGTATATTTATTTCTTGTGCACTGCATGCCACAAATGGATCTCCTACGTACCCCTGTAGGCACACACAATTAGGTGTATGACTGACTACGCGACACTGTGCCATTGAACCACAAGCGCCTATGCAAGGATCGCCACATTTATTATTTATGCAAGCCATATGGTTTGCACATTCACTATTACTTGTGCATTCAGGACGACAATTCGGAGGGACTCCTATGAATTCTGGCATACAGGTACATGATGGTGAATCGTTTAAAGTTTGGCACACAGAATTTGGACCACAAGGAGAGGGTAAACAAGGATTTACTTGCGGCAGCATTTGAGCTGAAATCAAATACATACACTTCGTTATTTTCTATTTACATGGCAACTTACAGTTATTGTTTTTACTATTAAATTTATTCTATAAATGTAGGTGTGTATTTCTTATACTTACGTCGTAAAATACATCTTCTAAACGGATCTCCTGTATATTCATTAGGACATGAACATATAGGATTATGATTCACCACTTCACAAAGCGCACCAATACCACAAGCACCATTACAAGGGTTTACGCATTTATAATTGTTACAGGCTTTATTTAAAGAACACTCTGCGCTGGTAGTGCATTCCAGTCGACAAGTTGGTGGATTTCCTAAATAGCCTGGAACGCATGAACACACAGCAACATTGTTCATCTCTCGACATTGGCTGTTTGGGCCACATGGGCTTGGATTACAAGGATTTGTTGGCTGAGGAACTAAAATGGAAATAATGAATATATTATTCGTTTTTCTGTCTATATGAAAAAAATAACTTGTTAAATATTAAACAATATTTTTCTTACCAAGCACAGCGTTGCAAGACACAAAAGAATTGCCAGTATATCCTGAAGGGCAACTACACATAGGAATATGATTTATAACTTCGCAAATTGCATTGGCACCACAGGTATCAGGACAGGGATTTGTACATTTTTTCTTCACACATATTTGGTTTTTCAAGCAGTCAGTACTAACTGTACATTCAGGTCGACAACCTATATATGGATCGCCTTGATATTCCGCTAAACATTTGCATACACCGTTGTTACAATCCGCATTAGGACCACAGGGTGATGGATTACATGCATCAATAAGAGTTGATTCTGAAAAGATATTTTCATTAAATGAAATTAGATACAAGATTTTCTTCATTTCTTTATTTACTTCAACACTACCTTTGTTATTTACTTTGTCAGTTAAAGAAGAAAATATCTTCACTGTACTACGAATATAATATATAATTGTAATACAAAGAGTACAATAGCCATAAACGTAGCGCTACTTCTACTACTACTACTACCGCGGGTTTGAGTCTGAGTGATTTGTATGTATTTTTTCTATATATCTAACTAAAATTTTTAAATATTTCTATCACTTATTTTTATACATAATAACCTTTGTTATTATTATTATTCAGTACTGAGTCTATCTTTAGTAAGTTTAGAATATACATATGTCATAGATAAATACCTTCCGCTGGCTTGAATGTACATGCATTGAATGGATCACCCTTAAAGCCCTCATTGCATGTACAAATGGAAACATGATTTATCACTTTACACTGAGCATTTAATCCACAAGAGCCGGGACATGGATCTGTGCATTTTTCTCTAATACAGGCGAGAGAACTGATACAATCTTGATTTGTTATACATTCCGGTCTACAATTAGGAGGACTTCCAAAATAACCAGGAGTACAAGAACAAGATGGTTGATCTCCAAAGTTACGACAAATAGCATTTGAGCCACACGGGGATGGAACGCATGGATCACTTTCTTCATTCATTATCGGTAGTGGTTCTAAAAAAGAAATATATTTATTGTTTAAAATACATTGAAATCAAAAAATATCAATAATAGCAATATATTAGGCGTCATTCACATTACCTGGTTTAGGATAGCATCTTGTAAATGGATCTCCTGTAAATCCTGATCTACAGCTGCATATGGGATTATGATTGAATACTCTGCATTCAGATTGCATACCACACGTTTTGATACATGGATTGATGCATTTTTGATTTACACAAGCCTTTTCCGAAGCACAGTCAGAATTTAACAAGCATTCCGATTTACATGAAGGTGGTTGACCAACGAAGTTGGTCAGACAGCTGCATACAGCTTGTTCATTTACTACTCTGCATTGGCTATTTGGACCACATGGACTTGGATTACAAACGTTTATTGGAGTATGTTGTGCTAAAAATAAATAATATACATACGTATAAATATATTTAAATTATTTATTAAAGTAAATATTAATATTATTATGTAATTATAATTACATAATAATATTAATATTTCCAAAAGTATACTTACGTGGTATTGGATTGCAGCGTCTAAATGCATCACCTGTATACCCAGTAAAACAAGTGCACGATGGTGAGTGATTTATGGTAGTACATTCAGCATTTATTCCACAGGTTCCTGGACATGGATCCTGACACTTATTTCGTATACAAGCTTGGTTTCCTGAGCAGTCAGAATCAGTTACACATTCTGGACGGCAACCTTCATATGGATTGCCAAAATATCCATCATTACAAATACATGATCCCACTCTATTCTGTTCTTTACAAATAGCATTAGGACCGCAAGGAGACGGTGAACATGGTGTTAAAATTTCTGTCGGTGTTTGCAAAAGACATTGCGTGAATGGGTCCCCAACATAGCCTTGTGGACATAGACACATGGCGGAATGACTAACTACACGACACTCGGCGTTAGTACCACATGCCCTGGTACACGGATCTTTACATTTTTGATTCGTACAGGCCAAATGAATTGGGCATTCACTATTACTTATGCATTCAGGTTTACAATATGGTGGTTGTCCTCTATATTCAGGCATGCAGGTGCACGATGGAGTGCCACCTACATCTTGACAAATGGAATTGGGACCACAAGGTGATGGTTGACATGGATTTGTTATTACAGGAGGGGCACCTGAAACAATTCGATAAGTGTGTCTCACTAATATTAACGTATTGGGTTATTTAGATTTTGTAGGATTATATTTGTAATTTTTTGAGAGTATTCAGATTTAGCAAAAATACAACAGTACCTAATTCCTAAATAAATGTAAAATAATTTTATTTTGTCGATTTATTTTAGAATTGATAAATTGTTATTTTATTTTAGAATTTGGTAAATTTTATGAAAATTGTATTATTTCTTACTTGTTATGAAGGTACATTCCACAAATGGGTCACCAGAGTGAGTCGGTGGGCAGGAACATATTGGATTATGATTAATTACTTCACACATAGCTTTCAGGCCGCATGCTCCAATACAAGGATTTACACATTTCTGATTTGTGCAGGCTTTGTTTTGTGGACATTCTGCACTACTGACACATTCTGGTCTGCAGGCCGGTGGTATACCCAAATACGTTGGCAAGCACGAACAAACAGCTTGATTATTAATCTCTCGGCATTGACTGTTTGGTCCACAGATTGCAGCACTACATGGATTTCCAGTAGGAGACGCTATTAGAACAATAAAAGCATTAATATATGATAGTTAATTAATCAAGTATATTGACATTTCAAGATCGACAAAAATAAATATAGACAAAATGATAAACGACGTCGAATATAGCAAAATAAAATAATATCCTACCTCTAATTGGGTTGCATATTACAAAAGCGTTTCCAGTAAATCCGTTTTGACAACTACACATTGGAATATGGTTCACTACTTGACAAACAGCATTCTGACCGCATGCGTTAATACACGGATCGACACATTTTCTTTGTACACAAGCTTTGGTTTCATCACATTCTGTACTGAATATGCATTCTGGACGACAATTGAAGTATGGATCACCTCGATATTCAGGTAAGCATTGACATTGGCCATTAAAACATTCTGCATTTGCACCACAGCGTATATTAGCACAAGCATCTACGACTGAGGGCTCAACTGAAACAAAAATTAAATACGATTAAAATTCTGCATTTAATTCTATGTAACACATTATTATTATTATACTGGTACCAACAACTTACCTTCTAAAGGTTTTAATATACAGCTGGTAAATGGATCACCTGTATATCCTTCTATACAGGTACAAATTGGTATATGATTAAGTACAGTGCATGTAGCTGATAACCCGCAGGCACCTGGGCAAGGATCTTGACATCTTGAATTTATACAAGCACGATCACTAGCACAATCAGAATGTATAGTACATTCCGGTCTACAGTTTGGTGGACTACCCATAAAAGTAGGTAAACAAGAACAAGATGGGTTATTTCCAATATTACGGCATTCCGCATTAGGGCCACACGGAGAAGGCAGACAGGGATTATTAACATCCGGAGGTGATTCCACTGAAAATATAGATAATGAAATATTATGGCTGAGAAATGTCTAAAGGTTTAAAAAAAATATTCACTTTCACTTTATCTCAACAAAACATGAATAGGACACCCAAAGATAAGATAAAGATAAAAGAAATGTATTACCAATGAGGTAGATGGATTACAAGGATTTAATAATTTTTTAAAAAATTAATATTATGATAAACTAAAAAAAATACTTCTATGGTGGCTGACCACCTCATTACCTCATTGGTAATACATTTCTTTTATCTTTCTTATGTGATTAATTAATTGCAATAAAAACGATAAGAGATTTTAAGAACTCCGTGTAGAAACTCTAGTTAGAAATGTATGACATGTACTTACTTCTGACTAGAGTGCAAATGGTGAAAGGATCGCCAGTGTATGATGGATTGCATGAACAGATTGGACTGTGATTGACGACTTTGCAATTAGTATTTTGACCACATGGTTTGGGACATGGATTAATACATTTGTTATCAACACAAGCTTTGTTTTGTGAACATTCAGAGCTCACAACACATTCTGGGCGACAGTTAGGCGGAGACCCTATGTACTCCGGAAGACAGGAACACACAGCTTGCTTATTAATTTCTTTACACTGACTATTAGGGCCACATGGTGATGGATAGCAAATATCAACTGCTTCTGGTGGTGATGATTCTGAAATCATAAAGTAAATATGGAATTGTCATTCTAATATAAATATTTTTTAAATATATAGTATTAACTGAATCTACCTTGATAGACGCAGTATCTAAATGGATCTCCTGTGTATCCAGTCTTACAAGTACATAAAGGTACATGATTCACTGCTTGGCAATCAGCATAGTTACCACAGCTTCCAGGACATGGATCTGCACACTTATTACTGATACACGCCATATTAGAGCGACAATCAGTATTTACTACACATTCTGGTCGACAGCCTTCATATGGATTTCCAATATAGTTCTCGATGCATATACATGATCCTGCATTATTTCTCTCTTTACATATTGCATTTACTCCACACGGAGAAGGTGAGCATGGTGTAGTAATGGACTCCGAATAAATCGGTACTTGAATACAATTGAATAACGGGTCTCCAGTAAATCCGACAGGACACAGGCAAATTGGTGAGTGACTAACGACTTTGCACTCTGCATTTGGAGCACAGGCACTTTCGCAAGGATTTTTACATTTCATATTTACACAAGACATATGTGTCGAACATTCTTCATTGCTTACGCATTCAGGTCTACAATTAGGAGACTGTCCAACATAGCCTTGTAAACATGTACAAGAGGGTACATTATTAATTTCTCTACAAAGCGAATTAGGGCCACATGGAGAAGGTGTGCATGGATTCACAGGTTCTGATAATATTTCCGCTGTAGTTAAAGAACAAACAAATAACACATTAGTTACATACGATATAATACATGTTATAGAAACAGTTATTTTTAAACTTTCGTGTTTAATACACATTATGTTACTGTCAACTGGGTCTTAACACGTATCATTTTACGGTAAATAAAGGTACCTCCCTCGACTATTAGAAGTAAGTGACAACCATGTTGGCCAAACAAAACATTCAATAGCTCAAAGAGCACGTTATCAATAAATAAGTTCAGACAAAGTTCGGTATCATCAATCAGTAAGTGTACGTATACCGTGAGTGCTTTCGTTAGATAATCTAGTGATGGTAGTAGAAAAAACTGCTGGCACCACGGCTAGTGCTACCTAGTCGAAACGTCGAGAGACCTTTATTTACCATAAAATTATCCATGTTAAGACTCGGTTAACAATATAAATTATGTTATAGAATATGGTACTTACGAAGTTTGAAGCATCTTGAAAATGGATCTCCTGTATATATTGTTGGACAAGTACATATGGGATTATGGTTTACTACTTTACACTCTGAATTTACGCCGCATGAACCGACACAAGGATCTACACAATGTTGATTACTGCATGCGTGGTTTAATGAGCATTCAGAGCTTATGGTACATTCAGGACGGCAAGTAGGGGGTGCCCCTATGTAATTTGGAGCACATGAACATGCAGCTTGACCGTTTACTTTTCGACACTGACTATTGGGACCACACGGTGAGGGTTGACAAGGATTTACCGAAATTGATTCTGAAATAGTTCATTTAATATTACTTATAAAAATTGTGGTAGTACCTAATAAATAATATTTATAATGTTGTATATTAAATGTTGTACCTATAATTGGTCTGCAGTCTATAAAAGCATTGCCAGTCATTCGCTCAGGACAACTACACATAGGTATGTGATTAATCACATTACAAACTGCACTAGATGCACATGTACCGGGACAAGGATCTCTGCATTTATTCTTTATACATGCTTTAGTGCGGTCGCATTCAGAACTCTGTACGCACTCTGGTCGACATCCAACATACGGGTCACCTTGGAATTCCGCAATACAGTTACATTTTCCATCAAAACATTCTGCGTTTGTACCACAAGGGGACGGATTACAGGGATCCTCATGTTCTGAAAATTAAAAATTATATCAATAACATTATTGAACATTCTAGAAAAGCATAAAAGGATTTTAAAAAAAATCACTACATACCTATTGGAGGAATAGGAGTACATTGTGTAAATGCATTGCCCGTGTAACTTTCTATGCATATACATACTGAAATATGGTTCAGGACTTGGCAGTTAGCGTTAACACCACATGAACCAGGGCAGGGATCTCTGCATTTTTGATTAATGCAGGCCAAATTACTAGCGCAATCTTCATTAATGGAGCATTCAGGCCTACAATTTGGAGGACTACCCTCAAAAGTTGGAAGACATGAGCATGATGGAATTCCCCGAAGATTTTGACATTGCGAATTTGGACCACAAGGCGATGGTATGCAGGGGTCAGTTTCAGGGGAGAAGTTAATTAATGGAGCTGCAAATAAAATATATTTGAATTAAATAACATTTTTTTTTCTGATCAATATAGTACTATATTATTAGTCTATAATGTGAAAGATAGTAATTATAAATTAAAAAAGAATAATAATAAGTGTTGCTGATAACTATGATGCTAAACAGTTTCATACTTAATGTACAATCTTTTTTACGTACAATTCCGTGAAAAAACAAATATGTATAATAAATTATAATTTACAAAAACTATACCTGATTGTATAACATAGCATCTTGAAAATGGATCTCCTGTATATCTATTTTGACATGTGCATATTGGACTGTGATTGATAACCCTACAGTCAGCAAAAAGGCCACATGGTCCTGGACATGGAGTTACACATTTTTTATTTTGGCAAGCTTTGTCTGTTGGACATTCAGAGCTTACTACACACTCAGGTCTACAATTTGGAGGAGAACCTTTATATTCAAGCGCACAAGAACATACACTTTGCCCATTTGATACACGACATTGGCTATTTGGACCACACGGCGAAGGTGTACATGGAGTTACTTTCTCAATTTCTTGCGCTGTATAAATAAATACATTTATTAACTACTACCCATTTTGTACTATGATAACAATTCACGAACTAAAAGTTTAATCAACGGAACTTACATTTTCTATTACATTGTCTGAATGGATCTCCAGTATATCCATTTTGACACGTACATAAGGGTGAATGATTAACAACGACACAATCAGCAAAGGCTGCACAAGTTCCTGGACAGGGATCTATACATTTATTTCTGATACATGCTTTAGTACTAAGACAATCTGAGTTTACTAAACACTCTGGATGACATCCTTCATATGGGTTACCGAAGTAACCGTTCACACATATGCAAGCACCAGCTCCAAATTGTTCACGACATTCTGCATTTGCACCACATGGTGATGGTGTACATGGAGATAAAGATTCCATCTGCATGATTGTACTTTGTGTACATTGCACCGATGCGTCACCAGTAAAACCAGTGGGGCATATACACATTGGAGTGTGACTTACTACCCGACATTCAGCATTCGTACCACATGCTTTTGTACAAGGATTTTGACATTTTCTATTTATACAAGCCATTTGAGGTGCGCAATCGCTATTGGCAATACATTCTGGACGACAATTAGGGGGTACACCGATATATTCTGATAAACATTGACATGTTGGAATTTCACCATGGTTTGGCTGGCAAATCGAATTAGGTCCACAGGGCGAAGGAAGGCACGGATTTACTGGCGGCGAATTTATAATAGCTGAAACACAAAATGTATATACTGTCTATGTAGTAATAGTAGTTACTGTCATGACATTACTATTACTTTTATTATCGTATCATAATTATTAAGTAACTTACGCATTTCTAAACATCTAGTAAATGGATCACCAGTTAATCCTGTAGGACAGGAACAGAGAGGATTATGGTTGATAACTTGACATTTAGCACCTACGCCACAGGTTCCTTGACAGGGATTGATACATTTTTGATTGCTACAAGCTTTATTAAGTGGACAGTCAGAACTAGAAACACATTCTGGGCGGCAGGAAGGTGGCGTGCCGCGATATTCAGAGAGACAAGAACACACAGCTTGTTGATTGATCTCTCTGCATTGACTGTTGGGTCCACAAGGACTTGGTTGACACGGATTTGTTGGAATATTATCTGAAAATAACGCATACTAATATTATAAAGAGTTTGTTAGTTTAATAAGTTTGTGCAGTTGCAGAGTGTAATATCTGGATCTACTAAACTGATTTTGAAAATTCTTTTACCAATAGAAAGCCAAGTTATTTGTACATTGCATAGACTATATAACCTGAATAAGGAAAAGACTTTTCCGTGGTAATCCGATATGTTTACCGCCCAATATTAGGTAGTAAAAAATACTCGTAATAATATTATCAAGTAAGCTATTATATAACGCATCGCTTTTTAGTCGTTAATATAAATAGTCTATGGTCAAACCATAATAATTAACTAGTAATAAAAAATATTATTAGTATCCAATTCTAAATTAGAATAGAATAGAATAGAAAATCATTTATTCAAATAAACTTACACTGAAGCACTTTTGAATAGTCATTACATTTTTTTTTAATCTACCGCTCGTTCGGAAAGCTGTCTCATCACAAGAAGAACGAGCAAGAAACTTGCGTGTTGCTCTTTTAAATAATTTTATTATTACTTTACATTTTTAAGTTTAAGTGTGTGAATACAAACCACCAATTAGCACTAATTCAATTAAATACTCAAAAAGAAAAAATATTGAATACATAACCAACTGGTTAAACAATTAATAAGAGGAAATCAGTCATAGTGATTAGAGCAGACCAGTCGCTACAAGCAGCACCCGTTCACGAGTATGACGGATGAGCCAGCCATCACTGCGCTCGACCACATTTTAGGGAGCCCAATGACCCGGCCCACCACTCCGCCACAAGTCTGGACATTTTAGTGAGCATGACTACTCAAAACACTAGACCACGTCAAAGCTACTCACAATTGCCATCTGATAGTTATAGTATTCACATTTTACATAAGAATGCATGCGGCAATTAATACAAAAACAGCTACGCTTTCATATTTCTAAAATCAATCAATTAAATCAAGAAAGCAATGAGAAAATAAAATTATAACGTTGTATGCTAATAAACTAATTATTTACTTGATATGTTGTCATCTATGAATTCGTCTATCCTGTAATAGGCTTTCTTACATAAAAATTGTTTAATATAAGATTTGAATTGCCTGTCTGTCAGATTTCATGCAGATTTTGGCAGTTTATTATTATAAATAAAAGTAATTTTTACCTCTAACAGGGTCACACTGTATGAATGCATTTCCAGTTGTTCTTGGAGGACATACACACACAGCCATATGGTTTACAACTTCACAGATAGCGTTAGTACCACATGTTTGAATGCATGGATCGACACAACGATTCCTAGCGCATGCTTTAATTGTCGGACAATCTGAACTAATAGTACATTCTGGTCTGCATCCGAAGTACGGGTCACCATTGTATTCAGGTAAACATGTACAAACACCATTATTACAAACTGCGTTTGATCCACAAGGCGATGGATTACATGGATCTGCTACTGTTGGTTCTAGGTAAAAAAAATATGTTAGAATACTATAATGCTATAGATTAAACAACTCCTGAACAACTTAATTCTTACCTGTTAATACAATCACTGAACATAAATTAAATGGATCTCCAGTGTAACCGATAAAACATGTACAAATTGATACATGATTTTGAACTCGGCAATCTGCATTTAAACCACAAGTTCCTGGACATGGGTCCATACATTTCTCATTTATACAGGCTTTATCACTAGCACAATCGGTATTTATAGTGCATTCTGGGCGACAGTTCGGTGGACTACCGGTGTATTGCGGTAAACAAGAGCAAGAAGGCATACCATGGAGGTCACGACATTGAGAAAATGGCCCACATGGGGATGGTAGACAAGGATTTGCAGGAGTGAACTCGACGTCTGTGCCTATAAAAAATAATAATTAATAAATATACATATATTCAAGGATGGAACATACATGAATAATGATATAAGGGGATTTGAAATACATACTTTGTAATTCATAGCACCTATTAAATGGATCGCCAGTGTACTTTACCCGACACGAGCAAATTGGGCTATGATTAATCACTTTACAATCGGCATTTTGACCACATACTCCCTCACACGGGTTCCTGCACCTTCGACGTATACAAGCTTGTTGTTGATTACATTCAGAGCTCACAATACATTCTGGTTTACAAGCTGGTGGTGATCCTAGGAAATCTGGCTGACATGTACATACAGCTTGGTTATTAGATACTTTACAAATACTATTATGTCCACATGGAGATGGTGTACATGGATCCCTAGATACCACAGGAGTATCTGTAAAAAAATCACATTATCGAATTATACAATATTAAAAAAAAAACTATTTTGATTATTAGATTAATTATTGTATGTAGACTATAGTAATCGAATGCAACATTGAACGAAATGGTAAAACATAATAATAATAATTTCTAACCTGCAATCTTTTCGTAACAATTTTGATAGGGATCTCCCGTCAGTCCAGGTAGGCATTCACATTGTGGACTATGATTGATGATACTACAAACAGCGTTGCGTCCACAAACGTTGCTACATGGATTTTTACACTTATTTTGAATACAAGCTAAATTGCTGCTACAATCTGAATTTACGACACATTCTGGTCGACAGCCTTCATACGGATTACCAATATATTCGGGTAAACATACACATGATCCAGCAGATTGATATTCTTTACAAATGGCATTGGGTCCACAAGGTGACGGTGAACAAGGTGTCAGCGGGTAGTCTAATATTCTACATTCTATAAATGCATCTCCGCTGTATCCCGGTGGACACAAACATTGAGGAGCATGACTCACAACTCTACATTCAGCACTACTTCCACATGATCCCGGGCATGGATCTTTGCATTTGTTATTTATACATGCCAATTCATTAGAACATTCTGAATTTGCTATGCATTCAGGACGACAGTTAGGAGGACTGCCAATATAATCAACCAGACAAGCACAGGATGGTGAACCTCCTACTTCTTTGCATTCTGAATTTGGACCGCAAGGAGATGGCAAACATGGATTTACATATGGTGTCTCTTGGATATCTAGAATATAACAAAATAATTTGTTGTTTAAATATAGGTTCTATATCCAGCTTACTTTATTATATTACATAATAATTTATCATACGAATACTCTACATAAATTTTTACTGTTCAAAGTTTAATGAATATATGTATTACGTACCTGCCAGAGCACAACCTTTAAATGGATCACCATTATATCCACGTGGACAGGAACAGATTGGATTATGATTTATAACTTGACATTCAGCACCAGCACCACAGTTGCCTTTACATGGATTTATGCAACGCTGATTTGAACAAGCCATATTTAAAGCACATTCAGCACTCGAAGTACATTCAGGTCGACATGTGGGCGGAGCACTTACGTATCCAGTTAAACATGAGCAAATAGCTTGGCCATTTATTTCTCGGCACTGACTGTTGGGGCCACATGGTGATGGATTACAAGGGTTTAAGATTTCAATAATATTTCTTCTACATTCCAAAAAGGCATTTCCAGAATAACCCTCGGAACAAGCACATAATGGAATATGGTTGTAAACACTGCAAATTGCATTTATTCCACAGGTATTTACACATGGATCAATGCATTTATTTTTCAAGCATGCTTTATTAAGTGAACAATCAGTACTAGTCAAACAATCAGGCCTACATCCAACGTAAGGATCACCTTGATAATCCAGCAAGCATTTGCATATTCCATTATTACACTCTGCGTTTGCTCCACAAGGTGATGGATTACACGAATCCACTTCTGGTACTTCTAAAAACACAATTATATTATAAAAACTGGTAATGTAAATAATGTATATATATATATATTACAACATATTGTACTTACCATCTTCGTCCGGTATGGAAAGGCATCTTGTAAATGGATCACCCGTATAATCTTCAATACAACCACATTGAGCGATATGATTAAATACAGTACATAGAGCATTAAGACCACAAGCTCCAGGGCAGGGATCTCGACATTTTTCATTCATACACGCCTGATTGCTTGGGCATTCAGAGTTGATGGTGCATTCAGGTCTACAATTAGGTGGATTTCCAAGGTAATTAGACAAACAAGCACACGACGGAGCATCATTAACATTTCTGCATTCTGCATATAAGCCACAAGGAGATGGGGTACATGGATCGGGCTGTAGTGAGTGTTCAGGTGGCTTCAGAGCTAGAAACAGTTTTAATTTAATTACATTAACAAGAAAACATTAACAATAAACATATTAATAACATTCTGCATTATTACATTAAAACGGCATAATAACAACATTTCCTTACTTTTCATAGGATAGCATCTAGTAAATGGATTTCCTGTCAGTCCCGATTTGCAGACACAAATTGGACTGTGATTTATTACATTGCAATTTGCATTTTCTCCACATGTACCAATGCATGGATTTGTACATTTTTGATTGTTACAGGCTAACTGTGATGGACACTCCGAGCTAACAACACATTCTGGGCGGCAATTTGGAGGGGTACCAATAAAATTTGTTAGGCAAGAACACGCTGCCTGTCTATTGACTTCTTTGCATTGGCTATTAGCTCCACATGGCGAAGGACTGCATGGATTTTTTTCTACCACTTGTGCTAAAATAGATTTTAAATAAAAATTAGTGGAATACAACGAATTAAACAATTTATATGATAGATTACATTACATTATATTTTAAGGACAACTTTCTGATATTTTCAATTCACTGACAATGTTTAAATTTCATGATATGAATTAAGTGCAATCATGACATTTTCACCTTAATAAAATAGTATAATACACAGATAAATTCATACTTACGTTCAATAAGAATTGTACAAGCACTGAATGGATTACCAGTATATCCTGTTTGACATATACATGTAGGCATGTGGTTATTAACTTGACATAATGCATTTGAGCCACACGTACCAGGGCAAGGATCAATACACCTTAGTCTATTACACGCTTTATTAAGAGGGCAATCAGAATTCACGACACACTCTGGTCGACAACCTTCATAAGGATTGCCAGAATATCCGTCTAAGCACTGACACGAACCAACTCTATTCTGTTCTCTGCATATAGCATTCGATCCACATGGACTTGGACTACAAGGAGTTAAAATTTCAGGCGAATCCATTATTGTCTGTGGACTACAATAAGAAAATGGATCTCCGATGTATCCTTCTTGACACATGCACATTGGTGCATGACTTACTACTCTACATTCCGCGTTAGAACCACATGTTCCGATACATGGATCTGAGCATTTGTTATTCAAACATGCTAGATTATAATCACATTCACTATTGCTAATACATTCCGGTCGACAATTTGGAGGTGATCCTTTAAAGGTTGCCAAGCATGCGCAAATCGGATTTTCTCCACTTATTTTGCAAATCGAATGTGGGCCACATGGAGATGGCTCGCATGGATCTACTTGAATATTTTCTTGAACTGAAAATAATAATATATTATGTTGTAAAATATATGATATAAGATTATTTTAATATAATTTAATTTAATTATTATATATTTTAATTTAATATAATGCATTTTTTTATATAATTTAATTTAATTTTTAATATAAATAATATATATATATATTATTATTATTAAATTACCTTTAATTGTACATTTTATGAAAGGATCTCCTGTGAATGATGGTGGACATGTACATATTGGATTATGATTTATTACATCACATACAGCTCCTGAACCACAAGCACCAATACATGGATTTACACATTTCTGATTATTGCAAGCTTCCTTTAATGAACATTCCAAACTGACGACACATTCGGGGCGACAATTTGGTGGGCTACCTCGATATCCTGGTACGCATGAGCAAACTGCTTGACCATTTGATTGACGGCATTGACTGTTAGGTCCACATGGTGTAGGATTACATGGATTTATCGATACAACTGAAACGGAAAATTATTCATACATATATCTTCACAGTTTTAAGAGCATAGTTCTAATGATTCTTCTGAACTATTTTAAAATAATCAAAAAAGTTTAAAATGTATTTAATAACAAGTTTTCCAAATGAATATTATAGTGTTAACTACTATACTTACCCATGGAGTAACGACATTCTACGAAAGCATTTCCACTCATGCCCTTCGGACAAGTACACATTGGTATGTGATTAACTACATCACAGACTGCATTTCTACCACATGTTCCGATGCAGGGATTTATGCATTTATTTCTTTGACAACCTTTATCAGATGCACAATCAGTATTGTATATGCATTCTGGTCGACAGCCCATATTAGGATCACCGTGATACCCTTCTATGCATGAACAGATACCGTTGTTGCAATTGGAATTAGATCCACAAGGATTGGGATTACATGGATCGAGAGGGCTAGGTATGTCTAAAACACAGAATAAACAGTTTAATTAATTAAAAATATCTCATTTAAAAACTCATTAATTACCTTATTTGTGCTTATAAGACAGGCTATATCTATACATATAAATAAAATTGTCTGTTTGTAATACTGAAATAACCGTTTTTTACTACATGCATAATATATAATAATAATATAAATACGGTACATACACCTAAATAACATTTTTTGTCTGTCTGTCTGTCTGTTTGTTCCGGATAATCTCTAAAATGGCTGGACTGATTTCGACGAGACATTTATTGACATTTGGTAGCTGATGTAATAATATATAAAATAACTATGACCGTACATACCTTCTATTGGTTTGGTAACACATTCTCTAAAAGGATCGCCAGTAAATCCATCAGGACATATACAGACTGGGATGTGATTGTTCACGAAACATGTAGCATAGAGGCCACACGATCCATCGCATGGATTTCTGCACTTTTCCGACACACATGCTTGGTTGCTTGGGCAGTCAGAATGTACGACACATTCAGGTTTACAGAATGGTGGTGAACCAACATAAGAGGCCAAACACGTACACGATGCCAATCCATTATTATCATGACATTCTGAATACAGACCACATGGCGATGGCATACAAGGATGTAATGGTTTCGCTACGACTGGAGATACATCTAACAAAAACAATGAATCTGACGTTAATCATAATATTCATATTTATCTCACATAATAGCAACAAAATACATAAATACTTACATAATTCAGGAGTACATGTTATAAACGGATCTCCTGAAAATCCACGTAGACAAGAGCACACGGGGCTATGATTTATTACTTTACATTCAGTATTCCGTCCACATGGTTTTGGACATGGATTTATACATCTCTGATTAATGCAAGCCCTGTTAGTTTTACATTCTGAATTCACAATACATTCAGGCCTGCAATTTGGTGGAGATCCTATATAATTTGATATACATGAACAAACAGGCTGACCATTTACTTCTTTACAATTGGCATTAGTACCACATGGCGATGGACTACAGACGTTAATTACAGACGCATCATGCTCTGAAAATAGAATTTAATTATTTCATTCATTTATGATTGATTTATGATTTTCGGTAATAAATTTTATACTGTTCAACTTACCAGAAATAACAAAACACATAGATAGTGGATTGCCAGTATGTCCCAATTTACAAGTACATGATGGTTTATGATTTGTTGTGTAACAATCCGCGTTGTGTCCACACACACCGGGACATGGATCAACACATTTATTTCGGTTACAAGCTGAGGTCAAAGGGCAATCTGAATCCGCTAAACATTCTGGTCTACAACCTTGATATGGGTCACCGAAGTAATTAGGTAAACACGTACACGATCCGACGTTTCCTTGAACTTTGCATTCAGTGTTTATGCCACAAGGAGAAGGTTCACATGGATTTAAGTATTCAATCTGTGGCGGAGCTGAAATATTTTTACAATATGGTAAAAAAAACTTACCGATATAATAAGTCAATCACCTCCGTCAGTAGAAGCATCTCCTTGGTCCGAAGCGTTAGTCGAAGCTTGCTGGCCTCGGCGACTTTTAGTGACCTCCGTCGACAGCATCACTATCACTAGTAGCACCGTCCAAAGCGAATCGTCATGGCGAACGACCCTAAGCTTTACTGTAAGTGCTAGGTTATCTCCGCGTGCTCCGATTTTAAGCAAAGGCATTAATTTCACATAAAAATTATGTCAAGTTGTTACGTCCCTTCTGGAAGCATTTAAAAATTCTAAATGATTAAAATTATGGTTTACCTGATCCGAAGGCTATAATGTTTGAAGCATAAATAGTCACTGAATTGGTGAGAATACCTGCAGATCCGGAGGTGGGCATGGTCACCAAACAAATCTCGAAGTAAACACACCTATACAGTTCTATCATTTTTTGTACATTAGTAAACCGTGTGAGGCGTCGCCGTCTTGGAATTTTTACAATGAGCTCACCTTTAAAGCACGATACCTCACGCTTCGCAAAGCATAATGTTACATGCACTTTGGAAATCACAATTTGAAACTTTACTTAAAATGTTAATTTAATTGTAGATTACCATTAAAGATTTATTCAATTACCTTTCAATCGAGTTATTCATTTAACTATATGTTTGATCTAAAAGAACATGTTTATATCTCTTTTATTATAAATTACAATTATTGCAATAACCATAAATATTCCCTTACCTCTAGAGGGTGAACAACCCTGGAATGGATCGCCTTCTAAACCAGGTTCACAGGTGCAAGATGCACGATGGTCAACCACCGAGCATATAGCTCGTTGTCCACAGGCTTGTTCACATGGGTCTTTACATCGTTGATTCACGCAGGCAAGGGTGGCAGCACACTCAGCACTAATTGTACATTCAGGTCGGCAATTTGGAGGAGCGCCAATAAAAGTAGGTTGACAACTACACGCGGGTGTTTCTCCTGAATTTACGCATATTGAATTGGGTCCGCATGGTGATGGTTGACAAGAATCAACAGGTATAGATGGAGGCTCTATAAAAAAATATATAATATATCATCATACTAGTGTTCATAGAGTTGTTATTTACGATTGAGGCTTGCCTACGCAGGAAAAACGGTGTAATCCAAAGTTTAGTTACCTGTCTATTACATATATTTTTGTATAAAATTATGTTTATAGACAACATAAAGTTTGTCTATATGCGGACAAACTTAAAAAAGCAAAACTTTATCTAAATATAAAAAAGTCGTTTCCGTCATTTACGAAATAATACATAACGTAATTTCTTGTGTAAATAACTAACTAAAGAGCTTAATTTACCTGGAGTAGGATAACAGTATGTGAATGGATCACCCGTGTATCCATCATTACACGTGCAAATAGGTGAATGTGCGATAACTTGACAACGTGCTCCACGGCCGCAAGCACCTTCGCAGGGATCACGACAACGCCGGTCAATGCAAGCTAATTGTAGTTTACATTCAGAACTGACTAGGCATTCTGGCCGGCAAGATGGAGGAGAACCGATATGACCTGCTTTACATGAACATGCTGCAGCTCCATTAGTACTCACTGTACATTCACTATAAGGACCACATGGTGACGGTGAACATGCTGATTGCGTAACTGTTAAAACAATTAGTTAAATTAGCTATATAATACATATATAAAATAACATATTATATATACCATATATGAGATTTTAAAAATATATGATAACAACTTACCTATCTGTCTTACTTCTGTGCATAATGAAAATGGATCACCAGATGTACCAGACGGACAAGTACATGATGGAATATGGTTATTTACTGAACACAAGGCATTAGTACCACAGGCACCGGGACATGGATCAATACATTTTCCTCCCTGACAGGCACGAGTCGGTGAACATTCTCCATTAGTAGAGCATTCCAAACGACAACCTATGTAAGGATCGCCAAAATACCCAGCTGCACACAGGCAAACTCCAGATTCACACAAAGTATTACTTCCACATGGAGACGGGTTACATGGATCAGCTGAAGGTGTTGGTAAAACTAAAAAAAAATATTATGTAATAAAAATAATTGTTTTATGTCCACTCTTTGTAAGGATGGTACCTCTGATTATTAGCATTTCGTTTACTAAAACGTACTTTTATGACATTACAACCCAGTATATTGGTTCACGCAAACCACTATAAAATCTTATTTTCAGTAAACCAAGCTCATTATTAAAAATATAAAAGATATAATTAAAAATAGGCGATAAAATTTTGTAAAGTCTGTGATAAAATGTATTTCGGCTAAAACATAATATAAAATATGTTGCTTAGGTTAATTAAAAGATATTTTAGTTCATGTATACGAAAAAGAGTATTAGAGGAACTAAATAAAAAAAAAGTAAAAATCTTAAGACAAAACTAGTATTAACACGAAAACCAGTCATCTAGTGCGGTGTTTCCCAATTAGTGGTACGCGTACCCCCAGAGGTACGTGAAGTTACATCAATGGGTACGTGCGGCTATCAGTAAAACAAACATACACACACATACAAAATTTCTCATTTATAATATTAGTGTGATTGCTACAATTGCTTACGTACCCCTTACGCAAGGTTTGAGATCTTTTTTGAACTGGTACGCAGCAAAAACTATTTGGGAAGCACTGATCTAGTAATTATGTCGAAGTAAGTCATTGCAGCAAATTAAAATGTAAAAAATATATATAATCTTATAAAAAATGTAATAACTTACCTATTACTTCTGTGCATTGAATAAATGGATCACCAGAGTAATTTATTGGACAACTGCATATTGGTATGTGGTCATGTACTCTACATTCTGCTCTGAAACCGCACGAACCTTCACAAGGATTTGTACATTTTTCGGCAATGCATGCTTGATGTGATGGACAGTCAGTATTTACAAGACATTCTGGATGGCAATTTGGTGGACTACCTATATAACCATCTATGCAAGAACATGACGGACTATCGCCAACTGGTCGGCATTCACTGTAAGGACCACATGGATTCCCTTGACATGGTTTTGGTTTATCAAACACTGTGTTCTCTACCTTTTTAGGACAACTTATAAACGGATCGCCACTAGTACCGGCAGGACAGCTGCATAAAGGACTATGATTAACAACTTGACAGTGCGCTCCAATTCCACACGTGCCACGACAAGGATCAGCACATCTTAATCGATGGCAAGCTCTATCTGATGGACACTCAGTGCTTACTGTACATTCAGGTCGACAGTCCGGTGGAGCGCCTATATAATCTGGCAAACATTCACACGATGCCAATCCTCCATTTTCTCTGCAAACACTATTTGGACCACAAGGAGATGGTTGACAAGGCTTTATTTCTATTATTGGCGTATCTTTAGCACATTGTACAAATGGATTTCCGGAATGACCCCTTACGCATGAACATGTAGGAACATGATTAATTACAATACATTCAGCATTAGAGCCACAGATTCCTGGACATGGATCTGCGCACTTGTTTCGAATACAAGATTTATCAGCAGAACAGTCGGAACTAAGAACACATTCAGGTCGACAACCCTCATAGGGATTTCCTTGGTATCCTTCTAAGCAGGAGCAAGAACCTGCACCATCTCGTTGGTTACAAATAGCATTTGCACCACATGGCGATGGATCACATGGCTGTGCGACGTTTTCTGAAATAAAAGTATTATTATATTAGCTATAAGATATTTGCTATTACAATAAAAGTTTTAAAATTATTAATAACATTTACCATGTATTGGTATGCATTGCAAAAATGGGTTTCCTGTATATTTTTCTTTACAACTGCACGAAACAGTATGACTCACGACAATACAGTCTGCATTAATACCACAAGATCCTGGGCATGGATCTATACATTTATTTCTAATACATGCTTGATTAGATGGGCAGTCAGGATTAATTATGCACTCTGGTCTGCAATTAGGTGGCTGTCCTATATAATTCTCAATACATCTGCATTTTGCTTTGTCATTGCGATCTAAACATATTGCATTTGGTCCGCACGGAGAAGGATTGCATGCATCTACTGGTTCTGGCGGAATATCCATTAAATAGCAACTCTTGAATGGATCTCCTGTTTGTCCTGGATTGCAACTACAGATTGGACTATGATTGATTACTTCACAGCGAGCAGATACGCCACATGCATTAATACATGGATTGATACATTTCTGATTTACGCAAGCTTTTGTAGACGAACATTCAGAGCTAACAACACATTCTGGCTTGCATAATGGTGGTGCTCCTTGAAAACCTTCAATACAAGCACACACAGCTGTGTTATCTGTTGTCCTGCATACACTATTGGGACCACAAGGAGATGGATGACACGGGTCCTTTGATATTTTTTTGTCATTTTCCACAGGATAGCAGTTTGTAAATGGATTACCAGTATAACCAGCTGTACAAGAACATGTTGGAATATGATTAATTACATCGCATTTTGTATTAAGGCCACACACCCCTGGACATGGATCACGACATTTATTTCTGAAACAGGCCTTATCTCTGGGGCATTCCTGACTTCCTGTACATTCTGGTCTACATGATTCATAAGGATTTCCAGTATAATCTGACAGGCATGTGCAAAATCCATTATCGCATTGAGCATTTGGTCCGCAAGGAGATGGATTACACGGATCAACAGATGATGGGGATGTAGGTACTGTAACAACATGTAGGTATTAACAACTTATTTATGATATAAAAATAAACAATAGGCACATTAACATTATTTCATACTATACCATTTAATATTGGCTGGCATCTTGAGAATGGGTCACCCGTGAAACCTTCATTGCATACGCAAACTGCAACATGATTTAGAACATGGCAATTAGCATCAACGCCACAAGATCCAGGGCACGGGTCCTCGCATTTTTGCCTTACGCACGCCAATGAAGCTGGGCATTCGGAATTAATAGTACACTCAGGACGACAAGATGGTGGAGATCCTACATAACCAGCTAAACAAGAACATGCTGGTCCACTGTCTAGCAATTGACATCGAGAATGAGGTCCGCACGGCGACGGCGTACAAGAAGGTGGTCGCTCAGTTGTTTGTGGCGTGTCTGTAACAGTTAATGTTACAAAGAACTACGTTATTTACAGTAATACTAAGACTGTGTTAACTATCATATATCAGGATATTAGTAATCAATCTAAATAAAGTACATGTAACTAGAAAAAACCCCTGGCAATCAAAGATGATACCCTTGAAAAGTGAAAAATGCAATTTAGGTAGATAGATAGATTTCAGTTTCTGCAGGTAAAATTTAAAATGAGTATTCAAAAGATAAAAGTTATAAAATAAAGTTATACTTACGGTGATAACATTGAGTAAACGGATCGCCGGTCATACCAGCGGGACATGTACATATAGGATTATGATTCTTCACTAAGCAATGAGCTCTCAATCCACACGTGTTAGGACAAGGATCATCACATTTTTGATTAATACACGCTTTAGAAGTATCACATTCACTGTTCACAACACATTGGGGTCTGCATGAAGGTGGTGAACCAATGTAGTTTGGTAGGCAAGAACATACTGCTTGCATATTCACCTGTCTACATTGACTATTTGGCCCACAAGGCGTTGGTTCACATGGATTTTGAGCTGGAGTAGCTGAAATTAGTTTGAGTTTTTTAGAAGATAGGTATCATAACACTATACTTTATACTATAACACAATGAAATTTATTTATTTTTGACATATTGTTGTATTGACATATTACAAGTTTTGTTATAAGTGTGGCGAGCACCTTGTCTTCAAATAAATTAGCCTTTAGTCTAGTGTGAAAGATTTTCTATAGGTCACCTATTTCTCTGGTCTCACCTATTTCTGTAAAGGAGGCGATATGATTTCAATTTAAGCAGTATGCTATTATTGTGTATGTGTAATTTTAAATGTACATGTTCGACTATCGCGTAGTCTATGTATATATGTAGGAGAACCTTCAGCTTGTTTGCAATTCCCAAATTACAATCGTATAAAATACATTTAGGTACTAGAAATATAATGTACTTAATATACGTACTTAATTATTCTATACATTGTATCAAATTTAATACACGTCCTACTTTAAATATATCCCTCCAATAAAGAGAATTGAGTTAAATAAATAAATTGCTATTCCCCCCTAATATTTATTTTTCTTATAATGAAAGTTTATAATGTTTATAAAGTATAATGTTTCAACTTACGTGGTACTACAATTTCTTTACATTCAAAGAAGGGGTCTCCTGTAAAACCTCTAGGACAAGAACATATAGGTACATGGTTATCCACAGAGCATTGGGCAAATTGGCCACATATATTGTGACATGGATCAATGCACTTATATCTTGTACATGCTAAGTTTGGTGCGCAGTCGTCATTGATTTCACATTCTCTACGGCATCCTTGAGTACTGTAAGGATCACCATAATAACCATCAAAACATAGACACGCTCCTGCCCCATTACGTTCACGGCATTCTGCATTTAATCCGCACGGTGAAGGAGAACATGGACTCGTAATAGACATTTCCGTGGCTACAATTGAAATAGACAATAATTAGCAGTTAAATAAATTAAATATTAGACTAACAGGTCAGTGAAAATAAAACTTACGAGGTATGAGAATCGGATTACAGTTATTGTTAGCATCTCCTGTAAAACCTTGTTGACAACTGCATATCGGGTTGTGATTTACTGTTAAGCAAAGAGCATTTGATCCACATATACCTTGACATGGATCTTTACAACGTTCATTTATGCAAGCTGTATTACTGGGACATTCCGCGTCTATTGTGCATTCTGGTCTACAATTCGGCACTCTTCCGATGTAATTTTCTAAACAGGAACAAGCAGCTTGATCTCCAATTACACGACATTCAGAGTTCGGTCCACATGGTGAAGGTACACAAGGGTTTTCATTTATATCTCGTTCTAAAATTAACATTCATGATAAATATTTGTTCATTACAATATCTATATTAGTTAATTTTTATACGAAAAATTCGTTATGAAATCAAACTAAAGGTTACGAAACTGAACACAATATACCAAATACTCACTTTCCTCAGGATTGCATCTAGTAAATGGATCTCCTGTAAATCCTGGTGAGCAGCTGCATATGGGGTTATGAGTGATGACTTGACATCGTGCGTTAAGTCCACATGTGTTAGGACAAGGGTCTGTACATTTCTTATTAACACAAGCTTTATCTTGTGGACATTCGGAACTAACGATACATTCAGGACGACAGGATGGCGGTGTTCCGATGTAACCACTTTCACAAGTACAGACACTGTGTCCATTTATTACTCGACAAAGACTATTAGGTCCACATGGTGAAGGCTTGCATGGATCTTGTGAAGGCTCTGACCTATCAGGAGCTGTAAAAAGGCAATTAAGTTACTATTATTACTAATTATGAGCTATTACCTTTAATATAGATATGCCTCATATTTGACTCTTTTCTTATTAGAGTTATATTAGAAATTATTTCAACATAAAATAAGATGTTATGTTATTAGAAATAAATGTAAACCTTTCAACCGTTTTCTTCTAATGACGTAGATTTATAATAAATATACAATATATCCTTTTCAATGACGGGTAATTGAATTTTTAGCCACCTGAATTAAGTTTAGTGAAAACAAAAAATACAGACTTCTCCACATATAGGTTTTTATAATAGTAGATATATGTATACAGATACTCACTTCCTATTTCACATTTGATTATGGGATTACCAGTATATCCAGATAAGCATGTGCATGTTGGTGAATGATTCACTGTTCTACACTCAGCATTAATACCACATGTTCCTGGACAGGGATCTTTACATTTATTGTTTGAACAGGCTTTATTACGATCACAATCAGAATTAGACACACACTCTGGACGACAGCCTGTATATGGGTCCCCAAAATATTCTGGCAAACAAGAGCAAGATCCCACACTATTTCTTTCTTTGCATATTGCATTTGCACCACACGGTGACGGGTTGCATGGATTTGGAGGTGGTTCCGATTTACCTATAAAAATATTTATATAATGTTAGGTTATTAACAAAATACGCAGTTCGAACGCGCCATGAAGAAATGATTGAAACTTACTCTCAATCGGCGAACATCCACTGAACGGATCACCTGTATACCCTGATATGCAATTACATAATGCTACATGATTTGCTACAGAACATTCCGCATTTAAACCACAAGAACCAGGACATGGGTCTACACATTTTTCATTTTGACATGCAAGATTACCAGGACACTCCGCATTTATTGAACATTCAGGCCTACAATTTGGTGCAACACCAATGTAACTCGGTAAGCATGAGCATGCAGGCGCTTCTCCGATAACTTTACACTGTGAATTTGGACCACATGGTGAAGGTACACATGGATTTCCTTTAGGCCCCATAAAGATAGGTTCTAAGAAAGAAAACATAATAAATTAAGAAAGATAGTTTAAAGAATAGGAACATTAGACATGAAGTAATAGAATTGTATTTAAGAAAAGTACATGCAAGAAAAAGAAACAGTACTCGATATAAATAGGGGTTTTTTTTGCAATAATAATTAAACTTTTTTTTTAATAAATATTCTTTTATTTATACTTGTTATAATCTTACTTGGCTCTAACTGGCATGTAATAAATGGATCTCCTGTAAATCCTGGTTTGCAAGTACAAATTGGATTATGGTTTACAGTCTGGCATCGAGCATTAATGCCACATGTTCCTGGGCATGGATCTCTACATTTTTGTTTAATACAAGCCTGATGTTGAGGACAATCTGTACTAATAACACATTCAGGGCGACAAGTCGGGGGTGCGCTAACATATCCCTCTTGGCAAGAACAAACTCCATGTCCATCTACGATTTTGCATGTACTATATGGTCCACATGGTGTTGGAATGCATGGATTTACTTCCGCTGTAGGCGCTAAAATAATATATAAATGAAATATTAAGTTTTTAACGTAAACTCCATTTTAATATATAAAATACATTGCTAAATAGCTACTAACGTGTTCTTTGTGGGTAACATGATACTACAGGATTTCCTTCATATCCATCAATACATAAACAAACTGGATTATGATGTGCTACAGTACACTGCGCATTAATTCCACATGCTCCTTGGCATGGTTCTATACACTTGTTATTTGAACAAGCTTTATCTAATGGACAATCATTATTTGTAACACATTCGGGTCTACAACCAAGATATGGATCTCCAAAATATCCTGTTTCACATGTACATGCCCCTGCATTATTTCTTTCTGTGCATATAGCATTTGGACCGCATGGTGATGGGTTACATGGATTTGTTTCGTCTTCAATTGGTACCGTGACTAAAAATTAATATGACAATTAATTTACAAACAGTAAAAATAAAATTTGAGAATTTTATTAAGAAAATATCGCAATTAACAACTTACCAATAAAAGTACAACCACTAAATGGGTCACCTGAATAACTATCGCGACAATGACATACTGGTTTATGGTTTATAACGATACATTCTGCGTTAGATCCACATGAACCCTCACAAGGATTAGAACATGCTTCACGAATACAAGCAAGATTACTGGGACATTCCTCATCATATATACATTCAGGTCGACAATTAGGAGCACGACCTACATAACCTGGTTGGCAAGAACATGCTGGAGTTTCTCCTATAATACGACATTGAGAATTTGGTCCACAAGGTGAAGGAATACAAGGATTTCCCGATGGTTTTGGTTGGTGTCCTAAAAAAATAATAGGTGTCCACATAACTTAAATTACTTCAGTTTTATTATTATTATTATTAATAGTTTTAATTTTCCTACTATTATAATTATGTTAGATATTTTAACAGATTTATTTAATGCATTGTTTATAAATTTCTACTCACGTTCCTCATATACGCAATTTGTAAACGGATCACCAATATGGTTTTGAGGACAACTGCATAGTGCATTATGGTTTACTACCATACAGATAGCATTACTTCCACATGCTCCAATACATGGATCGACACATTTTTGATTTAAGCAGGCTTTGTTTGGCATACAATCGCTGCTAACCATACATTCCGGACGACAGAAAGGAGGAGATCCGAAATATTGCTCTTGACATGAGCATATGGCATGTCCATTGCTATTGCGACATAAACTATATGGGCCACATGGTGTTGGTAAACATGGATCGGTAGGCTTTTCAATCGTGCCTAAAATAATAAGTTAAACTTTTAAGTTAAATTTTTATTAAACTTTTTATAAATGCATGTAATATATAAAAAGATTTATTAATTTAATTATAGAATGTGAAGTGTTACATACTTAAGTAACAAGATGTAAACGGATTTCCTTCATAACCTGGTAGGCAGGCACAAGATGGAGCATGATTGTTTACGCGACATTCAGCATTCATACCGCAAACTCCAGGACACGGGTCTTTGCATTTATTATTAGTGCATGCTTTATTTCTTGGACAATCCGTATTCAAAACGCATTCAGGTCTACATTCAACATATGGATCACCATAATATTCGGGAACGCATGAACAAGATCCAGCACCATTTCTCTCTTTACATATTGCATTTGCTCCACAAGGAGATAATGTACATGGATTAGCTTGCTGGAATTCGATGGCTAAAAATTAAAATAATTTTAGATATGACGCATGTTAAGAAGTCAAGTTGGTGGTATACATGGTTTTTTTAACTTACGTGGAATTAATGAACAGCCTGAGAATGGATCCCCAGTATAGCCTTGATCACATGTACATATAGGTATATGTTTGACTACATTACAACTAGCATGGAAACCACAAGATCCAGGGCATGGATCGCTGCACTTTTCCGATATGCATGCAAGATTACCAGGACATTCGACATTTATGACGCATTCTGGTCTACAATTTGGTGGACGACCTACATACTCATTTAAACAGGAGCAAACAGGTACTCCATTAACGTCTTTACATTGTGAATGTGGGCCACATGGACTTGGAATACAAATATCTATAGGTATAGCTGGCCCTGTTAGCAAAAAAAAATATATTATAGCGCTTTCTAAGTCTATTAGAATATTATGTGATATAATATGAGTAATCAAAAAAACTTACGTTCTTCAAAGAAACATCTAATAAAAGGATCGCCTGTGTAGCCTCTTTGACAACTACATACAGGATTATGATTTACCACTTGACATTGCGCATTTACGCCGCACATGCCAGGACAAGGATCCTGACATTTTTGATTTATGCATGCTTTATCAGGTCGACAATCTGAGCTCACAATACACTCAGGTCGGCAATTAGGTGGAGAACCGACACACATATCAAGGCATGTGCAAACGGCGTGACCGTTAAAAGTACGGCATTTACTGTATGGTCCACAAGGCGAAGGATGACACGGGTCCACGGGTATTGATGAAACTAAAGTAAATAAGGATAGTAGAAAGATATAAGATCAGATTACAGAAATAAAGAAAGAAACAAGATAAGGTAGAAAAGATCTTACTCGTAATAAGATTGCATGCATGCAGAGGATTTCCAGTATATCCGGGTAGGCAGTAACATAAAGGAGCATGATTAACAACTCGACAGTCAGCATTTTGTCCACATGTACCAGAACAAGGGTCCACACATTTATTATTGAAGCAGGATCTATCTACAGAACAATCTGTATTCATGACGCATTCTGGATGACAACCTACATATGGATCGCCATAATAATCGTCTACGCAAGTACATGACCCAGCACCGTTTCTTTCCCGACAAATTGCATTAGGCCCGCATGGCGATGGATTACAAGGATAATGTAGAGGTACATCTTTTGGTGCTGAAAATGTATAATTTACAAGACATGCTATATGAATAATGTATAATATTGTAATGTGTATGTGCATTCTAAAGTAACAGATGTAATTTATACGTAGATAGTTTTCCTATAAACATGCAAAATAACTTGTAAAAAAGATAATACGAATTCCGTTCTATCTACATGAGTAAAATATTTTTTAATTTCATAGTACTTACCTTCAATGGGATTACAACCAGCAAAGGGGTCTCCGGAATAACCTTCATCGCAGGAGCATATAGGTCGATGGTTCTGTACGATACAACGTGCATTGAAACCACAGGAGCCTACACATGGATTGACGCAAGTTCCAGCCAGACAAGCAAGTGCAAGTGGGCAGTCTTGGTTGATAACACATTGTGGGCGACAGGCAGGTGGTGCACCCAATGTACCAGGGTCACAGGCGCATACTGCGCGGTTGCCTTCATTACGACAGATTGAATGAGGTCCACAAGGTGAAGGCAGACATGGATCCGGTGGTGGCTGCATGACCTCTATAAACGTAAATTTAAATAATTATTAACTAAGTTTAGAATTACACGTATTTTTATATTATTTAATAATTATTCTTCTAACATTTTAATCATTTCTCTAAATGCATTAAATGTTGTATGCCTCATTAAGTATAGTGTCCTTAGAAATTAATATGTTCAAGTGAACATATTGTCATATATGTATGTTGAATATGACAAATTCCGTAACAGAGTTACCTCATTATTTTGCCTAAACAAATGCTAAAGTTTGAGAATTATCTAGGTTAATCATATAATTAAAGGTATTGAGTGATTCTAATAATAAATAATGTCAAAACATCGAAATGTATAATATAAAACATACTAACTCTTTCTATAGCATTTGATAAATGGATCCCCATCAGGGAAATTTTCAGGGCAAGTACAAATTGGATTATGTCCAACTACATGACATCGTGCATCAAGACCGCAGACATTAAGGCAGGGATCCTTGCATTTAAGCTGTATACATGCTTTATTGGGTGGACAATCTGAGCTGACAGCACACTCCGGGCGACAAGCAGGAGGTGCTCCAAGATAGTTTGCTTTACATGAACAAGCAGCTCGTTCATTTACAACGTGACATTCGCTATTTGGTCCACAAGGTGATGGTGTACATGGATCATATGGTGTAGCTGAAAAAAAATTTAAGTATACAGACAAACAAATTATCAAAATATCATTAATATATAAATCATATCATTTTAATATTTGACTTACCTGGTTTAGATTTTGGACGACACGAAGAAAATGGATCTCCTTCATGTCCTTTAAAACAAGTACATATGGGAATGTGATTCGTCACGGTACATTCTGCGTTAACACCACATAAGTCATTGCATGGATTTCGGCAGTAATTCGATAAACAGGCAAGATGATTTGAACAATCTGAATTCAAGGTGCATTCTGGTCTACACCCACCAGCATAGGGATTTCCAATATTGGGAGGAATACATGTGCAACGAGCTATATTTTCTATTATAGTACACATTGTGTTCTCGCCACAAGGAGATGGATTGCATGGAGTTAACGACTCATTTTTAGATATTACAACACACCCAATAAAAGCGTCTCCTCTGTAGCCTTCCAAACAACTACACAAAGGTGTGTGATTTACAACATTACATTTGGCATTATTTCCGCATGCTCCTAAACAGGGGTCTACACACTTTTCATTAATGCAAGCCTGATTTGAAGGGCACTCTTGACTTATAACACATTCTGGTCTACAATATGGAGGCGTACCAGAATAATTGGGTTGGCAAGAACATACAGGATGATCAAGCTTTATCTCGCATACAGAATTAGGACCACATGGAGAAGGAACACAAGGATTTTTTGCAACAGGTGTTTCGACAACATTGGTACACACTGTAAAAGGGTCACCTGTTTTATCTTTCCCACAGCTGCAAATGGGATTATGATTTAAAACGAAACAATCAGCATTAACTCCGCAGCTGCCTTGACAAGGGTCTGAACAACGTTGGTTTATACATGTTTCGAATTGCTGGCAATCTGAATTGCTAACACATTCTGGCTGACACATTGGTGCTACACCTCTGTGACCCGGTAAACACGAACATACTGCAAATCCTGTTGGTGATATAATACATCGGCTATATGGCCCACAAGGTGATGGATCGCATGTGGTTAAAACTGATGGCAATGTAGGTATTGGTTGACATCTTATATATGGATCTCCCGTATAACTTTGTTCACAATAACATATAGCATGATGGTTCACTGTTTTACATATAGCTCCGACACCACAATTATCTTGGCACGGATTTTCACATTTGTTATTTAAACATGCCAAACTAGACTCGCAATCGCTATTTATGACGCACTCTGGTCGACAGGATAAATATGGATTTCCATAGAAATTGGATAGACATTGACATGTAAGAGCTCCATTTAAATCCTGACATATTGCATTGTCTCCACATTGAACGTTATCACATGATTTACTTGTTACAGCTAAAAATGAAAATATAAATATGATTCAGTAAAATATTTCAACAATAGTTCATATTAAAAAGAAAAAATAAATAAAACTTTCTTACGTTTTATAGTTGGTTTGCAATGTTCGTATGGATTTCCATCAAAATTATGTATACATCGACATATTGGATCGTGATGATATACTGTACATTCAGCGTTTATACCACAAGATCCTGGACAAGGATTTATACATTTGTTTCTAAGACAAGCTTTGTCGAAAGGACAATCAGAATTCAACATACATTCTGCTCTACATGCAGGATTATTTGCATCATTTGGTTCAGCACAAACATCGCATATGGCGAATTGATTTCCATAAGTATCACACGGAGCATCAGGGTCACATGGATTTGGTAAACAAGGTTGAACTGTAGTATTATCAGGTGTGACCAGAATAGCTGAAAATTATATAACAATAGTATAACAACAATTATATAACAAAAAGAAATTCTTTAATAAATATAATAATTAACATATATTTGAATCGCTAAATATTATACTTACGTCGATATATACATTGTGTTAAGGGATCACCTATATATCCGTCCTTGCACAAACATGAAACTGTATGATCTGAGCATAAACAAACAGCGTTAATACCGCAGACATTATCAAAAGCACATGGATCTACGCATTTTCTATTCAAACACGCTTCATTTGACAAACAATCGGAATTCATTACACATTCTGGCTTGCATTCAATTGTTGGATTCCCAAAGAACTCAGGAGGACAAGAGCACAAAGCTTTATCTCCCACATCTTGACAAATTGCATTAACTCCACATTGTGCTTTACTGCAAGGAGTTGAGGATTTTTGATCTTCTGGTGGTAAGCAACATATAAGAGGATTTCCTATTAATCCGTGTTCACAGGTACATAATGGACGATGAGTTTCCACATGACAGACAGCGTTTATTCCACAGACTCCTGGACAAGGATCGCGACAAGAATATCCAATACATGCTTTGTTGATTGCACATTCATCATCCACTTCACATTCACGAGACTGACATCCTTCTAAACCATAAGGGTCACCAGTACTTCCTTCTGGGCAAGAACACAATGCTTGGCCTTCATAGTTAGTATTGCAAGTTGCTAATGGCCCACACGGATTTGGAGTGCAAGGACTTCTTCTAGGTTGACATCCTGTATAAGGATCTCCAGTGAAACCATATTTACAGAAACACATTTCCGTGTTACTACTGACATAACAATCTGAGTTCGCTCCACAAGGTCCTGGTTGACAAAGACCATGCGGTGGTAAATAAGGTCGAGTAATACAGGATTTGTATGGATTTCCTATAGTATTTTCTGGACAATAACATGATGGAATTCTATTTTGATCGCATCGAGCTCCAACTCCACATGTATTGGGTTCACAAGGATTACGTGCTTCCACACAACCTCGAATTGTGTTTGGACTTTCAATATAACCAGGTAAGCAGGTACATTTAGCAAATCCATTCGATAATACTGTACATTGTGTGTTGGGCCCACATGGAGATGGGTTACAGGGATTATTCGGTATTCTACAAGATTGCCTTGGTGGATTTCCTTCATAATTAGGTAAACAGAAACAGGCAGGTTTATTTTCTATTAAACGACATCCCGAATTAGGTCCACATGGATTCGGTTCACACTCGTTACCTTCCGGAACTGAAATTATAATATACATTAAGTTACCACAACAATTTTGATTCGAAAAATTAAATATCGCTTATGATGTAGTCCAAGTGTGTACCAAATAAATATTATTACATGTGTTAATATGACTGAATCTTCTAATTTATATAGTTTCAAATAAACTTTTTAAAGTAACACAATACTTTTGCAGGTCAATCATGTGTCGTATCATGCATGGCGTTCAGAACCTATTTAAATGTGACGTAATAATATTCCTTTTATGTAATGTGTAATAATATAAAATAATATTATAATACACGATATACATTATTATACTTACTACAATTTTTGAATGGGTTGCCGGTTAATCCTTTTGGACAATAACAAATTGGACTACCATTATCGCTTTCACATAACGCATTATTTCCACATGGATTTGGAGAGCATGGATTTATAGGGGGCTCGCAACCAAGTGTTGGATTACCGCTGTATCCGGGAAGACACTTGCATGAAGCGCGATGATTCAGGACATCACAAACTGCGTTAACACCACATCGACACGGAGAGCCACATTTTCCATTCATACATGCCTCGGAATTAGCACATTCATTGTCGGATCGGCATCCTTGCACTAAAATTGAAATTAAATATTTATAGTTCTTCATATCTGTTAATATGTATTCAATGCCTCAAATATTGTTCGCAAATTTCACATATTGTACTTTTGTTTATTTACCGATTATAGGTAAAACCAAATAATAATGTAATCGTTACTTTGTAAATAAATATATATTTTGGAGTTTAAATTTTAAATAGGAATATAAAAACAAGTAATTTTACAAAAAGTCGTAACCCAACTAGAGGTAACACAACACATATCTATCATAACATTATTACATAGTACAAAATAAAGTCGCTGTCGCTGTCCGTCCCTATGTATGCTTAAATCTTTAAAACTACGGAGCGGATTTTGAAGCATTTTTTTTAAATAGATAGAGTGATTCAAGAGGAAGGTTTATATGTATAATATATGTACATCCGTGTGAAACCGGAGCGAATAGCTAGTTTGAGTATAAATTTCTGAAAGAAATAACACTAGCTAAAGCATTAATAATGAAATAGTAATTTTCATTATAATATGTAAAGAAAGCTAATTACTTCAGATAAATGCTGTATATAAGTCCTTTAATAACCCGTAATATACAGCGCTCTTGTATATTAGTGTAATCACACTAAGACGGATTAGTCTGTGTGTAGACTGCAGTATATATTAACGCGGTTGTTGTTTACCTAACAAATAAAATAGCGAATATAATCAGCAAATTTAATTGCTTTTTTTTGTAAAAAAATAACAATATTTAAATCACTAGCTTTTTTACAATTTAATAATATTTCAGGACAACTGATATAAATACATAGATACACTTTTTTTATGAATACATACGTAATATACATAAAAAAGGCAAGATACAAACAAACATACTCATGAATACAAATGTTACTACCGTACAAGGAATCGAAACCACGACCATCCGAAGTAAAGTGGTGTGCTAATAAGTTATCCCATAGACGCTCACATACCAGCAGCTATGCCAGTATATGGGTATATCTGTTTTGACGCAGTAGTTTTTTTTCCTCTTGTGGTATAGCATTCACCCCGATTTTAGGGTATTTCGCCAAGACGCAGTAGTTATAAATTGAAGTATCAAATACTATAAATAATTTTTAATAATGTAATGATGCTGTTACTTACCTTGGAAACATTCTAAATATGCATTTCCAGTAAAGCCGGCATAACATTTACATTGAATTTCGTGGTTTACAGTTATACACTCAGCATTGTCTCCACAACTATCTACTGCGCACGGATTTATGCATACTCTATTGAGTCTATCACAAAGTAAATTAGGTGGACAATCTTCATTATATTGACATACTGATCCTGAATTGGCTACTAAAAATAAAATGTGATAAATGTAATTGATAACCTGCTAAATTTGAAGTACTTATTATGATATTCTATAATAATAGTTGACTGGCTTACCTGGTACACAGCCCACATATCCATTTCCATTGAATCCTTCGGCGCAGCTACAATCTGAACCATGCTTTGTATTTATACAGACGGCATTGGGTGCACATGGATTGTGTATGGCACATGGGTGTTGGCATGCATTATTTATACAAGCCTCAGTTAAGTCACAATCTTCATTGCGAGTACAACCAGCTGAGTAAAAAGTTATAAGTATTGTATTGTATTATACAAAGAAAAAGTGCAAAAAGTCGTGTTTTTACATACGCTATACAAAAATTTAGAAGTGATCTTTTTATATATATTTCTATATATATATCTACATCCTATATGAGATAGGCAGAGAGAATCGAATGCTCAAGGTATGCTATATGCACACCTCTCTTACTTCATACGCTGCAATAACTTGCATTATATAAAATCGCCTTCTCAATTAAAAGCCTTCCCGATACACATACATAGTACAGGCAGGCTAGTACCTCTCCTTTTTAATGATTTAAATATAATATATACAAAAAAACATATATACATAATGACATAAACTATTGAAAATTGCTTGTCCATTTTGTTAATTTTGTTAAATTGTATGAGATGTGTTCAAAAAGTAAAGTGACTTTTCAAGTTGCGCGGGCAATGTATTTAAATTAGATTCTGTTTAATAATCTAATTTTTGTTGTTATTGTATTAGAACACATATGCAGTTTTTACAGAAGTACATGTCATACTTAGTTCGTTTATAACACATAAAAAGAGCGAATGAGAATCATCACTGTAGTCATTCAAGAGCTTCTGAGCTATACACATGCGACGATTCTTCTGATCAACATTCAGAAGTTTCGGAACAAACATCGCTGAAACACATCTTATGCCCGAAACATTCGAAAAATTACTTAACACGACAAAATAGGACGGCATATTAAGGATTATATAGGAAGGCAAGTAATTTTTGTTGATCAGAAGAATCGTCGCATGTGTATAGCTCAGAAGCTCTTGAATGACTACAGTGATGATTCTCATTCGCTCTATAAGGCCACATGGGTATATGGTTATGACGTCGAAGCCAAATCCCAATTGTCTAAATGGAACTTTTAATCTGTCAAAAATACTAAATATAATATAACAACAACAACAAACTTCAATAATCGAACGTACATGGTCCGCGAAACTTTAAAAAATTCCTTACTTTTAGAACATACTATATATGTACCTATACGTAATCAATACCATTAAAATAAAATTATACTTTTCGTTATGGCATTATTAAATTACTTATCAAACGAACAGTTAGAGCTTACATATTTTGGGCGAACATTTAACAGCAGGGTCTCCGTCTTGTCCCGCTGGACATGAACACATTGGCCTTTGTTTAACTGGATGGCAATTGGCACCAACACCACATACATTGTCTATTTCGCAGGGGTTATGACATAATCCCATGAAACAAGCCTCAGTTTCTATACAGTCCCGATCTGACTGACAGGGTTCTGGTTTCTTAAGTGTTCCAGGTGATTCTAGTATGTTATATGTTAATAATATATTAGTGTTATGTTACAAATAAAATTATGTTACAATGTTACAATTTTGAAATATTGTTATTAACGGTGTATTTACAAAATTATTAGATAAGTACTCATTTGTCCGATAAAACGTATGTCTTAATAGATATTTTCACTTTCAAGAATAATTGTAAAGTCGAATTTGTTATTAAACATTTTTCTTTATAATTTAACCAATAATATGGTTATAGAAATCCGTAAAATTATACCTCGTATACAGAAGTCCCCAGCGGCCTCATCACATAAACAAACAGCGGCGTGGTTGACAATTTTACAGGGCGTATTCTTTGCACACTGATTCTGCTCCGCTTCACATGGATTCCGGCATACTCCGGTCAGGCACGCTTTGTCAGTCGGACATTGTGAGTTGTTTTTACATTCGATTGTAAAGTTCGCGTCTATGTTAGGGTTACTAGTCACCAGTATTGTGTCAGTCATAAGTGTAGAATCAGTCCAAGCGGGTATGTCAATATCTTTCCTTCGTGACGATAAATTTTCTGTAGACGTACTTAAATTAGGGGAAGTCGTGGAAAAATTATACTTATTTACCGATGACGTAGTAGAAATTATATCAACTGATGATATAGGATAGGGTGTGGTATCTATATAAAAATCAGTGTTTAAATTAGTACTCATATCCAATTCTTGAATAGATGATGTTTTATACGAATTTCCTGTGTTTAAATCTTCTTTGGACGAGACTGTCGTTATTGTGTTTGATAATGGTATTATTGATGTTGTTAATTCGACATGTACATTATTTGTCACTGTTGTTACGTCACTTTCTACTGTTTTCGTAACAACATTAGGAAAAACGGCATTTGATGCTGTAGTAATTTCTGGAGGTAACGTTACTATATTATCTACAGTAGACTCAAAATTGATACCACCAGTATCAGATTCGGCAGAATTCATTTGCGGTATACTAAGTTCTGTAACTATGACTCCAGGTACACTTGTAGTTGTATCTAAAATGTTTTTGTTGTCAGGTTGAGTTATTTCAGTATCTGTAGTTACTACTGTTTCGTAACTTTCTGTGCTTATTTCTAACACATAAGGAGTTAAGGATATGGTAAACTGATTTGTAAAATCTTTTTCTCGACTAGTAATGTCACTTTTTGCTGTATTTGAAGTCATTTTCGTGGATATTTCAAAACCCTCGTCACGATTCTCATAGCTTTCATCAGATTTTGCAGTTAAACTTTCAGTTGATTTTGTTTGAAAGTCATTAAATTTATTTATATTTGCCTTTGCGTAATTTAGAATAGCAGTAGATTCACTATTGTTGGTATTATTTTGTTGCAAAGGATTTTTTGTAGTTTCTTGGCCAGAGTTTGTATCGGAATCTGGAGTTTTAGGTGACGTGGTAAAGACTTTATTTGTAGTTGTTTGATGTTCCTGCGTATTCATGAACACTGTGGTAGGTAGGTTTAAATTCGTCGTGGTATCTGTGTTAGGCGAGCTTGTCGTATATACCACTTCATCTAATATGTTTTCGAAATCACTTGTGGTTGTTACAGAAGTTATTTTATTTTTTTTATCGTATATATTTTCATCATACAAGCTGTTCTCTGAAGAAAAAGAATAGTTGGCGTCCATAGTTACTAGTGATTTAACGTCATTAGTTTCAGTAAAACTTTCAATTTTTTGATTAATCGTTGTATCATATTTTGTGGTTACGTCTGTCGTAGTAAGTAAATCGTAATTAGTTGTAATTGTTTTAGAATTGAGCGGAGACAATGTATTTGGAAATGTGTTTACAGTTTGTAGACGATTACGTAATGGTGTTACGGTATTAGCAATTATTTCAGTAATTTCTGTCTTTAAAAATGTATCAGTTGAAGTTTCATGTTTTCTAATCGATTCAGTTGTCTCTTCTAATATTTTATTAGTATAAGCACTTTGATGTGATTTAACAGGAAAAGATATATCATATGTTGGATTTCCAGTAAAGATAGTTGTAGTTCTTTCCGATAATAAAATTTCATCTTTGGTGATGGTCGCACTATCCCTACTCCTATCAGTAATTTCTGTATTTATTAATTTAGTACTATCACCTAATCCATTAACAGCTTTAGTACTTGTTTGTAAAATATCACGATATATCGCTTCATCAACATTAACTATCTCTATAGATTTTATTGATATATTATCATCTTGAGTTATATCTTTATTTATTATTTTAGAAGTCTGAACTTCAGTTGTCTCTAATGTATCTGTAAATGGACTTATAAAGGTATCGGTGGTGTATAATTCTGCTTGATCCTCTACTTTAAATAAAGTTATTTCTTTTTCTGTTGTTGTAGTCGAGTCGAAAGATATTTTAGATGTTGAAGTAGGATTATTCACGTCAATAGTACTTTCCGTTTTCTTAACATTACTTAATATTGATTTGGAATGGTTGTTAGGTTCATTTCCTTTAAATGTCTCATGCGTTGACAATAGGTTTATGAATGGAGTACTGGTAATAAAATTATGAGATGTAAAAGATTCTTCTGTTGTATTTGCACTGTTTCTATTTTTATTTCTGTCGTACAAATTATTCTCCGACAAATACAATGTTTTGAACGTTGTAGTTTCATATAACGTGGTGTCATAGTTTACAGTTGTATCTATGATTTTAATAGTTTGAGTTGTATCGTTTATTTGATGATGCGTGGTATATTCAGATGTGAGATTAGGAAATTGTGTAGAACTTTTATCTTCTAGATTGTTTTCGGTTATTACAAGACTCATATCGTCATATGAATTATTTGCGTTAGTGAGCATTGTAGATGAAGTTTCATTTAAAATAATGGGTATATCACCACGCGTTGAATCATTGTATGATAGATCGAAATTTAATACAGTATTTTTAAAATAATTCTCTGTTACATCGTTTGCTTTTTCAGGCATTGTCATTGCAGTTTTTTCTATCTCTATTATTTCGTCGGGTTTAATAGTATGATTAGTCGTGTCTGCAAATTCTGTTACTACTTCAGTTGTAGTGACATTGTTTTTAAGTTTACTATCTTCATTATTTAATGAAGGCTCTGAAAATATAATTTGTGTAGTTTCATCCATTATTATCATATCATGCTCTGTTGTAATAGATAACACATTATCTTGACTTTCCCTTGTGGTTTCATAAAACTTTTCATCAAAATTTTGAATAATTGGTGGCGTTATTAATTCATATGTCATGTTTATATTTTCAGTATAACTTGTAGATATAGGACTTGTTTCTGTGCGTTCGTTGAATTCACTTTCATTTTCAATAATTGTAGTAGTTGGAACTTTATCTGATTTATTAAAAAAAATATCTACAAAATTTGTACCTGGAATATTAGCATAATCGGTAAATACCTTAGTTGAATGATATTCATCAATTGTTTGTGTACTACTTGGTGTAGATGTGATAGTATTTTCTATGTTTTTATATGACACCGTCGTTCTCGTATCATGAATAACTTCTTCTTTAGAAATCTTGAAAGGTTTCGTAATTGCATTATGTGTAATACTTTCCGGATTTGTAGCAGGATAAGCTGTAGCAAGTGCAGAGTCCTGTGGTTTCAATTCATGAGTGAATATTTCATGCGAGGAATAAGTGTAATAATCATTTTGTACTGTACTTTGATAATTTTTAATATCTCTATTTGTATTTACAGTTTGAGATGTGATAATATTATTAGAGTTCTCAGAAGTTGATGTAGTAGCGTCAAACACAGTTTCTTGGGTAGTAGAGGCTGGATTGAAGTAAATTCTAGGAGTTGTACTTACAAATAGTTCTAAATTTATAGTGGTAGTTGCCGAATTTTCTTGAGGAATAGTATCTCTATCTATATCTGTGAATACTGTTGTGGTTTCCATGTGACTATAAATATCTTTCCATTTAGTTTCCGTATATTCATTTTGAGTGGCTGGAATAGTTTCTGTAATTATTTGATATTTTGTAGGCATATCAGATGTAATTTCTGTACTTTGTTTAGTTATTGGACTAATATCTTCAAACGTATCATCTTTGCTGCTAGTTTTGCTAGTGGTATGTAAATTGTACTCAAAAGTTGTACCTGTAACAGGTATGTATGTATCTTCTTTATTCGAATCAGTAGCTGCCATTGTAATCTCATTTGTGATATCATTATTATTAGAAGTTGGATTAGGAAAAAATGGGTATTTTTCAGTAGATTCATTTATTGAATCTAATATAGTAGTAGTGGTACTAGACAATATTGTATTCGTAGTTTCTGAATATTTTATTGTGGATACACGATAATCCGATTCTTCAGAAGGTATTGTAGTTGAAGTTACAGTAATTTTGACATCTGTAGTATCTGAATCCTGAATTTTTAATGAACTCGTAGAGTCAGTATTTGTAATAGTATTAGACAAAATTAAAGGAAATGTTGTTTTCTCTAAGGAATTAAAATTTGGGGTAGTATGATATTCGTTTATATTTTCCTTTAAGGTATAAGAGGGTGTTGTTACTTCTAAAATTATTTCTGAAGAGTCGTCAGTTTTAGTATCAGCAGATTTAGTCGTAAACATTTCGAATTGATCAAATCTATTTGTCGGGTCTAGTTCAGTTGTATCTTTATCTTTAATATTTGAATATGTAGTTTCCGGTCCCATAGTGTCAGTTGTAGATAAAATAATGTCTACTGGTTTTGTTGACTTTTCATCGTTAAATAATGGATTATACGTAGCGAATGAAACATTTTCTTCAAATTGTGCTGATTTTGTGGATATTATATTTTCTGTTGCAATACTCTTTTGGATCACTGAGGTAATTTCTGAACTAGCTCTACTTTCTGTATTTTCTGTAGATGGCATAAGGGTTGTAGAATCCAGGAGAACATCTGTAGCACTATTTGTAGTATTTTTATGTATTTTTGGAGTTACAGACTGCATATCTGTAATAGAATCCATTGCTGTTTCAGATTTTATATCCAATATATTGGACGATGTGTATTTATTGTTTACCGCCGTTGTTATTTCTGTTGAAGTTTCAGAATTCGTTTCGATAGAATTAAAATCGGTAACTTCTGTAACTTTATGTTCACTCGATAATGTAGAATTTACCTTTGAATCAGAAATTAAATTTGGTTTTATATGCGATTTGCTTTCCGTTGGTATTAACTTTGTGAAATTATTATTTAACTGCCTTTGATTTTCAGGTGTTTTTGTATTTTTATTCTCAATGAATATAGTTGAAGAATCGTTAGTGTCTGGATATATTGTAACAAATGGTTTAATAGTACTTTCTGCATGAATAGTACTGCTACTTTGTACAAGTTCATCAGTATTCATAGGATCCCTTTTGATATTATTAAAAGTAGCTTTAGTAGAACTTTCAATGTTATTTTCATTGACAAAACTAGATGTTATTTCCTTTTGATAAGAGGTATTTTCTACTATACTGTATAGCGGATTATTAGTGGAAGTATATAATGTGTTTTCAGGAATAGTCTCACTTACATTTTGTACCAGTATCTGCTTAGGACCATAGGTTGATGTTAATGTTTCTTGATTGTCAAAAGAGTCTCTATATAGGGTTGTCATACTTTCATGTAACTTTGTAGTTAGCGTTGCACTTTCAGACTTTTCTATATTTTGCATGTCTTCAGAATAATCTACATAACTTGTGATCGGTTCAGTTGTTACTGTATTTAGAACAGTATCAAATATAGCTGTAGTAGTAAACGTATCAGTTTCATCAGTATTTTTGATTTGTAAATTATCTATGCTTGTTATTGATACTTTGGGTTTATTAGTACTTATCTCATCACGATAGTTATCAGTAATAAGGTTACCTGTATTAATTGTACTAGATAAATCAAATTCAAAATTACTGTCTGTAGATTTATCACTATCAATTATTTTAAATTCATAGTTATTAGTTAAAGTCACGTCAGTTTCGTATTTTGTTTCGGATATAGTCGGAGTTGTAGAACGTTCATAGTGGATGTCTGTTAGTGAAATATTTTTAGATCCATCATCTGTTAATAGGAATGCAATAACAATATAGTTAATAAAAATACTATTTCTAAGAAGAAAACAATGCTATATATTCCTCGATAGAACATAAAAAAAATAGCAAATATTAAACTACTAAAAATAAAATTTAAAACATTTATTGTGTTTGTTTTTATATTTGTCTGTAATATGTCTACACCTTGCTAGTATTCATAAGCTATTTACTAAATAGGCATACATACTTTACAATGTGTACAAGGAATTTTAACTTATACGTTATTATACAAGTAGGCGATAGTGATATAATATGATTTAAGAATAATATATATGTATATTTAAGCTCGAGCAGAGATGAAAATTAATATTTCTGCGTAATTTAACAGAAATTGGTGATTCAATAAAATAAGACAACAGAAACATCGTATTCAACCCATAAAAACAGATTCCTTATATGTGCTTAAAATTATATAAAGCGAAGTACTAATCCATAAGCTGAAGTATGCATTATATTGTATAATGCTTCATATATATATATATATATATATATATATATATGTATATACGAAAATAATAATTTAGATCGTATGAAAAGACATTTCCCCCAAAAGATTCCAAACAAATACAGTAATTTCACATATTATAAGTAATAAAAATATAGGTATTTGCATTGTTTTGTCGGTCGGGTCTGCCGTGATATCTTGGCCAGTACTTTGTGGCGTTTTATCGGACAAATGGTACACTAAAATTATAGCAATAACCAGTTCATCTGGAGTTAGTTTTGCTATTCACATTAAATAATAGCTGTGAACTTGCTAGCATATATAGTAGATGTTCACAATACATGAAAAAGGTGTGCAAGAGTATATATACAAATACGAGACTCATCAAATATTTGTATATTTACCACAATTATGTAGTTAGAAAATTTTAAAACATTGTTATTAGTTATAATTAATAGTTCAATAATTAGATAACCAGATTCATTGTATTTCATTAAATAAGGTACTTACTTTCCATGCAGGCACCGGAAAAGGGATCGCAAGGTACTCCAGGTCGACAGTGTGCACAGTTTGTGGTTGGTTGTTTTCCTAAATGGTAATATTCAATTAGGTACGAATCATTCGAAGTAATACCTTTTTGCCGTTCTTACAATATAACATAAAATATGTCAGTTTCCGGTTTTGTTACTTAATTTTTTTATAATCCTCAAACTAGTTTTTCAAGCGTCTATAAACTATTTTTATTCGCCATTTACCATATGGTAGGAGAAAACTACGTAATGATTATATTTATTGTTAGGTTCTAATTAATTGCGTATAGGTATGATTCTATCTACATTACCTTGAATGCATGCGCAGCCATCACAATATGTATTGGGGTATCTCGCGCAGTCCGATGACGATTGACATTGGCACACTAATAATTAAATATAATTTATAAAGTAGATATTAATAATATGTATTTATGTACTGTATATAATTATGTATATATTTACATAAATTTATGTATAAATGTATCACTATTTCCCTCAGTCATGGCATCACGCGTGAACGGCTGGACTAATTTTGCTATTTTTTTTTATTGTGATTGTTGTATCAGGAGTAGATTGTTATAAAAGGGAAAAATAAAAATTGCGCGGAATATTAGAAAAGTTACTATTATCTTTAAGTTTTCTTTAATGTACTGTATACAATGCGCAGAGGTGATATTATGTTTGCTTGCCTAGAGCTAAGACAGTACCGCGTCTGTGAGGTCAGCTAATATCAAATAATAATATGGAATATTAATATTGCATATTATTATTTGTTAATGCTAATAAATGTAATGCTAATAATTTATTAGATGTATACTACATAGATATACGTAATGTCTATGTGGTTTGACTATAAATTTCCAGCAACTGAGTATACATAGGTTTCCCTATAAATAACGTAATGTAGTAATGGAATATTAATTTGTGATCGCAAACCATTGCAACCAACAAAATTATCTTGTAGTAATTATGATTTATCCACAGAACTTTTGCAATGTTCATGACACGAAAGGTTCAAACTTACTTAAATCGTATTTACGAGAATATTGCGAGATCGAAAAAAATAGGCCTGGAAAATTTTATCATATATAATGATATATACCCTTGGAACAAACAGGCTGGTGGTCAACGACGGCACAATGCTGTAACGGTGCACAGGGACCGCCCCCCGAGCATGGGTCTGCACAGCGACCGCTCATACACGCCAGCTCAACTGCACACTGCTCATGTGCACTGCATTGTAACGCTGTATAGAAACAAAAACATGTAAATATGATGTCAACAATGACCGTTACAGAAGAGACTTCTTTATATATGGTACCTGTATCTATAACTCACAGTATATTTAAAGTTTTACTTATAAAATAAAAATACAATATAATAAAAGAGGAATATTAAAATTTGAATAAAATAAATACATTGAAAAATACCAGTCAAATGAACAGTCATTATAAACAGTTATAATTTCAAAATTTTAAAATACTTAAACTTATTACAGCGAAAAACTAGAGGTTAGAAGGTACCTACAAATATTTTTTTGTAAATATGTATATGTAGTATAAGTGTGAACTTAATAAAATATAGAAGGCATTTTAATTTGTGTTTTGCAAACTCTGTCTCGTGGCAGTTTTGTTGCATTATGTATTAATGCCAAAGCACTTGAAGCATTAGATGTCAAGTAAATAAGCATTACCACCACCAAAATGTTTATGTGAAGTTATTATCTACAAAGATATGTATAATGTATTTACACAAATATTTGATACCGTGCTAAAACTACCTGATATAGAAGAACTGTGGAAAAAGATAAATATGATCATGCTAGAAACAGAATAGTACAGCGAAAGAACTGCATGAAGTCATAAAGTAGAAAATATCAACATTTCCTGTAATATGAAGAACAACAAAAAGATTATTAAGGACCTTATGTATGCTAATATATTAAATAGTATACAATAATAATATTTTAAATTTTTTGCTCAAGGTGAAATTACCTTTTATACAGCCATGTTTTTCGTCATGTGTAAATCCAGTAGGACAGAACTTGCATACTGGATGATGATCTTCTATGGAACAGGGAGCACCACCACATGCATCTTTACAAGGATCTTTGCATTGAAAATCTCTACAGGCTAGGTTATGCGGGCAACCGTTATCAGTCAAGCATATCGAAACTGTCGGGTGACAATCTTCAACACATACGCAAATGGCCCGGTGCTCCAACACTTCACATTGTTTTCCTTTTGGACATATAGAATCTCTAGACGCTAAACACGGATTCACACACATGGAATTGCGGCAAGCCGCATTTGAGGGACATTGTTCATCTCTAGTACATTCGGCTTGCTCTGGTGCACATGTTAATTCTCCTTTCTCATTCAATGCGAATCCATTGCGACAAACACATACAGGTGTATGATTCCGTACTTCGCACTTCTGGTTTCTTCGACAATTTTTAAAGCCCAAACAAGGATTACGGCATTGATTAGTATTATAATCGCAAGCCAATTTTGATGGACAAGGCTTACTCTCCGAACAAGTAAATGTTGTATTGAAGTCAGCACTTGGCTTGCAGGTCGGGTCCAGGCGACACGTAAGTCGGGGTTGTCCCACGTAACACTGCGGACATGAACACTGCGCCCGGTGCATGAGAGGTACACACAGCGCATCTTCACCGCATACGCCGCGCACCGTACAGGGGTCCACGCAATGTAAGCTTAAACACGCTTTGTCTACAGGACAGTCCTTATCACTGGTGCATTCGATACCTAGGAAGATGTGAAAGAAGAAAGCAGAGTCGAAAGAGCGGTACCTTAAGCCGCGAAGAGGAAACTTTCTCACGAGACAGTGCATGCTTTTTGAAACTGATAGTTTATGATCAGAAAATGTATATAACGAAATATAATACAAGCGATATGTACATGAAGCCGAATAAATGTTACTGATTCTTTGATTCATAAATTTAAGCACGAACGGTGAGAATGCTTCCACTAATATTAACAAAAAAACAATATATAAGAACACAGGTACAAATATGTTAAATTTCCGCATATTTACCAAACATATTTGTACTCTATTAAATATATCCAGTAAAATTACTTTGTTTTCATTTTTAGAATTGTTGAAAAGTTATATATTCTCTCGAACCCATATCCTCTAAATTTATAGGTATATTGACTAATAGATGATAGAAAGGTGTTGCTAATAAAGAAACCAAATTTATAAAAAAACTCCCGCACCTATTTATAATCTTAGTTATTACTACACACAACCATTTGTATTTACAAAAAAGTGTGGACCTGCAACTTCGTCAAATCGTATATTTGAAATAGAACCTGTATCTTATATCTAAAGGTCCATATTGTGGTGATCCTAATATATATTTTTATATAAACCATGGTGCATTTTTACACGGTGTCAAGACGAATGAGAGCGTTGAGACAGTTTATACAGTGTATACTCACTGGTGTGGCACTCGATGTCAGCCTGACCTTCTGTTCCTGGGATACACCGACATACAAATTCAGCGCCCTCGCGTAAACATTCACCGTTTACTCCGCAACCAGTGGTACGACAATCTACAACACTACGCTCCTGAGCACCTGGGAATAAAATATCTTCTATAAGTAAAAAAGAAAGATGTTTCCAATTTGAATGTATCATATATATGTATATATATATAGATACATATCAACAGTTTTCTATTCAGATGTATATATAATAGGCATAATGGAAATTGTTAAATGTTTGTAGAATAAATAATAAGAGTAATCATTTAATATGTACAGTTAGGTACTTACATTCTATATTCGGATCACCGTTAGGATAATGACGTGGACAGTAACATTGGGCCTCTCCATTTTGTTTTATACGACATTGTGCGTTGATTCCGCAAGCTTTGTAAGCGCATGGTTCCATAGATCCACAATAACACTGTTTTTGAGGATCACCAGCACATCCCGAAGGACAAGTGCACTCATAACTACCATCGTCTAAATCTCGACAACGAGAGTTTACTCCACAAGGGTTACGTAAACAGCTTCCAGAAGGTGGCTTAGAGCACTCAATTTTTGGATTTCCTAAATAACTCGGTGGACAAGAACATTGCGGCGATCTATTTACAGGACGACAAATGGCATTAATTCCACATGAGTTTGCACAAACATTTTTGCATTTACCATCCTCATGGCACTCTTCATCGGCACCACAGTCGTCATTTTGTAGACATTCGTAAAATTTACATTCTTTTATTGGATCTCCTGAAAATCCACTAGGACAACTACATACAGCTCTGTGTCGAGTTGCTAAACATAAAGCATTTTTACCACACGAGTTTTCACGACAAGCAGAGACACATAATTTTGTAGAACATAACATATCGTCTCCACAATCTCTGTCACTAATACAACCAGGAATGCACATACCCTTCATGCATAATTGCCGTTCAGGACATTTATTTCTAGACGAACACTGTGCTCTACAGCCTCCATTGAAACAGTTCTCTCCGCATGAACAATCTGAGTTTTCTTCACAAAGCGATATACAATAACCGCTTTCGTCGCAAGGACAAAATCCATCACAAAACAGTTTCTTTTTCTTGCATTCTACTAATGGATTACCAGTGTAATTACTAGAACAACTGCACTGAGCACGATGATTCAGTACTTTACAGTCGGAGCAAATACCACAAATTGCTTGTTCTTTGCACGGATCTGTATAAAAAAAATGCAATACATAATTATTAGAGAAACGATAACATAAATTTATATCGTTGAGGAAATAAATAGATCAATAATGTAAATAAACAGACTATAATAATTTGTTAAAGAATCTATTAATACCTAGAAATAAATTATAAATGGTCATCAAATTAAAAAAAAATATGTATTATAATACTTGCCTTTACATTGACCATTTAGACAAGCTTGGTTACCGTTACATGCATTGTCGTCTCGACAACCTTGTTTGCATATACGGTTTTCACAAATATGACCTTCATTACAGGCATCATCGCTGTTACACACTACTCTACAGATACCTCGTATACATTTTTCATTTGATAAGCAAACTTTATCACTGAAAACAGAAAATTTATATGAAATAGAAGTGGAATTTATATAATATATAAATATAAAACTGGTCCCAATTCAGAAATTAAAAATTTGTCCATTTACCTTCTACAAGAGGCATGACATGTATCGCCATAACAATTAAATCCTTCGGGACAATTCTTCTTAGAGTCACAAGGTAATGTAGTTCTTCTACAGACAGATTTTGGATCCCCAACTAATGACGGTGGACAAATACACACTGGTTTGTGTTCCTTAGTTGTACATAGTGCATTTGCGCCGCACGTAGCAGGTTCCGTGCAAAGGTCTATACATTGGCCTGATACACAGGCTAAATTATTCGGACAATGGGAATTGGATCTACATCCAGTAACACACAATCTGCCATCACACACTTCATTGTCGGAACAATGATCATCAGATGTGCAAGCGTACCTGCATACTCCATAATGACATCTTTCACCTTGTAAGCATTCTGATCCGTCGAGGGTACACGCAGGTCGACAACGATCGTCTTCACATCTCCAACCATTCGTACAATCAGTGTGTTTATGACATGTAGAAGATGGTGCTCTTACGCATCCAATATTAGGAGTCGGATTGGGTATTAATTCTTCCAAGCAAGAACATACAGCTTTTCGTTCTACCACAGAACAAGCAGCATTAGGTCCACATGGATTTATATTAGTAGCACAGGGATTTCGGCAAAAATTATTTCTACAGGATTCTTCGGGACCGCAATCTTCGTCGTGTCTGCATCCATATTGGCAACCATTCTCTAAGCATATATGTCCAAGGAAGCAGTCATTATCCACTCTGCATGTCACTATAAAATTATATTTTTTTATAAAATAATGTTAAAAATTAATTATGGTAAACCATACAGTCTGTAATTTTTTTTGTCTAGCATAGTTATGTAAAATTACCTTGTTGTAAATATTTTTCTATGCACAACAATAAAATTTATTATTATTAAAAAATATACATTAAAGGTATATTATAACATTATTGGTATTTTCAGGTCATATAGTAAAGACAAGGAGCTGTCTTCATACGGAACCGTGACTAGAGAAACAATGTTATATAGAATAAAATAGAAAATAATTTATTGAAATAAATTTACATTGAAGCACTTTTGAATAGTCATAGTTGAATGATAATTTATAATAGATTAATTAAGTGTGGATATAATAATTTAATACCTACATAAGCAAACTCCCTTTGAGCACTTTTCATTTAGAGCACACTCTTCATCTAAGTTACATCGAGGTAAGCACATAGAATCTTGACACATATGTCCATTTTCACATTCACCAGCTGATCCACATAATCTAGGCACTAAAATAAATACATATAGGTAATATAAAAAAATATTGAATTACAATGTTAATTATAGAACTCCTCCGAAACTATGCCCGATTTTATGAACATTTTGGTGAATAATTGGTAGGTCTGATATAATCCAGAGTAAAATGTATATACATATATAAAATAATTTAAGGTTATTATAATATAAATATACTACAATACTATAATAACAATAGTAATGAACAAAAAATACGACTTAAATAACCCCACATTTGTATTGACTGGATTTGTTATTACTCATTATTATAGACCTGAAAATAGACGAGGAATATATATGTATTAACAAATCCAGTCAATACAAATGAGGGGTTGTTTATAATATTATCATTACAATACATCATTCTATTAACTCAGAAAAATAAACATACTATAAACTAATTATAAAACAATAGCATTGTTATCATAGAAACACCTTGATTGTTTAATAATTATTAGTTAACAAATATGAATAATACTCACTTCTTACACATTCCACGTTCTGGTTTCCAGTAAAACCATATGGACAACTACACTGAATTACATGTTGCTCAGAGCGACACAAAGCATTCAAACCACATGATTTTTCTACTTGACATGGATCTACACATTGTCCATTGAAACATTTTTCTGTGGCAATGCACTCTTCGTCTGCAAAACATAAACCTAGAACAAAAGTAATTGAAATGAAAATATCAAATTTCGATATGATTTTAAATAAAATAATTAACTAGATGTTTCTTTTATTTTTTCTTGTACAATCTGGTTTAATTAAGATAAATTATAGCCAATTTCTGTCCTTATGACACTCTTTATTTTAATATCATACTTTATTAAAGTCTGTGTAGTAATCTTAATCTGAGAATTCACATAAAAGAAATAAGTGAAGCATCAGATAGATTGCAGATCCTTTATTTTATACCATTTCAATATTCTAGATTATTAATCTGTAATAATATACATATATATACAAATAATAATACATTTTATCATATCATTTTCCACATAAATCATTATGAAAATGTAGTTTACTAAATAATACTAACTTTTGCATACACCTTTGTGACAATAATGATCGTCAGGGCAGCCTGATTTCTCTGTACACGACGTTTCTCGAAGTCTACAACCCTTTTCAACGTCAGCATTTCCGACATATCCAGTCTTGCATTTACACACTCCGGTGTGCCGTGAAGCGATACATTCCGCATTTAATCCACATTTAACATTTTCGCATACGTCTGTTGATAGTTTAAACTTAAATTAAATAATAAACAGCAGCAGAATGTAATAAAAATATTTATTATTCTCATCATTTATAAAACTTTCGCAAAACATTCCGCATGCTTTAAGAACAAAAGTACATTTACTGACCTGTACATTTTCGTATACTGTTGATAACTGTGCAGCGAGCAACGCTAGGGCAATCCCTATTGAAACGACATTCCTGTGCTTGATGGCATCCATCTTTATAAGGGTCGCCTATAGCCCCCGGAGGACATATGCATTGAGCACCATTTCTTGAATTTTTACATTCAGCTCCATTGCCACATGACGTAGATTCACACCAGTTTATCTTTGTACATCCTTTAGCTGGATCACCAGTATATCCAGGTTGACAGTAACACATTTGTTTATGTTTCTCTGATGAACAGACAGAATTATCGCCGCAGGTTTTATCTACTAGACAAGTAATTTTACAAATGTTGTTATCACATAATTTGTCATCTGAACAGTCTGAATCAATGTCACATTGTTTTCTTTTACAACCTAGTAAGGGGTCGCCAAAGAATCCTTCTTTACATGAACAAACAGGCTTATGAGTTTTACCAAGACAGATTGCTTGCCTTCCACATGGTTGTTTTTGACAAACATTTATGCACTGCGGTATATTGTTTCTACCTATGGAACACTGTTCGTTATCAGCACAATCATCGTTAGTCATACATTGAAGTTCTTTGACACAAATTCTATTTAAACAGAATTGTAAGTTAGGACATGTTGTATTGGTATTACACGTAAGTCGACAGGTTTCTTGAATGCAAACTTGATCGCTTAAGCAATCTCTTGAATTTTTACACAATCCTGTAACAAAAAAGTATTATATTTATTAAACTGAAGTATACAATTGATTATAATAATATAGTGTATAATGATCTTATTTAGCATATTGTTTTTCTTACCCGTACATAAATTATCAATGCATTTAGTTCCCGATGGACATCTGGAGTCGTCCGTGCACTCTTGAATCGGAACACATCCGAGAATTGGATCACCAGTATATCCTGGTAGACATGAACAATGTCCAATGTGGTTTCTTGAAAGGCAACCAGCATTTCTGCCACAAGCACGAGGTATACTGCACGAATCTTTGCATTTATAATTAACACATGCTTCTTGAGTAGAACAGTCAGTGTCTTTCACACATTCAAATTTAATACATTTTACATGTGGATCTCCATAACTGTCGGAAGGACATTCACAAAAAGATTTGTGTTTGGTTACAATACAATTTGCATTTTCACCACATAAATCCAATTTTGCACATGGATTAACACAATAATTATTTAAGCAATTTGTGTCGTCCGAGCAGTCATTATCAGAAAAGCATTCTCCTGGTAATCTACAATTGCCAGTAATTATATCCAATACAGTTCCATTTACACAAGTGCATGAATAGGAACCAGCAGTGTTAAAACAATTTGAATTCAGAGGGCAAGGATTATTTAAGCATTCATTAATATCTTCGCACATATTCTTTACTAGGTCATATCCAGACGGGCATGTACATGAAGCTCTATGGTTAATTATTGTGCAAGTGCCACCGTTACATGCCAATTCTTCACATTTGTCTGTAAAAGAAACTAAATTAGTCTTTTTTTTAACATAAGTCTGTATTAAAACCTTTAACCATAATTTTTAATTTAAAACTTACCTGAACATTTATTGCTTCGTGTATTACAATATTTATCATCAGAACAGTCAGTATTATCTGTACACTCTACTTTAAAACAACCAATATTCTTGTCGAATGGATTGCCCAAGTATCCCTTCTCACAATTACAAGAAATTTGATGTTTATTAACTGAGCATGCAGCATTTAAGCCACATGTCTTAGTTTGACAAGGATTAATACATTTTCCTTTTATACACGCCAACGAATTTTCACATTGACTATCACGTCTGCACTGATTTGGCAATAAACAGCCTGTTTTAAATGGATCACCTACTGCTCCAGTGGGACAAACGCATTTATAAGACCCTGGTATATCTATACATTGAGAGGAGGGGTGACATGGAGTATTTATACATTCATCGATATTAGTACATTCATCATTCACCAATTCAAATCCTGGTAAACATTGGCATTTTGTTGTTTTACACACCTGGTTGTTTAAACAGTCAGAGTCTGCTTTACAACCAGGTATACATATTCCAGAACTACAATGTTCTCCATGCAAACAGTTACTACTTGAATGACATATTTTATGGCATTTGTTGTCACTACATTTCTCTCCAATAGCACAGCCTGAATTATCTCGACACGGTACTTGACATAATAATCCTATACACATATGATCTGGTGGACAATCTGATGACCTGACACATGAACTCGGTTTTCGAACGCACCCTTGTTGTGGCGAAGGAGTTCCATCGAAGCCTTCAGGACATTCACAAATAGTATTGTGATTAATCCTAGAGCAAATGGCATTAGGTCCACAAACTCTAGTTGCAAGGCATGGATTTACACATTTATTGTTAACACATGCTTCATCACTAGAGCAATCATCGTTACTTCTACAACCAATTAAGCACTGGCCTACTACACAGGCTTGTCCAATACCGCATTGAATATGTTTACTGCATTGTGTAATACACAAATTTTTTAGACAAGTTTCACCAGGATCACACTGGCTTGAATTTCTACAAGCTGTAAAACACTGCCCATTTGAGCAAATATCTCCATCACAGTCAAACTCATTATTACATTCTAATAATTTCTTTTTACAAGCATTCCCACCTTTTATATTCTCATAACCATCTGGGCATAAGCAAATTGGTTTTCTATCAACGATTTTACATAATGAGTTAATACCACAAGCTCCGTCACATGGATTCACACAATGGTGATTAGCACAAGCTGCCTGAGCTGGGCAATCTTGATCGCTCTTGCATTCACCTTGCGTTCGACAGCCTTTAGTATTAGGATCTCCAATTAGGCCTGTTGGACACTTACACACATATGACGATAGCCGAGGCTCGCAAATAGCTGTGGAATGACAGGGATTGGGATTGCAAGCTTCCATTTTTCTACAATTAACTTCAGGTAATGGGTCGGCTTTAAATCCACTCGGACATTGACAGGTAGTTTTATGATTTTCTGCTATACATACAGCATTGTCGCCACACGAATCTTCATTACAAGCATTAATACAAGTGTGAGTCATACGGTTACATAATTCGTGTGATAAACAATCTGTGTTATAAATACAAGGCACTGATTGACATCCTTTCTCAAGATCATTAGGATTTCCAGTGAAAGGGCCATATGGACATTGACATTTAGCAACATGATTGTTTGTGACACATACAGCATTTGGACCACAAGTCAACTGATGGCATGCCGGTATGCATTTGTTTATGTTGCCGACGGTTTTACATATTTCACTTTCTCTACATTGCGCGTCGTCTATACATTCATTCTTATTTAGGGGTATACAACCATCACGGTCGTTTGGATTTCCTATAAATCCAGGTAAACATTCACATTGACTTTTATGACTTCTTGATATACATTTTGAATTTTGTGGGCATGTGAATTGCAAGCAATTGTCTTTACATTTGTTTACGCCTAGTACGTCTTTTTGACATGATTTACTGTCTTCACAATCCTTATCCATTTCACAGTTCGGTGTAGAGGGTTGTTCACAATTCGAACTAATAGGATTCCATATAAATCCATCTTTGCACTCGCAACGTGCACTATTATCTACCACTTGACATAACTCATTGGCACTGCAAGCAATTGTCGAACATAAATCCAAACATCTATTTATTGATCCATCTACGGGTACACAAACCAATGATTCAGCACAATCGCTATTTATTGTGCATTCTGCTTCATTTGGTTCCATTTGTTTTAAATGGCATCCTGTTTTAATATCAGTAGGTCGTCCTACATAGCCTTCTGCACAAATACAGTGAGCCTGATGATTAGCACCAATACAAAGAGAATTTGGTCCACATTGTAACTTACTGCACGAATCAACACATTTTCTAATATTTTTAGCAATTTGGAAACATATCTCAGAATCTTTACAGTCACCATCTACCATGCAGATATTATCGGGTACGCAACCTCTTTGAAGGTCATTCGGATTACCAGAGTGACCAGGAATGCAATGACAGATGCCTTCTTCACAGAGAGACTTAGGTCCACACATTACCTTTTGACATACATCTACACACCTGGACTTTTCACAAATATATCCATCCGGGCATGTTGCATTATGAGAACATGTGCATATGCTACCTTCTACACATTTTGAAATAGAAACTTGAGAACACAATTCATATGGATTACCAACGTAGCGGCTCTTGCAAATACAACTAAAACTGCCAGGAGTATTTATACAAATGGCATTTTCGGCACATGGTTTAGAAATACATTCGTCTATATCAGTACATTGTATGTTAGGATTTCCAATATAGCCAGGTGGACATAAACATTCAACATGTGATCGAGTTTGTTGACAGACAGCGTTACTTCCACAAGTAGCTTTAGCGCAAGTAATTTGTTTACGTGGCAGACAATTCATATACGGATTTCCAGTATAGCCTTTATTACATTTACATGTATTCAATTGTCCGTATATACAATGTGCATTTTCTCCACATTTCGGGTCGCATACTGGTGGTGATATAGCTGCAAAATATACATTATTTTTAATACTATGTGTGGTGTAATACTGACAACTCGGATTGATCGAACTATTCCTTACTAGCCGTGCCTGCGGTTTTACCCGCGTTAAATTTCAATAAAAAATATAGTCTATGTGTTATTCTGATGCATAAGCTATATTACTGTAAAGTTTCAGCATAATCCGTTCAGTAGTTTTTGCATGAAAGAGTAACAAACATCCACACCTAAAAACTTTCGTTTATAATATTAATAGTTAATAATATGACAATAGAAACCTATATCCTATATGTATGTACTACAGCATAGTATATAATATTTAAAATTCAAGTAGATACGATGTAGAGTTTTTAGCTCATAATTCTTCGCAAATATATTGTTAATAAAAGATTACATTAACTAAAGCAGTATATACGGATTTCGTATCTATTATTAATTAATAATAATAATGTAACTCTATTTCTTAAACTAGTAAAATATCAGATAAATTATTCTATACACTTACGTGGCATACACAATAAGTCAGGATTTCCAATAAAGAATGCATTACAAATACATTTGCCACTTTCTTCGTCACAAGATGCTCCAACACCACAAACAATACCGTCGCAACGCTGTCGACAACGGCCCGCAAGACATGTTAATGGCTCTTCACATGGAACACCCGGTCCACAAACATCCCTCCTACAAGCACCTCCGGGAAACGGATTGCCAACCATTCCTTCAGGACATACACATGTTGGGCCAGTTTTTGATATTATGCATTGGGCACCACTTCCACACGAATAAGTATCACAGCCTAAAAAAAATTACGTTTTTTACGTAGCACTTTATATATTTACGTAAATACTATATAGATTATTTTTTACAGAAAATAGATTATGTTTCTTAATTTTAAGATATTAATAATTAATACCTGTAATACATTTTCCACCTTCTGGTTTTGTATATCCTGGATTACAACGACACCAGGCTGCATGATTATCTACTTCACAGAAAGCATTGGCTCCACATGATACACTAGTGCATGGTGATATACAAGTACGATTCAGACAAGCTAGATTATTAGGGCACTCGCTGTCGCTACTGCACAACTGTTTTTGTGACGGTCCCATATCAACAGAACCTAAAATTAAAATGTAATTAATAAAATATAGGTACAACAGTCACACTTTAGAATGCTTCAGATTTGCTGTGTATGAAAATTGTGTTTATTGAATTAATTATGTTCATAATATTATACATTATAAATATTCTTTAGATAAATTACAATAAAGTAAAAGTTATACTTACAGCCCGTTTTATATGGATCTCCCACCATATTTTGAGGACAGACACATTGATATCCTCCCTTTTGGTCATGACATATTGCACCATAGGCACATGGAGCACTGTGGCATTCGTTTCTATTTGTACACCCTGTATACGGATCCCCTTCATAGCCAATCATGCACATGCATCTCGGTGGATTACTAGGTGTGCACTTTGCATTAATACCACAGGTAAAGCGCTCACAAGGGCTTTTGCATTTCTGTCCATCAGTAACATCAAGATAGAAAGGTGGGGGACAGACACATTTACCCGGTTGTATACATTTCTCGTTGGGAAAACAATCGGAATCGGAAATGCAACGTTTTTGATTTAAAGTACAATGACCAGATATCGGATCTTTACTGTATCCAAAAGGACATTTACATGTGTATGACCCAACAGTGTTAACACATTCTGCACCAAATCCGCAAACAGGTTGACCAGATGTACATTCATTAATATCTTCGCATGCGCTCTCAGAAGTTTGAGAGTATCCAATAGGACAAGCACAATAACTGACTTCATCTGATATCACAATGCACTCAGCCCCATTTCCGCATTTTTTATCTTTTGAGCAACCAGATAATACACAATTACCATCAATTAATTTATATGGAAGTTGACATTGGCAACTTATGTCTGTACATATATCACATAAATTATAAGGATTTCCACTATAATCTGAAGGACATTTACATTCGTAGCTACCTGGTAAATTTTTACAAATAGCATTTAATCCACAGGGAGAGTGTCCATGTTGTGTACATTCATTAATATCTTCACATAACCCAGTTTCCTTATTGCGTATGAAACCTTGAGAACAAATGCAAACATTTTCGCCATCGTGTAATATACATTGTTCACCCTGAGGGCACGGATTGGTATTACTACATTCACTTGGCATCTTTCCAGGTATACAGCCATCTATATAGGGATCTCCATTGAAAGTACTAGGACACTCGCATTGAAATCGTCCAGGTAAATTTTTACATACAGCTCCTGAGCCACAAGGATTCACTTTACATTCATCAATGTCTTGACAACCACTGGATGAAGGATCACCTGTGTATCCACTTCGACATGTACACAGCGCAGTTTGATCGTTCAATAAACACTCTGAATTACTTCCACATTGGAGGGTTTCACAAGGATCTGGATTAAAAATATAAAATTAATACTTATAATAATTGACATAAATTATACATTTAATATATCTATCTTCTTCTATATACTTATAATAAATCTGAAGAGAGGTATGTATGTACATGAAATATATTTCCAAAATAACGATCAGGGGGTGATAAGTGATCGATACTGATGCCAAAAATGCAATCAGTAAAATTTTTGTCTGTCTGTATTTTCGTTATAGAAACAAAAACTACTCGACGGATTTTAACGAAACTTGGTACAATTATTCTTCATACTCCTGGGCAGGTTACAGTATACTTTCATCACGCTACGATTAATAGGAGCAGAGCAGTGAAGGGAAATGTTAAAACACATCAAAACCACTGAACCGTGAGGAAGGACATGGGCTACGGAAAACGACGGAAATGCAGACGAAGTCGCAGGCAACAGCTAGTATATAATATAGATACTAGCAGAGAGTTGCGCCACTTAATAGGTCTAATTGTATTTGTTGTGAAACCCATTGAATAATATAGAAATGTACAAACCATATTTTATTTAAATCGGTCCAACCTTTCAGGAGGATTGGGTATCGAATAAAGGTACAGAAGAATTATATATATTAAGATATTATAATTTCATAATACAAAACAAATAAACTTACGCCGACATTCATTTCCTACATTAGGTTCTGGACATAGACATCTTGAATTAGCATCGCACAAAGCATTTCCGGGACATTCATTATCATTCTTACATGTCAATATTTCTGCGCAACGTATTTTGGCGTCAGGGTCTGGTATAGTATTATCAGGACATTCACATACAAAAGAGCCATCTTTATTAATACAGTCTGCGCCAATACCGCAAGCGTTGTCTACTTCACATTCATTAATGTCTGAACATTGTTTATAAGCATCGCCACTATATCCTTCTGGGCAGTAGCAAACAAAACTGCCCAAAGTATTAGAACAAAGTGCGTTTGTTCCACACCGGCCAATAGGTTCAATTGAAGTGTCGCATTCATTGACATCGATACATCCAGCTGCTATATCATTTGGATCAAATGTCCACCCGTCTTCACAGACACAGTATGCTTCTGAACCATCAGGCTTACAATAGGCATGCTCGCCACATTTAACATCTTCACAAGGAGCACGACATGCTAGTTTTGGGGGAGAACCAATAAATCCAATTCCACACTCACAATTGTATCCACCAAGAGTATTGACACAAATAGCATTTTCTCCACAAATTGTTTGTTTATTATCACATTCATCGATATCAATACAAACAGATCCCTTAGAATTGAATCCCTCCTTGCAAAAACATTGGTTGTCAATACATTCGGCATTATTAGTGCAGTCAAAGTTGGATGTACATAATGTGTTTACGTCGACCTGAAAAGAAAAGTACCATTAAGAAAAGAATGTGTACAAGAGAAAATTAATACTTTTCTATGTTATATTATATTACCTGTTCGCAAGCTATCTGTGGATCAGGCTTAGCTCTATATCCTTGAGGACATATACAATTGTATCCAGGTGCAGCATTTTCGCAAATTGCATGGGTACCACATGGTCGTTCAAGGGTTTCACACTCGTTGACATCGCGGCAACCCTCAGGTGCGCGTGCATCTCCTGTATATTCGGCTTTGCACGCACACACGAAACTGCCAATTGTGTTGGTACATACTGCATGAACGCTGCACACAGTCTCGCTACTCTTACATTCATCCAAGTCTGGTGTAACAAACAACGTAGTTCTAATTAAATTTGCCGCTTGCGCGGTCAACCTCACACACGCACGCAGTAGGTACGCCGACAGCCACTACGAAGAGTAGTATAGAAATACAGATGCCTACAATAATGTTAGAGGAGTTCACTAAATAAGAAGAAATAGAAAAGAAACAATACATTGCAGATACAGATTGTTGAATTAGAACAAATTATGCCTGCCATAAAAAAATGTAGCTGAAGTAGTAGAAGAGTACACAACAAAATAGTACAGTAACGTGTCGTCGAAGAATCGATGCGTTGCCGCCGATATACGTAGTTGACGCTCGGTACTGAAATTTTTTAATTTAATACATTTTCCAGTAAATGTTTAAAATGTAATGAAAAGATTGGTTAGCGAAAGCGTGAAACTACCGCGCCACCTGTTACGGTAGTTTTTAGCGCGTTGGTTATGCGCCTCCTTGTTATAAAGTATTAAGTTATAAAGCGTTAGACCACAAAAGACAGTCATATGTTAGCGTTCGTCACACCTACTGTCGCACACGTTGGGTTTCTTACCAATACACTCTTCGTCTGGATCGCCTTCAAAACCAGGAGGACAAATACAGCGATAGGCGCCTGGAAGGTTTTCGCAGTGAGCATTGCGGCCACAAGCAGCCCGTGAGCACTCATCATGGTCGTGACAAGCAATACGAGGATCGCCCTCGAAGCCAGGTGGGCAACTGCACTCGAAACCACCTTCAATGTTACGGCATAACGCACCGGAGCCGCAAACATCCCCGCTCGCACACTCGTCCAAGTCGATACACTAAATAAATTCATATTTTTTTATATGAAAGTACACAATTTAATATTATAATATGATTATATCAATGAACCTAAATTGAAGTGTATATAACATACATATATTACCTAGTATATCATATATTGCCCTTATTTTGTAAGACCAGCGTTCTCTATAACACTTATTTACACATTCTCAATTCGTATACAACACTGTACGTGAAATATCATAGGTAATCAGATAGTAGCATATGCAACAAAGTATATGGTTTAAAAAATACATCTAATCAAATTTATTAATAACTTTGTAGCAAGTTTCCACCTAATCAAATTATAAGAAATAAATAACTTACACCATCAAATCCATTGCCAGTATATCCTAGTTGACATGAGCAAGTGTAATTTCCTGGATAATTCTGACAAACAGCGTTAATACCGCAAGCGCCAGGCCGTCGACATTCATCAATATCTACAAATATTACATCGAATTAGAGAATAAAAAAAAATATAAAAAGAAAACAAGTTAAATTTATTTGATTCAAGCTGTAACCCGTGATTTCGTTCGCGTGAAATTTAACACAATTTTTTATTAAAATAAATTAAATTTCTACAATAAATGTCAAAGTTAATTACTATTAAGTGAGAGTGCGAGAGTGAACCCTATCAGAGATTGGCATTAGAACAAACAGACAAACAGACGAAAATTTTTAAAATGAATATCCTCATTTAAGCACCGTATATACTTTTATATTTGTGAAAAATTGTAAATTTAAACTTATTTATTTATATCTATTCTAAATTTAATCAGATCTGTATTTAGAATCATATTTAGCCTAATTTACATTATTATTTGACAACACTAGTAGTGTAGCGGTTTACTACTCTAACTCACCCTCCAATTTACCAATTTCAGTGTTCAATTACACAATATAAGTATTACATTAATTTAATTAACAATTATTTACCTATATTTATATTGTTCTGTGAATAAATTAGTTTTGCAAGTATATACAAATCATATACATTTAAGTAAGTTTGTCAGTTGCCTTACTAGACAACTGATAAACATACTTCCATAGTAACTAAAAGCTCTGCATAATATATAATTAAATGTTACTTCTATTTTGTTTGTACATACACAGTATACATACTGAGACATAAAAAAATGTATTTCATTGTATATATAAATATTTACTCAATATAAACATACAAAATAGAAACTTTAACAAGATATCTTCAAAATTAATGATATATGAAAATGTATTAAAATGATCTGTGATTGATTATATATATTTTAGTCAAGAATATGAAAATATTTCATTAATAAAAAACTAATTACCTCTACACTCGTCTTCGCCATCACCTTCAAAACCTCGATTGCATTTGCAAATAAAATGAGCTGGTAGGTTACAGCATTCAGCGTTTTGTACGCAACGCGAGGCTATTGTCGGATCTTCACATTCATTAATATCTGTAGTATATTAAAATTAAAGAAACAAAATTATTATCTAATGCCACATACACATAATAATAAAATTATCAGAAATATGCTAATTTTATACATAACAGTACCTCTACAAGTGAATCCGTCGCCTTCGTAGCCTGGGAAACATGAACACTGAAAACTACCGACTGTGTTTGTGCAGTGAGCAAATACATCGCATGGCCTGTCTTTGCATTCATTTATATCTGCAAATAATTTGTTTTTTTTAATTGTTCACAAATATTTCAATAAATATGCTTGAAAAAAATGAATAATTACCGGATTCTTGACAATTACAACCACCAAAACCATCATTGCAATGGCACACACCGTTAAGACAAGCACCATTTATACACTGCGCGCCATCTTCTTTGGTACAATCATCTAAAATATTAATAATAATTAATAGGATCCGTTAAATATGATTTTTCAAAGCGTATGGTAATATATTTAAATGTAGAGTACAGCGATGACAATATCGGTAGGTGCTTCAAGTTTTTAATCACAACACACAGCCCTCACGATATCTGTACACATACAAAACCATGCTACCTATAGCTATCACAAAATTATGTGGTTGTCGATTTCTGACAGATGCGATATGCTCCTTGAGCCTTTTAACTATCAAGTGTTTTGTTTAACATATAAGAGCTTGTGGTGACAGTTACAGTCAGTTTGTAGACACCTGGAGTTTCGTAAAGTAACTTATGCTTTGGAAAATGTAAATTATTGCTTACTTTTGAGGGCAGAAAAAATACAGTCAGAGTATTTATTCTGTATTGTTCCACTGTTTCCGTTACCACTATTAAGTAAGTCTATGTATTAGTATGAATTAAGTATGCTGGTTATCTGTTCATCATTTCGTACCTGCCCATTTTTTCCTTCGGTTAATGTCTTTATTTACCATAAAATTATTCGTGTGGAATATGTTCGAAAAATATTTCGATGAACCATTAAAAATTTTAAATACAACAAGTTACAATTTTAAATATATAATCATTTTAAACTCACCTGTACATTTTAACTCTGACTTGAGTTCGTCCGAGGCCTTAAAACAATCCGGCACACCGTCGCATAATTTAGATAATTCATATAATTGTAATATTTGTGTTGATTCGTTTACTTGACAACCAAAATAGCCGTCTTCTAAATTTAAGAAAAATACTTCTCGTTTTATTCCTAAACCTATTCCATATTGGCTTTGTGTCGCTACCTGTGGAACAAGAGTTACCTTTACATACTTACATTAATATGGAATATATAAAATCAGTTTCCAGTATAGTTCATATGCGTTCCTTATTAACTTATAATTACTAACCGAATTCAGGATCAAGAGAAATGGAATAATAATAATCAAGTGATTATTATTATTCCAGGTATAGCAGGAGATGTTCGCTTTTTAGTATCTCGTTAATTAAGTATTATACATACATATCTATTGTCAATTATACTCTAATTGATTTATTATTATTATTGTCAGTTTAAAAAATATATCATGAACTTTGTCTGTAATCATAAACTAACAAGTGTCTGTAATATAAAAACTAAAAATATCTTCTTATGTAAAAATATTTTTTTACATGTGTACCTATATATTCGTATTTACCTACTACATATGTAATGCAATTATTGTTGATATTGATAGAGGACAATATCTATGAGTAATTTATGCATGCAAACTATATCATAAGCATGAAATTATAATTGTGCAACGGTACCAATACAATTATATTTAACGTAAGTAATAATATCATTATAAACTAATACGCTTCTTGTGTATCAAAAAAACTGTTAAGGAAAAATACTAAATACTCACATGTGTCGTTATTAGTAGGAGTGTCCAAACCACAAGCGGTAAGTTGTCTATATGCATGGTCTCTGTAACAAATGAAAAATAATATTAATAAATTACCTATTTTGATCATTATTAAAATAATATAAGTATGTATATATATAAAAATATTTATTCATATTGTTACGAGCGCCTCGGTGGTCTAGCGGATTTGCATACCGTCTTAACGTCGATGTCTTGTGTGTATGTTATAAATAAATAACCCTGGATAACAACATGACAACTGATATAAATACTTAGGTTTTTTGTGAATATATGCATAATAGAAAAGACCCAGACCGATACAAATAATCATATATATGAATACAAATGTTTACACCCTGCGAGAAATCGAACCCGCAATCATCGGAAGCGGTGTGCTTAACCGCTAGATCACCGAGACCGTCAAATTAAAATATTATAAAGGTTTGCCGCCGTTCAAATATTATGTAGACATCGTGTTCCGATTTCAGTTATTGAGACCTGCACTTTGAATATTTAGAAGGCTAGTGATAAAAGAACGTGAACTTGGCAGGTGGAACAATTTATAAGAGCACAGAGGATACTGCATTAGCTTTGTGTATATATTAGCGGTAGATAAAAGACTACTTTATTATCTTATTGTGGAGCTTCATAATAATAAATGTACAAAAATATTTACTCCAATCCATACTAATATAATAAATGTAAGTAACAGCGTAAATGTCTGTCAATCTGTCTGTTACCTTTTTACATGAATGGCTCAATGCATCTTAATAAAATGTGATAAGAAGATTGTATAACGATGATAGTCATATGGTATATAAAATATAAAGTATAAAAGATGAAGAAATCAGGAGTCCCTAAGTCATTTTGTTTACTTAAAAATCCATCTTAGTGACTCTTTACCCAAAAATATGTGCGATTCGTTAGTTTAACGTTACTACTTACGTTTAATGACTAGTCAGTTGTAACATGTTTATGAGCTAGCTTATACCTACGACTGTAGACAGTACTGTCGGGTGAATGTCTGAATACAATCTGCAAATAACGTTTCCGTTTATTATAATTACCAACGCGACAAAGGCGAAGGCTGCTTCGCGAGGTCACGTAACTGTGAGTGGAGTTGGTAAATTTGGTCTTTGGCTTATTAAATCATAGTTATACGGTCAGCATTGGTCATATGCAACAATGTAATCATTGTAACACTAGTTTTACTAAGCAGTTGTTTAACGGGGGTTTCTATTTTTAAGAACTGTTTATCTTGTTCTCGAATTCTACAGATCTACTTTTGAAACTAATTTCAATATTGATTTCATTTCAATGCAATCATATATCGTTCTTTTGAAATCAGGAGGAATTTGAATAAAACAAAAACGACTTAATAACGAAATCTGGAAGCAGATACACCTGTATTCGTATTATAGATGCTTAATATTATAAATATCTATATACATCTAGTGCATGATTAAAAAATCCAAAACTACAATTAACACATTAAACAAAAATGGTTTATAGAAATAATAAAGAATTTATAATGATAATTAAGAAAGAAAGGGTTTATAATAATTTGTAATAAAAATATGTACATTTAATTATTTAAGGATTGTTGTTAAGGCTCGTTCGTTGTACTCGTGAACGGGTGCTGCTTAGGGAACTAATCTTCTCTCACTACACCTTTTTTTACACAATATGGCAATGGCTGTGATAGTAGGCTCGCTCCCTGACACGTTAGATTAAAAATATACATAGTGAAATGTGGGCGTGTCAAGTGTTGCGTTCACTAGAGCAACGACAATTGAAATGCTATTGACTATCTCATCCATAATAACAGTCTTTTTTGTTTGTTAATCAACTAGGTATTGTTAACTTTTATTTATATATGCCCTTTTAAAAAAAATCTGACAGAATAAAAAAAAGTTATTTAAAAATACCTAAAATTATTTGTATGAAGATTATATTTCTAGTCCAGCGTGTTCATAAATTAAATAGCCAAGAAAAGTCTCCTTCTATATTCCTGATTTCTTCACGGACCTGGTATTGATTGAATTAGTATTACACTGGCTTATAATACTAAATTTTATACACCTAAGTATAATTTATTTTGACAATGAGTGATATATATCTAAGTATATTTCATAGTACTCTTGAAAAAAACTACTCTAGTATCCTTCGCCATATTGAAAATATAGATACTCATGATAACTATTTATTATAGAGATTTTATTTAAATATTCATAACGTTTTTTTTATTAGTAAAAATTCGGTATGATTTAAAAACAAAAAAGTAACCGTCAAACATAAGAATTCGTGAAATTACTTGCGTACAGTTTTTTTTTCGTTGTAATTTATAATGTTATGCAATTTACCAGAAAGCCTTCAAGACAGTATAGAAAAAAATTGACAAATCCTTGTAAATGAGTTTGTACAAATGGATAAACTGATAAACATACTTAATATATGTTATATTATATAGAAAATATAGACTAATAGTGGACCTATTAAGTACTTAGGTAATTTTATAGAAGTATAAAAACTTTATAGTACATAAATCTATTTAATAGCTGAAGCAAATTATTATATTTAATATTCAGCTCTATAGAAATCAGGCCAAAATGGTTAAATATACATATATATAAATTCAAATATAATTTATTCATGTGGAAGAACTGGCAAGAAATTGAAATTAATAACATTTTTTAAAAAAGCCATTTGGCCAATGTCTAGCTATACTGTACACATTGTTTATATAAATATCTAAATAATATTATAAGTAACAGGAATTGAATACTCTAACATAACTGCAATTAATTGACTAAAACATAATCTGTTGTCACGAATATTTTCAAGATGTCAAGGATGCTGGTGCACATTGTTCAATCTTATTTGACCTCACCAGTTTACGTAATAATTCACAAAAAGTTACATAGACAAAGTTATGACGTAGTTATGCTCGTTAATTCCGCGAAGTATGCTATTATTCACAATATTTAACTGCATTGACATCATCATGAATTTGTCTTAATAGATGAAATTAATGATGAAATTTTATTTTACTTATTTAATCTACTCGTAATTGCCAAGAGAAACAGACAATTTTCTATTATTGAGGAATTTAGGCTACTTTCAGGTGCTTTATATCTGTGGTCGACATAGATCTATTGTGTTTGCCCTTTTTTCAAAGTTCTCTACCTAGACTCGTCAAGGACAAGAATTGAAGGATATTCTTAGGAGTGATGGATTTTATCTCCTCAGGATAGACTGTAAACTTTCCAAAGAAGATATTTCGTTTATGCATGAGTGGACTACAACCACATAAGATGTGCAGTGGTGTATCCTCGTTTAAATCATTAATTAAAAAACTAATCAAAAAGTGTTTGCCCAAAAAAAAAAGTCAGCCAGCCAAACAACCCCATTATCTGGTAATTTTATCTTGAGGACTAGACGATTGTAATTACGTAGCGTATTCGCTTCTGTATTCTACAAACTGTATTTCGCAATATTATTCGAATGAATTCAGGTAAGAATATTCATGTGTTAATCTGGGATATTACTTATCTCACTACGGGATATGTTGTAAAATGTAAAGAAACCCTGATACTAGCGGTAATAACGGTATTCCTTTATATCGCACTAGTGCTGGGAAAATGATTTATATCGTGGATACATTTGCATCCCAAAGTAATTTTCCATATAGTACTAAATTCAAGTTAAAAATAAATAAGAATAAACAATGGTAGTGTTATAGGTAATTCATGGTCGTTCCTTCTGCAACTCTACTGTAGAGACCAAGGTTAACAGTGCTCAATTAACGAAATAATAATGTTACTGTTTATATAAATTAGAATTATAAATAGATTGTATAAATACCTGTAAAACATATGGTATCTTAATAATTAAAATAACATTAAAAAATACTGATTAGTAAGTAATACTTGCATTTACAATTTCTAAAGATCTGACTGACAAACTATGACCCAGTTTCTGCTACTGAACAGTTAAACAAGCAATGAATATGTTATGACTATAACATATTCACAGAAAGTGCATTTACGTTCACAAATAAAAAAAAATGAAAATCAATATGTCTGCTGTAAGTTAAAATTATCCGTATTAGTCATAACCCATCAAAAATGCACTTGTAGTATGATTGATCTTACGTCATGAAATTAAGTTACAAATAAACCTACGGATTCGCGTGTACGAATGCGGTATCACGTCGAGCGTAAAATGCGTCCATGCGTCCGTACGAGCTTTGCTTGCACCATTCACTTTCACATGACGATGGAGCCAGTGATCGCTGCGTTGGCGCTGTGCTCCTACAGAAAGTAGGCTGCTAACAATGCTTCCACAACAGTTTCTCTCTTGAGAAACGATTATCCATTAATGATTGTGAGTTATTTTATTAACGTCCGCCTGGAAAACATTCATTCTTATTCAGACTACGGTACAGTAAAAACTGTACGTACATTCAATTTTTTGTCGTGTGAACCCCTTTACATTATGTGTCCAATCTTAAATAGATTTATTATTACAGATTATAATTCGTAGTAATGGATAACCAATAGACAAATTGTTTGTTAATTACGTCACTCGATAATCATGACTAATTTTATATTTAATAATAAATATACTTCCAAAAAGCGCTTTATACAATAATTAGGAACCAAGTAGGTTTATAACTAGGTTATACATTTTGTTATACCAATTATCATCAGCATTTGATTTATATTTTAAAATATGATAGACACCGCTATGTATTGTAAAATATGAGTCACACATATATATAGATATAATGTTTACTATCTTTTCTTATTACAGTACCTACAATTATAATAATATATATATAGCATATTCTTTGGAATACTTTTAATAAGTTGATAGTATCGTATCTGTATCTGTGAAGGTAAACGACACAATAACCCTGAATCACAACATGACAGCAGATTCAATCGCTCAAGAGTCAACAAAAAAGGAGCAACGTGCTTACGCATTACGGTTATAATGCGGTTTAAAATCTAATAGGAATTTCGATCTTAGTCTTCTTTTGATAAAGTTATACCAATCC